CATCTACTGAAAAAAGAATGTAATACATTCCATTGTTTACGTAGACCATAATAGAGTATGAAAACATTATAATATCATCAGCAAATAGAAGTAACATTAAATCTCTTATATCTTGTGTGACAAACACACCATGATGACATTCGTTTAATATTTCTGTCAGGAGCTCATCATATGTACATTTTAATTGTGCTAAACATACGGATATGGCAGGGGCATGCTTTTAATTATGCAAAATTGGTATCATGAAGACCTTTATAATCCCCTAACTGAAGACCCTTTAAAACGAGTGCGACTTGATAATGGGCAGGACCTCTGAGGGCCAAAATCTCAGTTTGTGTGACAGAATCGCATCTCTGCTGAGAAATCAAATCCGGTTCAACCTGAATGGTAGATCAGAATATATCCTGCGTGGGAAATGTCCCGTCCAATTCATAAGTTGGTATTGTTTCCTTTGCAGATATATAGATACTCAGTGACGATTCTGGACATGCTCGCCATTCACTACTATATTTGGTGGCATTTCTTTGATTTAAACATATTTATTCACAAGGAGTGAACGGGATTGGGGGACAAGTTCTTCCAACTTAGATTTGCAAAGTTTCACAATTTCAAATTCAATATATATGCTTACACTATAGAAGAGAAATAAAATGAGAGAGAGAGAGAGAGAGAGAGAGAGAGAGAGAGAGAGAGAGAGAGAGAGAGAGAGAGAGAGAGGGTGAATGTCTTATGGCATCATCTTATGACCACAACGTAGATATTGTATGGAATGAGGCATCCACGAGTGAAATGTATCAACTGTTTCAGGTCACGAAATGAGATTATCATGTTATTTTGCAATAAAGGCAACTGTTCTATTTATTATGCATTTTCTCACTGATCTTAAATGTCTTCTGAACACCACACTGTCAATCAGGCAGACTGAAAGTAGTTCCGGAAACAAATGTTATTTCACTTGAGTGAAATATTGAATTGTTTCTTCAGATGAATACAGTATCTTATTACTAAATATTTTACCATGAATTTGGAAATAAGTCGATAAAGATTGGACAATAAGAAGTATCAAATCACAAGAACCACTTCTAATTTAAACAGCCGATTTGACGGCCGCAATACCGCGGAAGCTATTATTCATAGAAAAGTCATTGTCGGTAGGCATTTTAGAATAATAATTTGTGTAATTATAGGTAATAAAATGCACAGTTGCGGCTGTAAAAAAATAATAAATGTGTGCGGCATTACACTTTGTACTGAATTCAAGATAGAAGTTAAATAAGAAAGCGTATTAAAGGTATGGGAGCCGCAGAGAGTTTGGTGCTTTCTACATATATATATATATAGCTGACTTACGAAGTTGCTGTGCTATACATTTATAATGCCTGACTTGTTTACGAGTAAAGTATTCGATGACTCCTAAACAAACAACAAATTGAGCATATACAGCACCAAACTATGTTTAATAGCTTTTATCAATGTTCCCTAAATTGAGATAGACAAGCCACTCAAAACATATTGGTTTCAACTCATGCCCCGTACTCAATATCTTATCTAAGCTCGGAGAGTTCGTTCAATGTTGTTCCGGTGGAGTGGAGATGAACGTGAAAACACTGTATCGTTATTGTAAAATGTTCTCGAAAGAAAACGTTTTATCTCGATTTATATATGTATATGTGTTCCCCAACTTTTACATGTGTCACGATTGCTTCACTTTACAAAGACAAACATGTGATGATATTCATTTAGGTCATGTTTTTATCAGGTATCTCAATCGAACAATATTTTACACGCAAAAATGTCAGTGTAGCGGTTGCAAAAATGCACCCTTGTGCCGCTTTCTCCATTACTCTGATAGTAAAGTCAAACATTACGTCATTTTCGATTTCCAGCATGGAAATAAAACACTCCTTTTGGGATATTGTGACGCTGTATTGTCCTTTTGGAGACCACTTTACGTCCCTATATGTTAATACCCTCATGGTGCGAGAGACTTATGCATGTGTTAAACATACATCTCCAGGGGGCCTTGCACAGACCTGTCGAACTGTTTTGACAATTCCAATATTTCATTTAAAAGTAAGATTTGCATTACATGCCGCACACCATCAAATCCAGATCAATGGCTTTTGTCTTGGATGTCATTTGCATATACAGGTAATTGCTAAGAACAGTATTGTTGTTGTTGTTGTTTAACGCTGCACAGAGGAAAACAATATTCCAGCTATATGACAGCGGCCTGTAAATAATCGATCCTGGACCAGATAATCTAGTAACTAATGTATAGCGCTTGACCGACCGATCCATTAAGTCGCACCTCACCGACCAGCATAGGCTGCTGGGGGCATTTTCTAACCCGGAATCTCCACAGAGGCAATGAACAGTTCTATGTTGTACGGTGAAGTTACATGGCGTGTCTGAAGTAAGGTCGCTCCAAAACGGAACAAGTCTGGGCTCAAAACACGACAATAATGTGAACAGTTTCTGTTTGAAGAGACCAATACTGGGGTATGTTTTACAAAGGCTATATGATCCGTGTAGATCCGGGGTAGAATAGGTCCTCAGCAACCCATGTTGCCTTAAAAGGCGACTGTGTTTGTCCTAAGAGGCGACTAACGGGATAGGGTGGTTCCATCTCCTGGAAGGCCTGTCATGTCATTAGCACTAGAAATGATCCAGATAATTCACGGTATGGTGATGAACGACCGACCAACGAATGACTGAGCATATTATTACTAGTTCGGTAGGCATTTCCCAGGATAGAATACATTCTATTACCACAGAAACTTTGTCAGTGAAGAAGGTATCATCTCGTTGGGTTTCGAAGCTTTGGACATTTGATAGAATGCGGACCAGGCGTAACATGTCTCGTGATAATCTAGCTCGGTTTGAAGCTGATCCCGAAAGGTTTTTGCCACGATTTGTAACTATGGACGAAACCTTGGTTCACCACTTCCAGCCGGAGTCCAAACAACATTCAAACAGTGGAAGCATTTGACATCACAACCATCAAAGAAGTCTTCAGCAACTCATGCTTGCCGTAAAAGGCGACTAACGGGATCGGGTGGTCAGGCTCTCCGACTTGATTGATGCATGTCATCGTATCCCAAAAGCGTAGATCGATGCGGATGATATCAATCACTGGACTGCGGACACGTGGATATATGGATTCCCCCCCCCCCGTGTCTCGGTACAAGATGTATAATCAAATATAAGAAACACTAGTACTGCTTTGAGAAAACTTCTTTATTAAAGATAAGAAAATGGTAAAACGTAAGAGAAAGATACCCTAATGTGTCAAGAGCAAGACACATTTCCGAGGCTTCTTGGGATTGTGCAATCATCAGGTAGCCGAAGTTCCGGCTTCCTGCAATGCGAGGGTGTTACCAAACCCCAACAAGAGTGTTGATCTATGGATTAGATACCGATCAATAACGGTGTCCGATTAAATTGGGAAAATATGTAAAGTATCGAGCAAAAAACAAACAGCAGGATTTAAAAAAGCCTTCCTTCGTGCGTAAGGCTTTTGTGGCCGGATTTGTATCTTGTCGTGCATATACAGGTTCGAATCACAGGATCGGGAAATATTTTAAGAAAGGTTAATTCAGGATTGACAGTGTACCATACTCTACATTTGTGAAGACTTATATAAGAAACGAAACAGGATATCGTTATGTTTGTAAAGAACTAGTTTTAGCGGGGACCAAAGGCGATGGGCAGGGCTCAACCTACAATAAGCGTCACTACAGATACAAGAAACCTGAGAACAAAATCGATGACGGCTCAGGAGGTTTCAATTTACTCTAACATACGAAAAATAACAAAACGTTCAACAGCATGGATATAACAACTTCTGATTTATGGCTCGCTGACTAGGTTAATGTATGGCGTAGATCGATGCTCATGATGTCAGTCACTGGATTGTCTGGCCCAGACTCGGTTATTTACAGTTCGCCTTCATATAGCTGGAACATTGCTGAGTTTGGCGTCAAACAACAAACAACAAAAGCATACAGAAAAATACAGCATGATAAACATATCTCTCAGAACACAAGTCAAGTATATATAACTTTTTAAAAGCCGGAAGGCTCAGGGGATTTAAAACATTTATTGAAGGACGCACAAATCAGGCATAGATTTAAACCTTTGATCCAGATTTTGCATACAACATTTATATAGTATACGTACGGATTCACCGGAGTCGCTTACATAGACTCAACCGATTAAAAAAAAAAAAAAAAAAAATTCTTATGGAATCTTGTGATAATCACTTCAAAGATAATATTATAGAATATCTGAACAGACACCGGCATATAAACATATTTAATATGTATCAGTTAATCACATTAGCTATTCAACATAATGACAAACTATCCTTTACATGCTTATACTATTTAATCTCAAGATTCAGCTAATTATTATTAAAATACATAATGCAACGTCGCTGAAGTGTTTGGTTTATATAGATCTAGCAAAGAAACACACAATGCTTATGCTTAATTTTCAGTCAGATTTGAAATGCGAAATAAGAAAAAGAGAAAGTTCTTGATAAATCAGAATTATTATCAAATAAAAATATACATAAAATCCAATATACATAGCTATTTTCAAACAAGACCAGATCAAATACGTGACGATAATAAAAATTATTTCCCTATGTATTTCACCCGTGTAATCTTACTTTGTGGTGTCATCATGCTATCAGAATAAATTAAATAGTCGCCGTAAGTTGATGTATTGATAAAAGTTGTTCGGATAGTTTCCAAACTTTCCTTAAATGGCAATGGAACAGGATCGAACATTCAGCATGTGCAGACAACCCGCGATGTTGTTTAGATGTTGGTTTTCGTAAATAGAATAACTTTCGAATCCACTTTAGTTTATGTGACGGGCGAGTTATTCTTCAACGTGGTAGTACATGAACTAGTTTATCCTTAATATATAATCATCATTTGTATTCAAACCTATCGTATTAGGAAATTCTTATAACAGCACGAAGCAAAATTGAATACGAAACTATCCACACGGCAGACATTCGGAGCTACCGAGCCAAGCAAGATGTCGACGGAGACTTTGGAGGCCCAACTGGCAACAATTGCACAAGAAAGTGCATTCTTGAAGAAATATTTCTCTCTTAGGAACAAATGTGAACAGATGCACCAGGTACTTGCACGCTTAGAGTCTTATTTACCAATAATGCGCGAGAAAAACTTTCAGTATAATTATGTTGGTGATCGAAATTAGGACATGTCTTTCGGTGATGGATACAGTTCTGCGTACGAAGTTAACATTACTATGCTGAAACATACATGCATTTTTTCATCAGCCAACCACTGGGCAATTTTGGAATTTTCTGATAGCATTTCAGACAATCTTGCAGTTTACAGGGCGAGACTAACTGGCGCAAGCTGTGGCTCTCGCTCTAATCCTTAGACCTTGGATCCACTTTCCGATCATGCACCCCTTTACGATCATTTGGGATAGGTACACTTTGAGACGTAGCAGCCCTTCACGATCCTTAGGCTTGGACAGCCTTGCCAATCAGCAGTTAAAGGGTTTGGTCAAACACCCCTGGCAAAAACTATTTACTTAAATGTATAAGTGATCAGGTCATGCATACACTGAAATTTTATCTTTATTCAAACATATAGAAGTCAGAAGGAATGGGTGCATAGTCAGAAAGAAAAGCTAACATTTCTGACTTGTAGTGTAACCACATAGAGTTCAATGTAATTTTTCTCATTGAAAATGATTAAACAATATATCATGTGACTAACCATAGGTCAGGGTAGTCCTGTGTGTACCCGGGTCCTACTCAGTAGCCTGCCTACCCGAGGTACCCGCCCCAACCCTACCACTTTGGGTATGGGTTTACCTTTCTCTTTGTTATTTTAGTAAAATCTGAAAAAAATATTTATCACATTTCGAGTTTTGCATGCGTATAAAGGTGAACATGAAGATAAACATTCAGGTGCTGATCACTTGGTAAGTGAGTACTAATCATTTGTGATAGTGCCCATGGTCCCGTGGTAAAGTGTTTGGTTACTCATTGCAGTGTTTTACCTTGGCTTGCAAAACCAATTTCATTTCAGGGGTCCTGTAAAGTAATGAAATGGTGCAGTGTATTGTAAGATTTGATAATTACTTTAATTACATGACTTCGTGTTTCTAGTCAGTAATTTGTAGGATGAATATTACTGTGTGTCCCTCGACCTCCTTCGTCCATTCAAGATATTTGTGCATACTGGATGCACATTTCTGTCTTGAGTTAAACCCTGTCATTGGCCGAGCTTAGCTTCAAGCTGACAAGGAGAGTTTGAACTCCCAAGAGGTGCTAATTGAAACCTGAAAAGTATGCCCGGTAAACTGCAGTACTCCCCACAAATAGTGATCTGTTTGCCAAGTTTACTTATTGTTTCTATCAGCAGATGTATCAAGAGTAGGTTCTGATCATAAATCAGCCATTGTGCTCCCATTATGAAATGATAGGAAGAGCATATATTCGGACAATGGCAACCAATTGTATTGAGTCTTTGATGTCAGTTGGTGAATGAGTGAATTTTGGTTTATTAAGCTTTGAGGTGGGGTGAAATTGGGTTTAACGTTGCGTCAAAGATTATTGCGCTTATGTAGCTGTGTGTGTGTGTGTGTGTGTGTGTGTGTGTGTGTGTGTGTGTGCTGTGTGTGTGTGTGTGTGTGTGTGTGTGTGGGCTGCCTGTACTAGTCCGGACTGATGCCAATTTATAGTGCTAGCTCACTGAGATACTATTCTGTAGCTGAGCCGACCAGTCCTTGTTTAGCCCCTTAACGCTGAGCGCCAGACAGGGTAACAACAAGTTCCATCTTTTAACATCTTTTGGTATGACGCGGCCGGGTATCGAACCCCAGACCTTCCGCTCTCCGGGTGGACGCTCTACCACTAGACCACGGAGGCAGTCCTGCAGCTTTGAACAGTATTCCAGTTACATCATGGTGTGTCAGCTTCATGTAGGAGGAAAGTCCAAAGTGAATCAGTTCTCAGATGTTTACCACTTTGGAGAAATCCACAAGCATGGGCATGGTGCTGAAAAACCCAGAAACATAGTCAGGGCGAACAGGGATTTGAACCCACGATCATAGGTTTCTGGTGTGTCCAAGGGACACAACTCTGCATGTCTTAGATGACTGGGCCACCCATACCCCTGGAGTCAATGTCAACGTTTTGTATACTTTTTCAGGCAAATGAGAAGCTGGTAAACAGGATTCAACATGTGAAGAAGCTGATTAAGAGGACAAAGAGAGAAAGGAGGTATGTAAATCAATGTGATTACATTTTAAGAAAAGATGATGAATGGCACTGCAGCATGTAAAACAAAAGTCATTCATTTCCTGTTGGTAGTGTCACAAAGTTACAAACTTATTGAAAGAACATAGAGCATACCAGTCAAAACGGACAAGTTGATTTGGTAGAGACAGACCAATTTTCTTATTCATATGACTGATGCAGACAAATTGCAGTCCAGTCAAATTACACTCTTGTTTGAGAAAAATTGTGTGTGTAGTTACTGATTGGACAGATTGAGATGGTGATGTCACTTCCTTTATGAAGTCATTCTGGGGAAGGGGTCCAGGGTATCATTGTAACTATCATAGGCATAAGTCATCCAGATATAATTGCATAATCATTATATGCTTGAATATTATGACCTCTCAGTGAACAGATATGGGAGATTTATTTTCTATTTTTATGTGCATTTATTAACTTGACACCTCAGTGTAGGATTTCAGCTTAGATTATGAAAAGGAAAAAGCTGGAAGCAAATGGTAAGCATCTTGCCATGTTTGTTCAAGCTTGCATGTGGAAATGGAGTTGTGAGTTTGGACTGCATGTTTCAGATACTTAGTAAGCCGACTAGAGGAACATGGAGACAACTTTCGTGAAGCACAGGTGCCAGTTATGTGGGAGGTATGAACCGGTGAACTCACTAATGCAAGGAACTCAATCAGTTGTACAGGATGAGGCTGTTATGATTTATGTAGTATGTTTATTGAGGAAACATTTATGCACTTATTTGGCTGAAATCAATAGTATGGATGTTATCAAGTCAAAAAACTGAAAAAAACACTTTTGTAATTTTATGCCCTCTTGGCAGTCAGTAACACTGATAGTCTTGACATTTAATTTTGTCACTTATAAATAGGAGCACTTCACAAGTCATTGTAAATGAAGCATTGATGTCAACTCAAGCCAGGAAAAGGAATAGGCCTGATAGTTAGTCACTTGATTGCCCCTGCAGCTCCTCTTATTTTCTAATATTTCCCTGACATGATGCAGGGTATAAAATGCAGGGTATAAAATGCATACATAACTTTCCTTCTTCTTTTTTTTCTAAATAGAATTGTTTATTTGAAACTAGTAAAATTATGTCTAATATCATATATATTATATTTTATAAATGTTTCTATTTTGAAAATATTACCACTGTTTCAGGAGGATCAACTTTATAACTTGTTGCGATCTCCGCCTCCATACCCAGGCTCAGGGTCTGAGGCAGAGTCGGCCTCCAAAGCTCGTCCCTCCGCATTGTCATCCATACAACCTCTACTGCAGGCTCACGGGATGACAAGTGAAACCCCGTCAATCAAAAAAGGAAAAAAAATCAAGCAGGATAAAGAAAGGGATCCCCTAGCCCCTAAGAAACCTGTTAATGCTTTCATGCTTTTTCGTCAGCAAAGAAGAGCGGGAATTCAAGAGGAGTATTTTAAGGTGCAATGTTTCCTCCATGCAGTGTGCGAGTTCAGCCTATGTTACCGCTTATAGATGAAAACCAAGCCTCGCTTTCAAACAGGTTATAAATAGATTCAATGCTAAAATCCCCATAGTGACGTCACAACCCCTGTCACAGGAAGTGAAAAATCCTGGGCTCTACACCTACCTCATATAAAACTTTTATTACAAATCCTATATGAACATGTAGTGTTTTCATATATTTCCCATTTCCACATATGTCAATTTATCAAAATACTACCAACATATAACCCATCCATGCACTGTAGAAGTTGTGAGAACATGTTTATTGAAGTCACGTGACCTCAAAATATTCTCTCACAGGGTAGAAGTCATTCACAAAAATATGGGTTCCATCTATCTTAAGGGGAGGAGGGGCCAATTCCTATGTTTCCTGCAATCACTGATCACTAAGCTTCATATATCCAACTTAAAATAGGAGGAGCTACAACTGTAAACATGTTTTTAATTGGATAAAAGACAGTCCCCAGTTTCCCCCTCGAAGTGACCAAGAAGTCCCACACAAAGCAGCCAGAAACATAAATAAATCTGGCACCTTACTGATAGCATCACATTCTAATGGCAGATATGTTACTTTAGGGCAGTTTTACACCGTTTGTTTAAATTTGTGTTGACTGATATGTCATTGAGGGTCTAATTTGTGTGTCAGGGGTCTAAACTGATGGTTTACAGGTTGTGGTGTTTGACATTTGGTTCTTTCTGTCTTAAGCTGTCTGGACATAGTTTGTGAGTGTTATCACACTGAACAGACATTTGTGCTTAAATAAATCAGAACTTAAATCTCAAATATATATTGGTTTGTTAGTTTTAATTAGGAAAAGTAACCCTTCACAGCACCAGAAGTAGTCAAGATTTTAGTCACGTTACCTCTATCAGTAAAACGATTGGCTCAAACCCATCGTCTGCTGTAGCAGTATTCAACTGTTTCTGTTGTGTTTGACGATTACTTTTGGATTATACCTTGGCTATTGCATTTTTATGCCCAATCATGGCCAAATTGTGTGTTTCAACTGTTATTTTCTTGGCACTCACTTGGAATACCAGTTTCTTACTAACTATTTATCATGATGCGACTTCCAACTGACACCACTGAAGATTTGTCAAGAAAGGTATGAACATATTGGAATTCTGACGCCTCTAAAACTAATGAATTTTCAAGTGGAAAATATCAAGAGTACATTTTTACAAATAAGGCTTGTGTATGCATAAATATTATGTAGAACTTGTAAACGCTAGCAGAATTTTGCATCTTGTGAATGTGTGTGCATTTATGCCATCCAAAAAGTCAGAAAGGAAATAGAAACAAAAGCTGGAATGATGGCATTCCTCCTGAGAAAAAATGTAAGACATCGTATCATTATGGTGGCCCATGTAGTCCCTGTCAGGTATGCATACAGTTGGGACCATTTTATCAAAGATGGTCCCCATCATGAAATGAATAAACCTTATCACCCAGGTGAAAAGCATAAATATTCAGTGAATATATTTCGTAACATGAAAAACTAATAAAAGTACAAAAACATAGTTGTTTTAGTAGCAACCTGTTTATCCAGCTGACAGAAACTAGAGAGTGAATATGTCATCTGCTAGCAAATTGTATTTACTGTTTGTAGGTCGCATTTGAGAACGAGGCTTGGTTTTTACGGGAAAAGATACCAATTACAAAATTGAGGCTAAGCTCGCACACTGATGTATTCATTGGTCATTCAAATCACAACTAAATTGATGAAGACTATACAATTGTGCTGAATCCAAAGTTCTACTTTTGTTGAACCCTTCATACCATGTACAACACAAAGAGTTTTACTTTCAATGTTTGCTAGATCAGGGTAGGTTTTATGAACCAGACTAAAGCATATTTCAATAAATATGTTTTATTCCTGTTTTCAATTCAAACAAACCAAACTGTGCTGGCATGATGTAAAACTTTTAAATGCCTAACTTTTTAACTTATCCTGCATTACTCCGTATTGCATTTACTGCTGTCTTTGACAGAGAGACGAACTGTGTGAGATCCAGCTGCTGAAGAAAGTTGTTTCCATCTTGTCCAGGAAGCAGCGCCCCCTCCCACACAGTCGGCACGTGACCTGGAAGACATGACGTCATATCAAAACACATAACTGCTTTGTCAACCCCATGGATCGGACATATACTGTATCCCTCGTGGAATTATTAAAGCTTTATTTCATCCTGACTTTCTATCGTTTATTACGACAAAAGTCTGCTGTGTTGTTTCTTGTATTTGGTTTGTTACCTTTGACTTCCTTCTAAAGATTGTTAATTGGTAACGTTTCTCGCTCGTGTTGTGGCTCTGGTCACTGTATTTCTGAGCGTATTGTTGTTTCCCGCCATTTTGGTTTTCCTGCCATTTTCCCCCGCCCTTTTGCCATTCACTACGTGTCCACGTATTTTCGTGTTTTGTGTTTTGAATTTGCTCTGTGGTTGGAGTTTTACATTAAATTTAATGTTTGTATTTCGCGTGTTTGAAGCGTAATTGTTTGCTCTTATTAACTTTGTAACAAGAATAAGTTATGTTGAATTACATTATGTTTCACGTTGTGTGTTTACACATCATTATGCTTTTGCTTCAATTCCAGTATGTCTCGATGCTCTCACTGCCGCTGGAATAAATCTGGACGGGACCCCCACCCCTGCTGCCTGGACTGTACAACCCCGTGTACCCTCACAGAGCAGTGCAGATATTGTAGTCCCCTGTCGCCAGTCTCCTTCACCGCCTACCTACGAGTGTCTCGGTAACGTTTCACTCAACATGTGCGTCGACACTCCAACATGCCATCCAACGTAGAGTCTGCCTCCCATGGCACGACATACGACCGTTCACGGTCTCCTACACCACCCTCATGGTCTGCAGCATTGCCCGTAACCGGTTTCCTGTCACCTCTACCATCTACGTCGACAACTCCTGCGCCTCTACGTCCGGCGCTTCTACCTCTGGCCTCTGATGACTTCGATGTATCCGGCGCGTCTGATGACTCTGGCGCCTCCGATGTATCCGGCGCCTCTGATGACTCTGGCGCCTCTGATGTATCCGGCGCCTCTGACTACTTCGGTGCCTTTGACTTGTGCGGCGCCTCCTACTTATGGACATGCCCTTCTGTCATCGTTTATGGATCCATCTTGGATGCAAGCTTGAATGCAGTCATTGTTTGTGCAAGCTACTCCAACCTCAGCGGCGCCGACGGTGCCTCCTGCGACGCCGGCGCCACTGACGGCCCCGACTACAGATACTTTGATTCCTGCGGCCCCCTCTACTTTGGGTGCTCATCGGTCTTGATCGTCGTACACCTCGTCGCCTCCAACTGCTTCTCGGCACTCGTCCAAGTAGTCGCTCACCCGTACATAGATGTCGACGTCGTTCCTCCTCATCGGAAGGATCATTTCGACCCGATTATGACCCTCCATCTCCCGAGATTGATACACACTTGGGCTTCGCACAGGTTGCTGATTGGCTAGCGGACAGTTTGACCTCCGTCGCTCCCTCCCCGGGCTCTGATGTCGACAAAAAATCGACGATTTGGTCTAACCCGACTTCGCTACCACCCGACCCAATGCTGACAGACCTTGTTACGGCGTTGGATGAGGACTTCGGTAAGTTGTCCCTCACGCCGTCGTTCAAGGCTCCTCGTTTCCGGCGTGATGATTTCCCTGTTCACTCCTTCGACGTGGCAGACGGTGCGCACATCCTGGACGAGGACTTACATCGAATGACCGGGTCTTCCCAGTCCACCACCATACGTATGCCAGACTCCCGACTCGCTTTCGTGGAAACAGAACTGCGGCGTTCTTTGAAGCCACTATCTACACTTGCCTCTTCTGCCAGAGCCATTGACCAGGATCTCTCAGAGTCCAATCCTAACAGGGTCGACCACCTACGCACTGTTATGACATTCCAACTTCGCCAGATCGATCATTTGCGCAATCATCTGAGAGACGCTCTTGCGGGGAGATCACCTCTACTCGACGGTTGGGTTACTTGAACTCCACAGACTGGGATTCTGAATTCAAGCGTTCCTTACTACGACAACCTTGGTCGGGTCCTACCCTTTTTAATGGTGCCATCTCCGCTACCCACGCCCGAGTCTCCAGCTTCGCAAGAGATGAAACGGCTCTCAGAGCCTTGGAGCATGTCACGCACCAATCAGCGGTCAAGTCCTGCAAAGGCAACTACAAACCGCGCCGTTCCTCTCTCAAGGTCGTCTCCAAACATACCTCGCCCTTTCGTGGCCAGACAGGGCGTGGTCGTGGTAGATCCCGTGGCACCTACCAGCCCTGAAGGGATCGTCGCCCCGGCAAGGGTGCCGATTCCACCGCAAAGCGTTGACCGGCGGGACCTCAACGACTGGGACCTCCCACCCCCAGCCATTCCGGTCACCGACAGACCTGTGGGTGGGAGACTAGGCCGGTTTTGGAGAAACTGGTCTATACTGGAGGACCCATTCGTCACAAACGTCCTCCGCCAGGGGTACCAGCTCCCATTGGCTGCACTTCCTCCTCTGACGTCCACTCCCGACAACAGACGCTTTTTCGCCACACCAACTTCGGCCCCTTCACGACAGCATCGCCTCCCTACTGCGGAAGGAGGCCATAGAGATCGTGCTCGACGACCCGGCTTGAAATCCAGGATTTTACTCCCCGGTGTTTCTGGTTCCCAAGAAGGGAACCACCAGCTGGCGCATGATACACAATCTCTCCACTTTCAACCGGTGCTACCTGGAACGTCCTCCCTACTTCTGAATGACGACGTAGCGACTGTTCAGGACCGAATGGCGACTCCACCCAGAGATCTTCACCGTCCTTTGTCAAACGATCGACACTCCAAACATCGATCTGTTCGCCACGTCTCAGAATTGCCAGCTGTCGACTTACATCTCGCCGCTCCCGGATCCGGCCGCTGTAGCAGTCGACGCCTTCAGTGTTCCCTGGGAGGGATTAAGCGCGTATGCTTTTCCACCTCCGGTTCTCCTTCCCAGGGTTCTTCAAAAGATCCAGGCCACTCGACACCTGACACTGATTTTGGTCGCGCCTTGGTGGCCGGCCAGAAGTTGGTTTGTCGACCTCCGAAACATCGCCAGAGACAACCCTCTAGAACTGCCGGCGTGGTCCAACCTGCTGCTCCACCCACACAGTCGGTTGCCACACCCAAGTCCCGCTCGGTTTCATCTGCATGCCTGGCACATCTGCAAAAAGGTCCAGGAGCCAAGGGCTATTCAACTAGAGCGGCCAAGGCTATTGCTTTCGCCAATCGTCCATCTACACGGGGACTTTATGATGATAAATGGTCCTCGTTCCAGGCATTCTGCTCTGACAAGCACCAGGATCCGATGACGGCGTCACCGCAGTTCCTTGCTGAGTTTCTCCTGTACTTGCGCAGCACACATCGATTAAAAGGCTTTACCATCTCCACGTACTTGGTCGCCATTAACTCCGTTCTTGCCATCCCGGACGACCGGAGAATGACGAAAATTCCCGAACTTCAGGCATTGCTACGCTCGTTTCGTCTTGAAGACCAGAAAGCCAAGTTCAGACCGCCTGCATGGTATCTGAATGTGATCTTAAAGGCTCTTCAGGAGGCTCCCTTCGAACCACTCCACGCGTCTTCCTTTTACGACTAAACGAAGAAGACGGTGTTTCTACTGGCCTTGGCTACTGCCGCCCGGGTTAGTGAGCTCCACGCCCTTGACGTCTCTCGTGTCCGGTTCACACGCGGGACTCATGGCGCAGTTCATCTTGGGCTGTGCTGGGACTTCATCGCAAAGAATCAACTCCCAGGACAGCCTGATAGATCCTTCACCATCCCTCCCCTTTCGCGATTGTGGGTGCCGACGACGTGGAGGAGCTTTTATTAAGCCCTGTTAGGGCCCTGAAGGTTTTAAGTCTAGGAAACGCCTTTTCCTACCGGTCTCCCCTTCGTCGGTGTCGGAGGTCAGCCGGAATACTATCTCCCTGTGGCTCCGGGCGGTCATCCTCCAAGCTTAAAAAGTCGACGGATTGGACCCCCAGCAAGGCTAACAACCCACACAAGATTCGGGCGGTCGCGTCTACCATGGCTCTTCACAGTAACTGTTCCCTCAAATCGATCATGGAAGGCTGTTTTTTGCGAACCGACACCGTTTTCGCCAGCCACTGCCTTCGTGATGTAGCCTTGGAAGATGTCGCCGGCGTTCATAGCTTTGGTCCCCTGGTGGTAGCTCAACAGGTCACCAACCCCCGACGCCACTGATTCTCCGTAACCCTGAGCGGGGCCCGTCGAACTCTCTGGTGTTTATCACCCCAGATTAGAGGGCTCTACTGCGTTCCGCATTCGCTCTTAGGTCAGTTCTAGTTTTGGCTTTCCCGCCTCATACTATTTCTGTCACCTATTTCGGGTTCCCTCTTTTGCATCGACTCTCGTTTCCTTCGACAGGAATGGTTGCTGGTGTTCCGGTCATCTCTTGTCCATGTGGTGCGGTTTCATCGGACCTTTGTCGAGGATTTTCTTCTGACTCACATCTGAAGGTATGCCCACCGGCCATGCCGTCTGATAAAGATTCAATACGGAGTAATGCAGGATAAGTTAAATTTTTTAGTAAAATCTAAATATTTTTTACATTTGTATACTTATCCTGCATTACGAAGTCTAAGTGCCCCCCCTGCGCTCCACTTCCTTGCCACGCAGTTTCCCATGTTATGTTAAAGCAGTTATGTGTTTTGACATGACGTCATATCTTCCGGGTCACGTGCCGACTGGGTGGGAGGGGGCGCTGCTTCCTGGACAAGATGGAAACAACTTTCTTCAGCAGCTGGATCTCACACAGTTCGTCTCTCTGTCAAAGACAGCAGTAAATGCAATACGGAGTAATGCAGGATAAGTATACAAATGTAAAAAATATTTAGATTTTACTAAAATCTTTCACTTATCCTGCATAACTCCTAAATGCATTAACTGCTTACCTTATGACAACAAAAAGACAGCACACAGCAATGGTCTTGGGTATAGAAATAAAGTTGTTTCAAAGTCCCACTCCTGCTTTTTGTTAGACCATGACCGCTGTCATGTGACCTTGATGACAAGTCACCTTCCTCACACCACTGTCTGTTGCCCGAGCTTAAACAACATACTTTTGAGGTTTCTGAAGCCAAAGTGGGGAGCCAAGTCTGCGATGGGTGCGTCCAATTTGAAGAGCTCCGCTGGGACACGTCCTTGCTGTAGCACGACAGGCAGTGATGTGAAGAAGGTGACTTGTGCTATTTCTTCCCCCGAGACCATCGCTGTGCGCTATCTTTTTGTTGTCGTAAGGTAAGCAGTGAATGCATTAAGGAATAATGCAGGATAAGTATACAAATATAAAACATATTAACATTTTACTAATATTGTATTGAGGACTATAATTATTTCTTATCCTGACACAACACATTACAGTTTCCTTCCTCGTTTTGATCACCACACAGAACCCAAAACACATTCCTCTTCTTCATCCAGGGTGCCACTCGCCTTGGTTACCAATCAGAGTTATCTGTCCTTGATCCCTCACATACCTTCTCACTGCACAAGAGGCTACACGGTTGCTTTTGGGGAATTTCATCCTTTAACATTGCAGAGCTTCAGATAAGCTGTGTTTGTGTAAAATACCCCCCCCGCCCCCCCTAAATATCCAAAACCCAATTACTTTCCTTTAAATTACTTACAGAAACGCATGCATTAAATAAAAAACTCAAATGTATAAAAACAGCATGCGTAAGTACCCAATGAAGCTTTTTCAGCAAGCATACAGCGGAGCTAATTTACAAAACACAATTACGAGCTAATTTGCTTTCCGAGTCAAGCCTATTTTTAGAACCGTTATATACTGCAGAATGTGCTACTTGATAGTGCTTCCTCTCATTTTGATGGTCGTAAATACGTCGCTGTCACAAGCTTGAAATGAATTCCAGACACGTGACTTCCTGTTATCAACCACACATGTTGGGAGGTTCCTTTCACCGGGGAAGAAAATCAGTGCAGCAAACAACACAGAAAAATAGGTTGTTTGCTTACATGACAGTAAATGTAAAACGTGAAACCAATCCAAATTAGGAAAATATTTCGGATGAAGATATTTCCATGCGTACAATCTCTGACTGGTTGGTAAATGCTGTTTTGATACCAGTTATTAAAAAAATGACACACTGTCATTTTAAACGAACAATCACAGAATGGAAAACAATGTTTCTATGGCATATTTTTGAAAATAAGGGTGAAACACTTGATGAGCTACAGTTTGTGTAGCATTTAGGGGGCATGGGTGGCCCAGTCATCTTAGGCGCCACAATTTGCTGTGCAGAGTTTCGTCCCTTGGCGACGCCAGAAACCTATGATTGTGGGTTCGAATCCCGGTTCGCCCAGATTATGTTTCTAGGTTTGTCATCACCATTCAAAAGTCCAGTATTACTAGACACAACGAAATGACTTTTGTTTTATTATTTTATTTTAGATATTTATTTTAGATATCAGTGAGTAAATATATCAGATAAATCACCTCCTGAAGAAAATACTGCAGTTGGCGTGGTCCGAGTTGCTTAGCAGAACATTTTCAAACATGGTGGTATTTTTTTCAATTATATGTCAGTGCCTGCAATCCAAATAACACAACATTAATAGATACATGGAGTATTGAATCTTCCTCAGGTGCATAATCCACATGGAATTGGGGTCGTGACATCCATGATCAATGGTCCACTGTCAACTGATCAGTGTCAGATGTCATGTTTTGGGTAAACAGAGAACACCTTTGTCAATTGGTCACCAGTGTTCGCAGTAATTGACTGTTCCATGTCATGTATTTAGTGTCACAGAGGTACTCAACCTAAGGTTGTCTCAACAAAGTGAAGTATTGTCCAGCTCTTGTTCATGTTGGATATGACTTGAGACTGTGACTTGAGACTGTGACCACAACAATGCGCAATGCATTTGTTAGACGTCCTGTTTGTCTTACCTACTAATTAATGAGCTGCTCCAAACTGGGGGCAGAGTAAGCTACTCCATCTTGTTAAGTGATACAGATTAACCAAATTATGATTGTGTTAATGAGTTGTGTTTGATCTGTGTCGGATTGCGTTTGTTTTTGAGTAGTTTTTTCAGTGATATAGACTATATTCGTCAGTTATTTATACCCTCTCTTAACGTGAGGGTTTGACCCAATGTCTACCCTCGTTGACCACCGCTTGCCCAGGTGAATGGCGCTGTCAATATGAAATGAGTTATTATGTGGGTCACCATGGGAGTATCCCGTTTTATGTATGTTTTGTTCATTGTAAGTGACTGTCACAGGATACATATTTTATTCCATCCCAAGAAACCTGAATGGTGACGAAGAAGTTTTTGAATAGGCTATCAACCGACTTGGCTTCGGACACAGAATTCTAAAGTATCCAGTAGGCATTTCGTCAAGGGGCGCTAGAGTGAAAACAGCTTCATTTTAGAACCAAGAACTGACAAGATCCGTGAACAAGTGTAGCCCCAGATCAAGCGTGGTATGTCAACTTGACCTTCTAGTTGGCGGTAAGTTGAAATTTGCTCATTTTCAAAAGTATGCCAAAAATGATACGAGTTATTGATTTCATGAAGTGTGGGAAACATGCTCAACGTAATCATTTCTTTACTTGAAAACACCTTTTTTGTATTTTCAAACTTGAATCGCCTATAGAAATCGGACCTTTAGCAGAGGTGTGTCATCGATTTAGAGTTATGTGCCCTTGGTGTAGGCATGTTAGGAGAACAGCAGACAAGACGACAAATAGGTTTAACACACTAAAAGCGTTTAAGAAAACACCACTTAGTTTCTTCATCCTTCCTTTAACTGTCCAGTGAAACCCATACAGCTTTTATTCCATCATAATTGACAAATGTCAAAATACAATTAATAAAATAATATTTATTTTCATGATTTCCATGTTTCTGTTTTGGTCTATGTTGAGTTCAATTTGTCATGACATTGCTTATAAGATATTATTTTGGTATATGCTTATGTTGTTTGGTAGCAATGAATAGCGTAAAATGTTCAAAAGGTGCATTATTTCTACATAATCATAAGACTTTCATCGCATTAATTGGTATTTTGTAGTCCCTTCATTTTTACTTTTTACTTTTTAAAGATCTGCCAAGGGAAATGTGCCACTGTAGTGAGGACTTGCTTAAAGATGTCTCGCACCACTGCCATCCACCTACAGATCCGACTCGTGTCCAGGTCGTCAGTACTTTGAGGAACCGGGCCAGGGAAGAAGCAGCACCTGTCCAGGCTGTCTACACCTGATCAGTGTATGTTGTGTATATAGTGTCTTTTGCAATAAAGTAATGAAATATGTCCTGTAAATATACTACTCAAAACAAGTTAAGGGTCATAAATTCTCTTTCAGATTAAATCCTCCTTGGGGCACTTATTGCATTTTCCTTGCTCAAGAAAATCTATATGACATAGTTGCAACCATTTTCCTTAATAAAAAATGTTACCACACAAAAAACAACGTTCCATCTACTTCCTCTCTCGCCGAGGAGTCGGAGGCTACCTTCGGCTCGGAGTCGAGGGATGAGGAGTGGTTGGAGGAGGGAGGGGATGACTCGGAGGCTTCGGGAGCTTTTCGCATCCTCGCTGAGGCATGTCCGGGATAGAATGGTCCAAGTACTGCCTCAGCTGGCTGCCCCTATGCCCTTCTCGGATCCGTCTGAGTTCCGCCTTCCGGGGGACGCTTTTGTTCCGTGCAAAGCCCCCAAGGTGCGGCTACGCATTCTGACCTCACTGGTACACGAGGTCATTGATCCCCTGCTTTCGGGTGCCCGTAAGAAGTTCGATCACCCTGAACTTACTAGGTGGTACCCGGTGGCAGAGGAACATGACTTCGAGGTGCCAGTCGTGGATGAGTGCGTCTGGACTTCGGTGACCCTGGGGGGTCTTCGTCCTCCAACTTAGCTAAGGCTAAGCAGGGCCGGCGGTTGCCACCCTTCCCGATGTGCGGGGCAGAGCTTAAGGCGGCTTACGTTTGCTTTGAGGAGCAATATCGTAATGCTTGCCAACTACCCGTCCACTCGGCTTACCTGTCTGCGGTGCAGCGGGAGCTGGTGGGTGAGGGGCGGTCAGACTCTTCGGAGTTGGCTGGCCAACTTACCGAAGTTCACAGCCATCTGGCGAGGGATGCTATTCGTAGCTGCGCCTCCCAGATGATGTGTGCAGTCATGGGCATGCGCTGGCTGCGGATGTCCGTGTCCAAGTACTCAGCGTCCACACGCCAAGAACTACTTGCGCTCCCTTATAAGTTGGGTTCTACCTTCTTCCCTGGGGCACAGCAGGTAGTTCGGGAGGCCCCTGTGTTGTATGCATCCATCAAGGACTCTAAAGCCTTGTTGGAGGTGCCTAACACCAAGCTTCACAAGCGGGCCTTCCCCCTTGCCTCCTCCTATGCCGATGCGCCGGCTCGGAAGTCCAAGCCTGCTTGGAAGCAACCGCTTCCTTCAGGCAAGGCATCGGGAAGGCCAAGAAGGGCAAGCGCCGGGGCAAGGGCCGGGGCAAGGCTGCAGGCAGGGGCCAGCAGCCTTTTCGCGGGGCTAGGAACCCCAATAGCTCCTGCTCGGCCCCAGGTGGCCCCACAGTTACCAGCCCTAGGGCTGCCGACTGTTGGGGTTCATTGCCTGAAGCCGGAAGTTCCCGTGGGCGGCCGACTCTCTCTCTTCCTGTCGGAATGGGAGAAGGTGTCATCCAATCCCTGGGTCATGTCCACACTCAGGGAAGGCCACTTGCCTCAGTGGAAACTTCTTCCGCCACCCTTCTCCGGGATAAGGCGCACTCCGGTGCCCGCTACCAAGGAGAAGGCGGACATACTTTGTGCCGAGATTGTAGCACTGCTAGACAAAATGCTATCGATCCGGTTCCAATGGGACAGGCAAGCGAGGGCTACTACTGGACTTATTTCCTCGTCACCAAAAAAGACGGAGGGTTCAGACCTATTCTCAAGAACCTGAGAAAACTGAACAAACTCATAGAGGTACCGTCCTTCAGGATGGAGACACTGTGCTCAGTGACCTCTGCTGTAGAGACCGGGGAATGGCTGACGTCGATAGACCTTAAAGACGCCTATCTCCATGTACCTATACACCCCGAGTTCAAGAAATACCTGAGGTTTTCTTTCGACGGGAGGTGTTATCAGTTCCGGGTTCTACCCTTCGGGATCCCCACGGCCCCTAGGGTGTTCACCAAGCTGATGTTGATTCCTGCCCAAGTGGCCAGGTCGAAAGGTCGGTTCTGTCATGAGTACCTCGACGACTGGCTGCTACGAGCGCTATCTCATCATATGAGTCAGATTGCTACACAAGAGGTGTTAGACATTCTGGTATCTCTAGGGTAGTCAACCTAAAGAAGTCAGATCTGAACCCTGCTCAGACCCTGGTCTTCTTAGGGGCAAATTTCAACACAGAGAGCGGGCTTGTCTCCCTCTCACAAGACCGCATTGTCAGGTCAGGAGTGTAACTTCACTGTTCCTTCTTTCCACGCGACACACTGCTTGCACATGGCTCGACAAACACTCTAGGGAGCGTGCTCGGTTCGATCAGTCAGTTCTCCGCACTGGGCAGAGTTCTACATCTCTAGCCGATTGAGTCTTCGAGATTTTAGAATGTCCTCTGGTTTTCTTGACTTTGTAATGCTCCGTCTCCTCTCTTCTCTCAGGGACTGACGATTCTTGGTAGGCATTACTAATCGATAAAGCTCCCGTTTTGCGCACGATACTCGCTCGATCCTACGGGACCCTAAAGCCTGCCTATCTACCAGGCGTATTGTCCCTTGTGATTGTTGTCCCCGTTATCACTTGTACAAAAGTGTGTGTGGGGGGGTGTTCTTGAGTTTTCACTCGCTTTATGATAAGCCCATTACTGAGGCTTTTTTCATAGCATATGGTCAGACCACTCCCTGTCTCAAGCCCCCGCCTCTCAACGGTGGTGCCTCACGATAAGGTGGGTTCCATTTTTTAAATTCTCTATCATCATGTAAAACGATGTGTTTATTTACGCTTGTTGCAGACGGATGCCACTTCCTTTATTATCTTTAGGAGTCTATCTTGATGCAATAAGTGCCCCAAGGAGGATTTAATCTGAGAGAGAATCGTACAAACCTGTAGAGGTTATGGATTCTCTGATGAAATACTCCTTGGGGCACGGCCGCCCGCCTCCCCACATTCCGTCTGCTATGTGACATTGGAAAAGTGATTTGCGTGAGAGTCGCTCCCCTTGGCGTTTGTTGCCTGTAGAGGGTGTAGGGGTGGTCATATATCATACAAAAACGATTTTTGTGTGGTAACATTTTTTATTACGGAAAATGGTTATAACTATGTCATGTAGATTTTCTTGAGCAAGGAAAATGCAATAAGTGCCCCAAGGAGGATTTCATCAGAGAATCCATAACCTCGACAGGTTTGTACGAATTTATTGATGATATTCTGTCATAATACAGAAAGAGGAATATTTTAAATTCATTGTAATACAGTTGTAAGTTGTGAGTACCAGAAGCATGCAAATCAATACGTGAGACACGCCATGAAAATCCCAGACAATAAATTTTTCAGCATTGAGGGGTTAAACAGAACTGTGTTACTCACAATCACCATGTCAATACAGAGTGAAACAACCTCTACTTGTAAACAGTCGACGCACCGTTGAGGCATGCTGTCGATCAGATGTTGGAAGAACGGTTGTGGAAAACCTGCCGCTCTACCCGAAGGAACTGGGCCAATTCTTGAAGGGAATCAGCTTGTCTATGATTGTCTCTCACTCGTCTGCCCAAGTCATCCCATGCATGCTTAATCGGTGCCAAATCAGGCGAGTATGCAGGCCAATCCATTCGTTCAATCCATGTCATTTTGGTTGAGAAAAGTATTCACAAGCCTGGCACAATGGGTCTAGCATTGTCATCTTGAATAATCGAACCAACTCCAATGTGGCAAAGAGTGGGAACATCAAGATGTCTCTGTATCTGATACCGGTCAAATTTCCTTGGACGACATAAAGAGTAGTCCTGTGGTGCATAAACATTCCTCCCCAAACCATCACTGAACCGTAGCTAAAACGATCACGCTGTCTCGTAAATCTCTCCAGGTCGTAGGTAGACACAAATTCTGCCATCATTCAATTGTAAAGCAAACCTGGATTCATCCGTGAAGAGTACCTTGCCACTGACGACATGCCCAGGCTCTGTGACATGTGCACCAGACCCTGAATGCTGTCCTATGACCTTGAAGAAGAGTTGGTTGAATTGCTTGCCGCCGCGATCAATTGTTGTTTGCTCCCAAACAATTCCGTATGGTCTGGTCTGACACCTGAAAACCAGTTACATGTCGCAGTTCATCTCTCAGATGTCTAGCTGTGATAGGTCGTTGACGTTATGCCATGTATTGGATACACCAGTCATCATGCTGTGATGTTGATCTTGGCCTACCTGAGTGGGGATGATTCTGAATGGAATTGGTGGCTCGCTGCCATAGTCTACCAATCACACTTTGGCTTCATTCCTCTCTGAATAACCATCCTGCAGCCATGCAGTGTCTCTTCCTATATCAACATTGCTTAGTTATGTCTGACCATGATGAAATTACAAGTGGGAACAACACGAGCATTGTAGCAATTTGTATGCCCCAAATATCCACGGAAAACACAGATTGCAGGTGCATTAACATCAGAAACTCACGATGATCGGGCAACAATGCATTTGGCCAATGCAAACAGTTTTGTTGACCCTTGTTTTTCAGCTTGAATTGATGATTTGTCAAAGGATTCTCACAGTCGTTGTGGTTGCCTAGTGCATATGATTTGTGCACAATGCTAAGCATTAGGACACATTAAACCCATTTCAACTGCATTTGCAATTAGAAATTTCTATTTCCTATGTTTTCTATGTCAAATTACCGGCAGTGCTGGAATATATGTTTGGCCCTTAACTTGTTTTGAGTAGTATACTTCAACGTGTGATATAACACATGTTCAGTGTATATTTTGTATATAGTGTCTTTCTAATGATGTGATTATAATTAATATCATATTTTAAATAATATGATAACATTTCTGCTGTATAAGTGTTAAGTTAAATATATCCTGTAAATAATTCAAAATATGTGATTTCTGTTGAATACTTCAAACTGTGTGATTTCTTGTATGATTTGATGATTAAAAATGCATAATAAACCTATCCTGTAAATTCCTCAAAATGTGTGTTTTCGGGTCTGTTCCACATTAATGAAAGGTAAACAGGTAATTATTGCTCGACTAACCAACCTTGACTAATCCTGGTATAAGCTGTCTGACAATTGGGAGGTTACTGTTTGCTACAGCATAAAGTTCTGATCCTCCGAGCATCTTAATAAGCTGCTGTACTGTGTTTCCCAGATATTTTCTTTGTGTCTCATCGCATATTGTGTCACAATATATATTCTGAGGGATTGATGGGCTCTTGTTGAAGTTCCGATCCTCCATGCATCAAATATCTGAAACCGCATTGTTACTCAACCAAGGAGTGTAGCTTTCCATGGTAGAGTAAGGATGTGACAGGGTTTAGTGATATGGTCACTCATTCAGCTTAGTCTCATCCAGATATAATCCAGTGATGGTTAGCAATGATGCAAGCTGCAGACCATGCCTTCAACTGTGGGATAACCATTGCGCAATATGTTGTGTCTGGATACAAATTGTTTACATGACAATACTTAGATAATATAGATATAATTATCCTGGTGCAAGTCTCAGTCCTGCCTGTCCATCATCCCCCATACAGCTACATACTGATGAGGAGGCGGTAGGGGATCAAAGGTAATGCTGACTGATAACCAATGGCAGCAGGCGCCCAGATGTAGAAGAGACATGTTTTGGATTTCTGAGTTATATGCTCGTGAACACCTTGAGAATACAGTACCACAACTTCTCGTTAGAACGATCTCTGCTCTGCATCTGTTAGTCCAACAGCTAGCTGACCGAGCTACATCAACACTGTTAAACTTACTGCAGATTTACCTAGTCATGCCTCAGACGTTATGGAACTGAACAGAAAGGGTGGAATAGATGAGGGACACTTACAAAGGTTACAGGTAGGCATGGTGTCTTGTGACTTTAGTCTGCAGACACTCAGGATTGGCATACTCGTCCCATTCCGTAATCTCTAAGATACAGAGTGGTGAGGAATGAGCTGTAATGGTGCGAAAACTCCAGGCATCAGATGTTGAGATCACGAGTATGCATGAATGACAGGGTTTTGATAATTCATTTGTTGATTTTGTCACTGAAGAGTGTTGGAGGTAGCACTGTAAGGACAACGTGAATCATAGTAAGGAACAAGGAAGGCATAGGCATGGCTCCTGACTCCACAAAGGTGATTCAGCTTTTGAATCATAACTCACTAAGTGTTGTGAGTGAAAGTGGCGTGCATGGAAATTCCATGACAGTGTCCAGAACATTTGACATGAAACTACTTCATCCTTCTTAGTTGATGTTATAGTGAGAAGAATAAGTGCAACTGAAATGTGAAACGATATATAAAATAAACAAGAATACCCTGACAAATGCATTTACTTGCATGCTTAGTGTCTTCGGCTACCATGCTTGAAAATGCATTAGAAGTGGGTACAACCCCCTTAGACCCCCTACCCAGCTGGTAAAGACTTGTATCAATCCTTGTCAATAGAGAGTGTACAGACCGGCCACGTTCAGATATGTGCAACGTCAATAAATAAATACCTAATAAACAACATTCCTGTTCATAATAATGAAAACTGCTGAATCGACATAAAAATATGTGTATTAGTTCCCATTTGTAATCCATTTATCCATACCATCAAGTTGAAGCAAACAAACATGTTGAAAAGAAATGCTTTCATAACCTGGTTCCTGCTATAAAATGCGCCGCAGCAGGCTATGTTTAGTAAACAAATAGTGAAAACTCTCAACATCGCCGGGCATGTTCAGTGATATTGTGTGTAGAGATGATGGATAACTGAGAGGAGCTTATACACACTTGATGACCCCTGACATCACAGTAGGGCTGGGACGAGTCCAAATTTACTACCCGGGTGCCCATCCCCCTGTTGCCAGACTCTACCTGGATACCCGCTGTAAGCCTCAAGACTTAGGTACAAACTGTCCGACTGGGAAAAGTTTGACCGTATTCCTGGAAAAATGTGTTTAGATACACATTTAAAACGATCTGGTGTATACACTGAAGTTGACTGAAGGTTTATTTTATTTAAAAATAAAAATGTCAGCAGGAATGGGTGTTGTAGTTAGAAAGAACTGCGAACATTGGTGACTTGTAGTATGACCATGGAGTTTTAGATCATTTTTGTCATTATACAATATATCACGTGACTAACCACGGGTCCAGGTAGTCCTGTGGGTAACCGGGCCCTATTCAGTACCTACCCGACCCGAGTACCCGAGGTACCCATCCCAGCCCTACATCACAGGGCATCGTTTCGCTAGTGTGTCTGGAAACAAAATAAAATATTACATCATAGGGTATTGTGACATGTTTGGAAAATTTGTGTTACTGTATTCTAAATGTAGGCCTATGATCAAAGTGAAAAATGAAATTGCAATATGTTTTGTCAGGATAAGTATACTATATCATGAAGTCTCTGATAGGCATTAAGAAGTTGGGAGAACATGAATACATTACACTTTTTATATTGATAGCATTATAAAGAATAAAAGAAGTTGCTATCCGTAAAAAAGTGTCATGTATTTACATTGAATATGAATATCCAAATTCATCTTATTTTGTTACAGGAACACAGAGATGCCATTTCTGCTCATGAGTTGACAAGGAGACTGGCCTTAGAATGGGAGAATATTGCAACAGAGCAGAAAAAGGTCGGTCAGCTGGGGTTTCACCATAACATTTTCTTTGAAAAAGGCCTAAGCATGTGATATGCAGAATAAGATACGATACGTTTCTTTACATCTTGAAATGTTTGACCCTGATGTGGCCTGAGCTTATGTCGTGTCCTGTTCATCCATTGTAGACAACTTTTCTGAAATCACTGCACTATTTAAGCTGAAACTTCACATGCTTGTTCCCATGGTAGACATAATGAAAATCCTGCTGTGGCCATAACTCGGCCATTTTTGCTCTAAATGCAATGTTCTGTTTTTTTGCAGTAGTTTAACTTTGCTTGTATGATAATTGTGGTACAAAGATTTAAGGCTTCATGAAGGCTCCTCCAATCATGTCATTTTACAGCGTCACCTTTTATCAGGAAGGTACAGCTGGTCAAACTTACTATATCAATCTACCATTCGAAAGCAATCAACATGCTTTCTAAACCAAGTCTGAAGTAGTAGCAGCCATGGCAGCAGTAAGCCTTGGATAGCAAGCACCTCGTTAATAACACTGGCAAAAGGTTGCTTCTATTTAACAGCGTCACGTTACAGCGTCACCTTTTATCAGGAAGGTACAGCTGGTCAAACTTACTATATCAATCTACCATTCAAAAGCAATCAACATGCTTTCTAAACCAAGTCTGAAGTAGTAGCAGCCATGGCAGCAGTAAGCCTTGGATAGCAAGCACCTCGTTAATAACACTGGCAAAAGGTTGCTTCTATTTAACACTGCAGTGAAGCCCTATATCAAACTGGCATGACAATCAGCAGTCAACACAATATAATAATAATAATTTGATATGAATATAATGTTGATTTTTTATTGGTTCAAAGTCAGATATTTTTCTTACTGATACAGTAAAGAGAAACAATATGAAAAGCATGTGGCACTACAGTGTTGATGTTGCAGGTTTACCAGGACATGTATGAGCAGAGTATGCAGCAGTATGAGCTGGAGATGCAGGAGTACGCAATGGGCCAGTATGGGGAGGCTCCAGATCCACGGAGGCCCACCAGTCCACTGGCAGACGCAGCCATGACGGCACTCGAACTTGCCTCCAGGTACGGCGCCACTCTCAATGTGAAACAAGAAGTGGAGGATTGAACATTTTCACCTTCAATCGGGCATATGAAGCAGTGAGTGACGGATTAATAATTGAGACAGTCAGACAAAGCATTATGCAATGTATAGTGAGTGACTATCATGCATTTTGACAGCTTCAACCAGTGTACTTGACCAAGGAACATTCTGGTATGGATATATTTTCATGTGCTGTCCTTGTATATGGCTGAGGTGGACATAAAGAACAATGTATTGTTTTAAGTGGCTTTAAGAATTGTTTGAAACTATGGACCAACTAATGTGTGTTGGTGTGGCTTAGCTTCACTTACAACAGTTATGAGCATGTTGATATGTTGCCATGGTAATCTTGTACATATATCCTCTCATACTTGTTAATCAGCTGTTGACCGGAGCACATAGTCTTGTGTTTGTCATCATGATGCATCTTCATCTGTTAAAAGTATTCAGACAAAAAATATTTCTCATGTCAACTTTGTGATTTATATGCATATGTTCTTGTGCAGGAGATGTATTGTTGATGATGAGAGGCGTCCTAAGCTTCAACTCTCCCTTGTGAACTACCCTCATCCACTGGATTTGTAGCGGTCAGTTGCTTGTCACATATTATCAGTTACTTTGGTAACAAGGATGAGTGACAGCTTGATGTCACATGTTCTCTTTATCAGTGTTTCCACCATGGTGTGGCTAGGGTTTCTGTTGTGTTTCTGTTCTCTGTGTGAGGTCCCCTCTGCTGTTGCCAGTGTCTAGGTTGTGTGCTGCAGCATGTAGAAACTAGCTGCTGGTCTGAAGGAGGATCAAGGTCAATCATTGCAAATGATGTGTAGAAAACAAGTGTGTCTTTAGCTATATAGAACTTGTAACATTGGTACTTAAGTTAGCAGCTGAAATGTTGATGTAACAATGCATTAAAAGAGCTTAATTGTTAAATTTTGTGTATCCTCTGCATTAAAATGACACATGTCAAGTTTCAGGAACCCTTATTTCACGTTGACACATTGCTGGAATTCCTGTCATTAATTGGAGGAAGACAGGGTTGACTTCCTGCTTGTTTAGTTTTACAATGCAATTGTAAGAATAAGAAAGTTGATCATGCTTTTATTGATGCAGTTTCCAAATCCCTTTTAGAAATTTAATTGATTGTTTCATTGAAAGTGTGTGTGCAAAAGTGTTTTTTTTTAAAAACAATTTGATGAGGTATTGTTATGTCCTGTATTGCACCTGGCTATGTTCAGTACTGGCTGCTTGTGTAGTTGGTGCACACATACTTGAGGTGCTGCAGCGTTCTAATGACATATCACGCCAACATTTTGTATTTTATGAGGTATTTTTATTGTTTTCTTGTGCCATGGAACACAAACTATTATGATTGTTCGGTGTGTGATAGCTTGTTAGATATAGTGTGAAAAATGTGGTAAAAGTGCTAAACTGAAGGATGCAAATAAACTATGAAATATGTTTTCTGTTGTATGCATTCTTCCTTATAACCATTTATCATTGATGGTTATCTTTTACAACATGCACACATCTACAAAATTACTACAATTCATGAAATGTCTACATGTAATATATTAAAACACAACTTATGGCCAGTTCCACAATAAAATCCAACAACTCCTGACAACCATACTTCTGTTACGTGTAATGTGTCTGTGAAGGTTGCTCTTGAGTACACATCTAATGATCTTTACTAAGTCCACAAAGGCAAATGTCGACTCGTTCTGCAGACCAGAGACCATATAATATATGGTCTCTGTGCAGACTAAGACATTTCAAACTTTTGTTAGGTTGTTTTCTTTTAACAGAAGAAAGGATTTCTGATTTTGACTGGCAACAATATTGTCCTGTGTCATTTTGATCCAAGTTGGTTGGTTGGTTGGTTTGTCGTTTAACGCCACACTCAGCAATATTCCAGCTATATGATGTCAGTCTGTAAATAATCGAGTCTGGACCAGACAATCCATTGATTGACATCATGAGCATCAATCAACGCAATTGGGATCGATGACGCATCAACCAAGTCAGCGAACCTGACCACCAGATCCCGTTAGTCGCCTTTCACAGCAAGCATGGGTTGCTGAAGACCTATTCCACCCCGGATCTTCACGGGTCTTTGATCAAGTACTTTGCCATCAGCTCATGTAGATATACACAAGTGGATGCACAGACAGTACAGTGTGTTCACTGCACAGGTTTTAGAATAACTTATAAACCTACTGACACTTTCCCTAATGTATTGTAGGTATCTTTCTATCTTGTTATAACCTCTTGGGAGGTTTTGCTTTTTGCTAGTAAGACCTGGTATGAGGTTTTGCTTTTTCCAAGTAGGTAAGACCTGATGATTTTGAGTAGCAGATGGAAATTGGACTTCTAACGTCCAATGTTCTAAAATTGAAGACAAAAAATGAAACTTTTTCACTATGGATGACAGGAATTGAACCTCCAACCTGACCTATTGTGTTAAGTTTTGTAACCCACTGTTTTCCCACTGAGATACCGGGCAGGGTGTGAGAGAATGTTCAATTTTAGATGTCATGACTTAGGAACACGACAAAGAGAAAACTTTCTCTAGCATGCTTGATCGCATTCCTTTTATTTCTTTGCTCCTGAGTCTTACTTTCTCATCCACAACCTTGGAGGCGTCTTTTATCATTCACATTTGTCCCTGAAATGAAGATTTTTAGGTTTGATAATATACTGTTAGGTAGAGATGTGGTGGAGATTAGAATGGGAATCAAATCTTTAAATAAAATTTGCTTGAAATCCTTTAAGATAAGCCTTTTGACGTATCCTATATACCTCAAAATTTGGTGTTGTTTCAGGCCTAATTCTCATTCATATGAACCCATCTGATGACTTTCAGTTGATTTCTGAAGTTTTGCTTAATTTCATAAATAATGCAGGTCTTCAGGGTCAAAAAGGTTCTTTGTCTTTGATTCCAATCCCTCCTTTTCTTACAGGAGTATTTTATCATCAAGGCGTACAACTCTGATGTAAGCACACCACCAACAAATTTATTTCATATGTCTTGTGTGTATGATACTGTGTGAAGGAAACACATGGCGCTGTTCCTAAGTAATTGTCACATATTAGTGCCATACACTTGTCAAGGGTGGACTAGTCATCTTAGGCATCACATTTGCTGTGCAGAGTTGCATCCCTTAGGCACGCCAGAAACCCATGATCATGGGTTCGAATCCTGGTTCGCCCGAGTATGTTTCTAGGTTGTCAACGGCATACCCGTGCTTGTCTGTTTTCACTAAAGTGGTAAAACGTCTAAGACCTTCATCACTTCGGGGTTTTCTCCCATATCAAGCTGATGTGCCATGATAGACAACTGGAAAAATGTTCAAGCGGTATTATACCTAACACACTCACTATACACTTGTCATTCAGTAATTTAATGTTATCGTACTTTGATTTTTTGCCCTTTTAATGAAGGGACCTTGCAAGGGATCAGACATTTGTGTTTCAATGTGTAATTAATTAAGGGGACTGTTTAATATATTTCCTGAAATTGGCCACTGTTGCAATTCTTTTCTCAATTACGTGCTTATGACAACAGATGTTTTAATTCTGGTGTGTGAATGAGTGAAAAATGCCTTGAACAGTGGCCTGTTATAATTATCCATTACCCAAAGTATCATATGTCAACAAGTCACAAACAACACAACACTATTGATCTTATTAAAAATGAATTATATTTACACAAACCCAAAGTTGTGAATAATACATAATAGGTACAGTTCATATTCAATATATGTTGAATGTGTTGTGCTATATTCCCAAAAATGATAATTAAACATTCAGTCAATTTTGAACCATAAAGCTCTAAAACAAATCAGCTAATTGTGTAAGAACTACAAGTAGGGCACTATGTACAGAACAATGGAGGCACATCCAAATACAGAAAATCTTAACCAAACTTTTGAAGTTGTTCCATAAACCTGGACATGGCCCATGCAGGAACACCACAAACAATCTCTACAATTTTGCCAGGAATTGTTTTAAAACTTCATGATTCAGTTTCAATGTGTCTACTTTCCAAGATGCTTTTTCAGGCTATCAAACAGACACATAAAACCACATGACAAAACATTATTTTTACTCAAAGTGAAAGATTCTACAATACATGATTCAATCAGCAATGTAGATTACTCTATGTTTCTCAAAGATTTCAATGTCTCTTTCAAGCTGTTTCATCTGAGCTTCCATTCGCTCCTTCCGGTTCTTCTTTGGCGCTGTATCCGTGACAACAGAGAGGCCCTGGTACTGGTCATGTATGTCCTCCCAGTTGGCTTTCAGCCCATCAATGATTGCATCCCGTTCTTCTGCTGTTAGGGATCGCATTGCTCCACGGCGGAAGTGCTCTGCAACATACTGATCATATTCTTCCTGTGCACGATCCATCTCAACCTTGCGGCGCTGTAGATAGGTTGGAACCTCACCATATTCCTGAAAACATTGATGATACATTACATCAGCTTGGTCAAGAATGGTTCAATAGGAAGGGTCTGTGAGGAACAAAGATTTGACATTTTCAAACACTGATACTAAGCTAACTAAATGTGGTCATATCACAAACCATCCAGGAAGTTTCTGATATATAATGACATTGTTTATCAATCTATCATTAAGTCTATTGACATATATACAGAACCTATTGTATCTGCAAAGCAATAATAAAGGGGTACAACCATGACAAAACACAGAGCGTCTCACATCTACATTAAGTAGGGATAGTTATATTTCTGTTGGGTCCCAATTAGTCACTCACCTGTTTGTGAATGAAATGTGGTTCCAGGCCAGACGGCTCCAGTGCATGTGTGTCCCCAATACGGGTATCAGCAAACTTCTTCTCCGGCTTCTTCGGAACAGATGTGATGTTTTCCACTGCATTATTAGTGATGAAATTCTTGGTTGTCTTTAAGCCCATTAGTGGCTTGTCATCTTTCTTGGGCACTGCTGGCTTCTTGCGTTCCTCATCTGGGTACTTGTATTCTTGTTCTGTAAGATTATGAAATGGAAAAACATTAAAAAGGTTTTCAAGCATTAACAATTTCCCAGCAACTGACTTTCTTATATGAGTGAATAATGCCACAACATCTATTACAGTAGCCGTAAATCAAGGCTGAAACACACAATTGGTTGAAATACACCAATCCGCAAGTTCAGGATTCAATAACACAACGTCAGAAATGATAACAACCTGTTTTGTGTAGCTAAGGATGAAATACTATAATTATCTGAAAAAACAAAATCATTATTTCACTTAGGTGAAATAAAACTATTTGCCAGAAATATTTGCAGTCAGCCTGAATGAAACTATGTGGTTCAGACCAAGACATGAAGGATTAGAGAGAAAATATATAATTGGAACATTTGGCTCTGTTGTCAAATACTGTGACCTGAAAAAAGTTGACACCACTCATGAAAACATCAAGTTTGTCAGGTCACTTAATGAGTTAACATGTTATTTGAAAAGGAAAGACAAATGACCTCAGTGTCCTCATATTATTTTGCCTTCACAACAAACATGATGCATTAATGGCCTATTTTTAAGAGGCGACTAACAGGATCGGGTGGTCAGGCTCGCTGACTTGGTTGATACATGTCATCGTATCCCAATTGTGTCGATCAATGTTCATGATGTCAATCAATGGATTGTCTGGTCCATACTCGATTATTTACAGACCACCGTCATATAGCTGGAATATTGGAATATACGGCATGAAACAACAAACAAACAAACCACATGGGTATTTTAATGATTCCTTGAAAGTTACACACTGAAATTAACTTTTCTCAAATCAGGTTAATGAATTCAATATTTATTCCATACCATTTTCATAAACTGGTCAAAAAGAAATTTGATGACATATCTGTTTTAAACATTTGCAGAATGCAGCATGTCAGTGTCAGAGAGACACATTTCACACTCAGGTTGGGTGGACCCATGGTTAGTCACGAGATGTATTGTGTAATGACAATAAAACTTCATGGTTACACTACAAGTCACTAATGTTCGCATTTCTCTCTTCCTATACATGCATTCATTCCTTTTGACTTATATATGTTTGTGTAAAGATAAAACTTCAGTCAAATTCAGTGTATGCATGATCAGATCATATTATACGTGTGTCTGAATAGTTTTTGCCAGTGCTCCAGTAAAACCATTCCCAATCTGACATTTTGTACCCAACTCTTGAGATCTACAGGTAGGGTCAGGAAAAGGGTCGTCAGGTGCACACGTAGTAAATTTGGACTTGTCTTAGCCATAGTAATTTCTATTTTGACTATTTGTCCAACTAGTTAAAATCAATGACTGTACCTGCAATACCTGGATATAGAAATTATTTTCTCTGGTGACGACGCACTTTCTTCTAAACACGTCAGTAAAGAACTTTATAGTATAGTTATAGTTACGCATATGCAGGACAATGAGATGAAGATGCTCACTTGTTGGTAGCTTTGGTTCCTTTTCCCTTTTCTTCAGGAAGTTATCTGTTGTAGGCACTGGTACTTTGGCCTGGCCCATAGTTTTGTGGTCAGCTTTGTTGTGCTTAAACTCATCTCGCACTGTGGACTTGAACTTGGATGCATGCCTGGAATGGTAAATCATGTTTCATAAGTTGTGCAACATATAGGCCTATCCCCTTATAGGGAAAGGAAACTAAGTATGATCTTTGATGATCTTTGAAAAACACTCTCAACCCCCACTAATTACCAAAGTGTTCCCCAGTAGTGGCTTGGTCTGTTGCTGATCAGACCAAGACGTCAAGGAAGAATTATGACTCTGTTGCAGAGACTTTTGAATGATAAAGAATGACATTTGACATCAGTAAGAATTTGAATTAAATTATTTATAGTAACCTCATGTGAACATATTTTAGGTTTTATGAAAATCCCTTTATATTTTCCAGTCCATCCCGATTACATGAGAATTGGTGCCCTTTTTCACAATATGTTAACAATAACCCATGTTTTTTTCAAATTATAAGTTTCGTTTTCATGGTATCACCCTGTGCCATAAAGCTTTGGTCATGTGAAGGACAGATGAGTGCAATGTGAATACAAACCATAAGAAATAACTGTGACATTTTGGTTGAATACCATTGTAACTATCGCTGAATAACCGTTTGGTAATTAGCGGAGCTCGAAGCGTCGGCTACCCTAACTGTTTTCCTTGGTAACACCGCACAACGCGTCTCACAATCTACTTTAGTTTCATTACATATCAGCTGCACCCTGAGCATGAAAACTTAGGTAATATATCAGTCTTACACAATAAAACATAATCAACAAAGTATACGCCGTTATCTGTTATCGTGTCAACATCTCTGTTGACTTAATAGGCTATCCAAGAAACTAAAACATTCAGCGGGGAAGCCTTCCTCCTCACCTTGCATCTTTAGGTGGCTTGAACTCCTCTACAGGAATAAGGTTGTAAATGGTCCCTTCTTCAGCTTGATGCATCTCGATATTTGTGTAACTACTCTCCGAAGGTTGTTGTTGGTACTGAAATAAATATCGAGGCAAGAAATGTTTTAACACCTATTCATGTCCAACGGACCCCAACAACAACCGTAACTAGGGAAATCACGTGACGTCACCCAAGGGAGATAAATAAGCTGCCTTCTGAGTTGATAACCGCTAAGCATATATACTGGATCCGCTGTTGGTACGCATCAGAATTAAGCTTAGTTACTAGTTTAGGTAGACAGGAGCCCATTCGTGGGCTAATAAAGTCTTACAAATCTCAATGCTAAATTGATAACCTAAATTACATGGTAGGATTTAAAAACTATACCCCGTAACTCCCAAAAACACCAACTTCTCACACCAAAACAAAATATTTCCATGCAAAACATCCAAGGCCCCCTTTTCAGACCACCCCCCGTCCCCCATCCCCCTCCATCGAGATGGGCAAGTGGGCAAAGTGTCTTCAAAGGTTCAAAGGACGTATAATTAATTATTCACGTGTTAGCTCACCGTGCAGGATCATCGGTATAACCTATCCAAACATCATGTCTAATCACTACCGAAGGTAAAACTTTAAACTTTCAATGTCCATAACCGTTTAGATTCACTCAATATTGCCTAAGAAGATCCTAATCCCCAGATGAGCTGGCTAATTGTTAATCCCCATTTCGATGGTATTATACTTTCCTAAACGGGCTTTGCAACTTTGTCATTCTTCATTATTACTATTGTTTGTAATAATTAAATTATTCTTTTGTGATGTTGGCTATATGAGAAGGCGGACTTATTGCTGATGCAACCAGCCATAACGAGTGTTGTGTTAACGGGTCTGCGTTTTGGCAGGTCTACCTTTTGGGAGGATACCTATGAGACATGGGATGGTTATCACCTCGTTAAATCGGCACCAATTTTGTACCCGTCAAGAACGGATCTCATATGACTAAAGCGGCATAATTATTTTAAAACGGCAATACATGTATAGATACAATTATAGAAGACACACACACACACACACACACACACACATTAGACCAACTATTTTAACACAAAGAAAGCCACGTACCTGTACCTCAATAACAGAAATATCAAGAGATTGTTATCCATACACAATTACCAATTTTCCCAACTATTTCACCACATGTAAACACGGAATACGACTCAGCTAACGCACAAACACTCAGACACATCCGCCAACAGAGACGCACACTCAGGCCACAGCCATCCCCACTCTCAGACACTCAGACGCACATTTACCGACACAGCCACACACACACCAGGGTATGAAATTCCCCAAAATTTCAGCCAGACCACAGGACTGACTAGCTGAAATACTTGCCAGCCCTGACCAAAACCTGCCTGCCCACTATAATCATATGTTTCTCAGGATAAGCTAACGGGGTTTCTTTTTGGTTACATTTTATCATTCATCTTTACATGTGAATTAATGCTTATCATCGGGAAATATTTAGAATATTTTCACATATGAAATATAACCCGACCGTCGGGCAGGGGGATTTGAAAATCTGGCAGCCCGAGTTGAAATCAACCCGTCTCGGACGGTCGGGCAGGCAGGTATTTCGAACACTGCACACACACACACACACACACACACACACACACACACATATTAAACCAACTAACTTTTTACACTTTTTACTTTCTCATTTAAAATCTGATATAACTCAGATAAAAATAACAATGTATATACACATCCAAGCATATCCTTCTGTGTATAATATAAGCACTGGCCAGTGTCCAACAACCCAATTAATTGTGGTATTCATGTGTATTATGTTGGAAGAATTATCTCCCTTGATACAGTTTCGCAAATCGTACACGGAAGTTTCTGTTTTGATACTCGGTCGGTGTAAGTCTTGTAATCATACGCTAATTGCTTGTCATTTGATGTCGATCTATCATATCATTATATCTGACTCGCACATTCAATATTGGTTAACCAAGAGAGGTATGGACAGCCATGGATCTTGAATCCCGAACCCTGTTGTCATTCTCTTTGAGAATCTTATGAGTCAACGACAGAATCAGTCACATTCATTTTGATCATCTGTACCGTCAGGTCTACGATTTGTTTGGAATTGTCTTTTTATTCTCCCTTTGAGACCACTATGTACTGAACCACACATCAGCTTGATTTCTCATGTGCTTCTTATTATCTAAACAAATCTTACTTTTATGAAGATATTATTTTTGTTTTCACTGAAATAAATATACAGCCAAATATACAATAGGGCTGGGACGATACACCAACTGTGTGATTCGATACATATCACGACACCTTGCTCACAATCCGATATGTATCACGATACTTGCACATCGTCTTATCTGTGGAGCGTAAGCCATCTTTTTCATAGCCAGGATGTCAAAATACCTGGCAATTTCCGCAATGGTTGAAAATATGTATGTTTTCACAACTCATTTTCACTTTTAATGAGTGTTTGGTGTCACATTTATTAAAGAATACATCTAAGGTAAGAATCGAAACTTTTTACTTAGTGTGCGATTGGCCGAAGGTATTAGCACCAGCAACCCAACAAACTAGACCTAGGCTTTTGACCAGCGAGGTGCCAACTGGAAAACCTTGTTGACATCGAGGGTTAATACCCTTGAAATTTGAATGCTTGCATTTGTGTGGATGATGCTTACTATAACCTTTCATCTTGCAAATTGATCTGTGTGTGTAAATGTGTATGTACAATTATGAAGTTTCGTAGACAGAACATACGTGTACATATCATTTTTTTACAATGAAATTAAGTTAATATACCCAGAACAGCAACAACCCTTATTCTTCAAGCAAATTGCGTACAATACATATTACTCCCTTCTTGTACATGTTGTAATCCATATTTCTTGGTATAACCCTACCTGTGTATTTGTCATCATTACCTGATGCTATGTTAATGACTTTATTACAGGTATAATTAGTGGTAGAACTACTCTGATTACCTGACAAAGACTGCAAAATATCCAAATAAATATCTTGCTGCCTATGTGGGTGTCAAGATAATCAAGCACTCAGTGGTTCGCATTGTGTCTGGGGTAATTATTTAATCTAAGATTGGGTTATTTATGGTGGTGGTGAATGTATTACATGTTGTGTAATATACATGTGGCAGTGCAGCCAGAGAGGAATGGTCAGTTGAGTTTAAAAAAAACATTGATCAAAGGATAAACTGATAATATGTTGATTGATTGAAATTATATTTATTGTGGTTTTTAACCGAATCACTGGTAGATTGGTAGAACATGTGTACACAGCTGATTGTTATTTCTGATTGCTAATTTGCATACCCTTGTGTATGTTGTGTCAGGGCTATACAGGTATAACACTATAAGGAATATGTACACCCTTGTGTGTGTTGTGTCATGGATATACAGGTATAACACTATAAGGAATATGTACACCCTTGTGTGTGTTGTATCAGGGCTATGTAGGTATAACACCATAAGGTATATGTACACCCTTGTGTGTATTGTGTCAGGGCTATGTAGGTATAACACTATAAGGAATATGTACACCCTTGTGTGTATTGTGTCATGGCTATGTAGGTATAACACTATAAGGTATATGTACACCCTTGTGTGTGTTGTATCAGGGCTATGTAGGTATAACACTATAAGGTATATGTACACCCTTGTGTGTATTGTGTCAGGGCTATGTAGGTATAACACTATAAGGTATATGTACACCCTTGTGTGTATTGTGTCAGGGCTATGTAGGTATAACACTATAAGGAATATGTACACCCTTGTGTGTATTGTGTCATGGCTATGTAGGTATAACACTATAAGGAATATGTACACCCTTGTGTGTGTTGTATCATGGCTATATAGGTATAACACTATAAGGTATATGTACACCCTTGTGTGTATTGTGTCATGGCTATATAGGTATAACACTATAAGGAATATGTACACCCTTGTGTGTATTGTGTCATGGCTATGTAGGTATAACACTATAAGGTATATGTACACCCTTGTGTGTATTGTGTCATGGCTATATAGGTATAACACTATAAGGAATATGTACACCCTTGTGTGTATTGTGTCATGGCTATACAGGTATAACACTATAAGGAATATGTACACCCTTGTGTGTGTTGTATCAGGGCTATGTAGGTATAACACTATAAGGTATATGTACACCCTTGTGTGTGTTGTGTCATGGCTATACAGGTATAACACTATAAGGAATATGTACACCCTTGTGTGTATTGTGTCATGGCTATATAGGTATAACACTATAAGGTATATGTACACCCTTGTGTGTGTTGTGTCATGGCTATACAGGTATAACACTATAAGGTATATGTACACCCTTGTGTGTATTGTGTCATGGCTATGTAGGTATAACACTATAAGGAATATGTACACCCTTGTGTATTGTGTCAGGGCTATTTAGGTATAACACTATTAGGAATATGTACACCCTTGTGTGTGTTGTATCAGGGCTATGTAGGTATAACACTGTAAGGAATATGTACACCCTTGTGTGTATTGTGTCATGGCTATGTAGGTATAACACTATAAGGTATATGTACACCCTTGTGTGTGTTGTATCAGGGCTATGTAGGTATAACACCATAAGGTATATGTACACCCTTGTGTATGTTGTGTCATGGCTATGTAGGTATAACACTATAAGGTATATGTACACCCTTGTGTGTGTTGTGTCATGGCTATGTAGGTTTAACACTATAAGGTATATGTACACCCTTGTGTATTGTGTCAGGGCTATGTAGGTATAACACTATAAGGTATATGTACACCCTTGTGTGTGTTGTATCAGGGCTATGTAGGTATAACACTATAAGGTATATGCACACCCTTGTGTGTATTGTGTCAGGGCTATGTAGGTATAACACTGTAAGGAATATGTACACCCTTGTGTGTATTGTGTCAGGGCTATGTAGTTATAACACTATAAGGTATATGTACACCCTTGTGTGTGTTGTATCAGGGCTATGTAGGTATAACACTGTAAGGAATATGTACACCCTTGTGTATGTTGTGTCAGGGCTATACAGGTATAACACTATAAGGTATATGTACACCCTTGTGTGTGTTGTGTCATGGCTATGTAGGTATAACACCATAAGGTATATGTACACCCTTGTGTGTATTGTGTCAGGGCTATGTAGGTATAACACTATAAGGTATATGTACACCCTTGTGTGTGTTGTATCAGGGCTATGTAGGTATAACACTATAAGGTATATGTACACCCTTGTGTGTATTGTGTCATGGCTATATAGGTATAACACTATAAGGAATATGTACACCCTTGTGTGTATTGTGTCAGGGCTATGTAGGTATAACACTATAAGGTATATGTACACCCTTGTGTGTGTTGTATCAGGGCTATGTAGGTATAACACTGTAAGGAATATGTACACCCTTGTGTGTATTGTGTCAGGGCTATGTAGGTATAACACCATAATGAATATGTACACCCTTGTGTGTGTTGTGTCAGGGCTATGTAGGTATAACCCTTGTTTAACTGGAGTGGTTTAGTGAACACAAACACCGTTTGAGGTTAAGATATCAGGTGTCTATCTATAATGATTGATGACAGAAAGGAAGGCCCAATGGCAATAGATACACAGAGTTAAAATATGCAACGTACCAACACAACAAATTACAATTATTACTTGTCAAAAAATACTAGAATCTTATCTTCCCGAGGCAAGGGAGTTAACAGACTGTAAAAGTCCAGTTTCACCCTTGCGGAACTAGGCTGGAATTTCTTGGCTTGATCATAGCGCCACCAGTGGTTATCATGGTTATTATGAGTTGTGTCCCTTATTTGTCCCTACTATTGCCCAATCAGATTCCACCTCTCCTATCATTTGCATTTGCTTCAAATAAAATCGTGTCACCTAATAAAGATGACCTGATGGAGAATCAAGAATAACATAGGTCTTACTTCGTGAAGTGGATCAAATCACGTGAGCACCTTGATTAAACATGAAAAGATTATGAAAATATCTGTCGACACTAAGTTGTTGGTACACGTTTTGCAAACCCTGCAATAGACCTAAATCTGAATGGCAGTTTTCAAACCAGATGTCCATTTTGTTGTGTGATTTTGATTGGACTATGCATAGACTCATTAGTCCAGTAAAAAAATAACTCTGTAATTCCAGCCTAGTTTGGAAAGGGTGGAAAATGGACTTATATAGCCAGTTAACTCCTTTGCCTTGAGAAAATTGAATCTTATACTGTCCCATAGTTACTATGATCAGTATTAATTCACTTAGAATATCAATGAAAATGCCTATTGACACAATCCACCAATAGAAGAGGATTTGCCCTGAAGTAAAGTGATGAACATAGTTACATATGGTATACATGGATGTAGTGATGAACATAGTTACATATGGTATACATGGTTGTAGTGATGAACATAGTTACATATGGTATACATGGATGTAGTGATGAACATAGTTACATATGGTATACATGGATGTAGTGATGAACATAGTTACATATGGTATACATGGATGTAGTGATGAACATAGTTACATATGGTATACATGGATACAGTGATGAACATAGTTACATATGGTATACATGGATGTAGTGATGAACATAGTTACATATGGTATACATGGATGTAGTGATGAACATAGTTACATATGGTATACATGGATGTAGTGATGAACATAGTTACATATGGTATACATGGATACAGTGATGAACATAGTTACATATGGTATACATGGATGTAGTGATGAACATAGTTACATATGGTATACATGGATACAGTGATGAACAGAGTTACATATGGTATACATGGATACAGTGATGAACATAGTTACATATGGTATACATGGATACAGTGATGAACATAGTTACATATGGTATACATGGATACAGTGATGAACAGAGTTACATATGGTATACATGGCTACAGTGATGAACATAGTTACATATGGTATACATGGATACAGTGATGAACATAATTACATATGGTATACATGGATGTAGTGATGAACATAGTTACATATGGTATACATGGATGTAGTGATGAACATAGTTACATATGGTATACATGGATACAGTGATGAACATAGTTACATATGGTATACATGGATGTAGTGATGAACATAGTTACATATGGTATACATGGATACAGTGATGAACATAGTTACATATGGTATACATGGCTACAGTGATGAACATAGTTACATATGGTATACATGGATACAGTGATGAACATAATTACATATGGTATACATGGATGTAGTGATGAACATAGTTACATATGGTATACATGGCTACAGTGATGAACATAGTTACATATGGTATACATGGATACAATGATGAACAGAGTTACATATGGTATACATGGATGTAGTGATGAACATAGTTACATATGGTATACATGGCTACAGTGATGAACATAGTTACATATGGTATACATGGATACAGTGATGAACAGAGTTACATATGGTATACATGGCTACAGTGATGAACATAGTTACATATGGTATACATGGATACAGTGATGAACATAATTACATATGGTATACATGGATGTAGTGATGAACATAGTTACATATGGTATACATGGATGTAGTGATGAACATAGTTACATATGGTATACATGGATACAGTGATGAACATAGTTACATATGGTATACATGGATGTAGTGATGAACATAGTTACATATGGTATACATGGATACAGTGATGAACAGAGTTACATATGGTATACATGGCTACAGTGATGAACATAGTTACATATGGTATACATGGATACAGTGATGAACATAATTACATATGGTATACATGGATGTAGTGATGAACATAGTTACATATGGTATACATGGATGTAGTGATGAACATAGTTACATATGGTATACATGGATACAGTGATGAACATAGTTACATATGGTATACATGGATGTAGTGATGAACATAGTTACATATGGTATACATGGATACAGTGATGAACAGAGTTACATATGGTATACATGGATACAGTGATGAACATAGTTACATATGGTATACATGGATACAGTGATGAACATAGTTACATATGGTATACATGGATGTAGTGATGAACATAGTTACATATGGTATACATGGATACAGTGATGAACATAGTTACATATGGTATACATGGATACAGTGATGAACATAATTACATATGGTATACATGGATACAGTGATGAACATAGTTACATATGGTATACATGGATACAGTGATGAACATAGTTACATATGGTATACATGGCTACAGTGATGAACATAATTACATATGGTATACATGGATGTAGTGATGAACATAGTTACATATGGTATACATGGTTGTAGTGATGAACATAGTTACATATGGTATACATGGATGTAGTGATGAACAGAGTTACATATGGTATACATGGATACAGTGATGAACATAGTTACATATGGTATACATGGATACAGTGATGAACATAATTACATATGGTATACATGGATACAGTGATGAACATAATTACATATGGTATACATGGATACAGTGATGAACATAGTTACATATGGTATACATGGATGTAGTGATGAACATAGTTACATATGGTATACATGGATGTAGTGATGAACATAGTTACATATGGTATACATGGATACAGTGATGAACATAGTTACATATGGTATACATGGATACAGTGATGAACATAGTTACATATGGTATACATGGATGTAGTGATGAACATAGTTACATATGGTATACATGGATGTAGTGATGAACATAGTTACATATGGTATACATGGATACAGTGATGAACATAGTTACATATGGTATACATGGCTACAGTGATGAACATAGTTACATATGGTATACATGGCTACAGTGATGAACATAGTTACATATTGTATACATGGATGTACTGATGAACATAGTTACATATGGTATACATGGTTGTAGTGATGAACATAGTTACATATGGTATACATGGATACAGTGATGAACATAGTTACATATGGTATACATGGATACAGTGATGAACATAGTTACATATGGTATACATGGATACAGTGATGAACAGAGTTACATATGGTATACATGGATACAGTGATGAACATAGTTACATATGGTATACATGGATACAGTGATGAACATAGTTACATATGGTATACATGGATGTAGTGATGAACATAGTTACATATGGTATACATGGATGTAGTGATGAACATAGTTACATATGGTATACATTGATACAGTGATGAACATAGTTACATATGGTATACATGGATGTAGTGATGAACATAGTTACATATGGTATACATGGATATAGTGATGAAAATAGTTACATATGGTATACATGGATGTAGTGATGAACATAGTTACATATGGTATACATGGATACAGTGATGAACATAGTTACATATGGTATACATGGATACAGTGATGAACATAGTTACATATGGTATACATGGATATAGTGATGAACATAGTTACATATGGTATACATGGATACAGTGATGAGAGCGACAAGTAGCCTTAGCACACTATGGGAGTGCACATCAACATAAATATACCCAGGGAGGCAATAAAATATAATAGCCCTCACCATGTGTATGACATTGTGCTCTATTATGTCACATACAATATGTACTAGAATCTGCTTTGCCAAGGTGACACACCTGAACATAAGTATATTTGATATCAATACACTATAGGTGAGATGAACTGGGACTTAGCATTGCATTTGTGTGTGCATGAGTGTGCGTGTTTGCATGTATGAATGCATGTATAATGAGGTGAATATTTTGAATAGATATTTTAGAGTTATTGCATGTACATAAGAATGTTGACACACTGATGTAATATTTTATCGCCTATTGAGACCGCCTCCGTCGTCTAGTGGTAGAACGTCTGCCCGGAGAGCAGAAGTTTGGGGGTTTGATCTCTGGACGTAATAGACCAAAAGATGCTAGTAGATGGTACTTGTTGTTTCCCTGCCTGGCGCTCAGCATTAAGGGGCTAAAAAAGGGCTGGTCGTCTCGGTGTCTGTATACTGTGTCTGAGTTGGGTGTTCATGTTAAACTGCGGCATGATATCTCAGTGGGCTGGCACTACAAAATCAGCATTAGCCTGGACTAGTACAAGCACCCACCCACACAAACACACACACATGCATGCACGTCAACATATAAGTGCAGTAATCTTGAACGAGACGCTAAACTCCATTTCGTCTCACCTCTGTGTTAGGAAAACTTTTCTTTGCTCTTCTTCTTTTTTTAAGTGATTTTAGCATTTTCTTCCTGGCACCTGAAACATATGCTTACAGCAAACACATTTTTATAAGCTTATTTTTTACTTATCCTGCATTACTCCTTTATGCATCTACTGCTTACCTCTTGACAGAGACAGTGCCTTGGGATGGTCCCAACTAATGAAAATTTTTTTTTTTCAAAATCAAGTCTATATTTGATTGAGGACCACTCACATAGCAGTCACGTGATCATCCAGTGTGACGTCCCGTCCCCCCACATTCCTCCAGTCTGGAGCTAGTCTTGCCTGACTCATACAGTGTCTTGATTATCAGGCTTTAGATTTTAACTCACGCCATTTTCTTCTTATTGTTTTTAACCTGGACTTATCCTCAATTGTCATTTCTCTCCATTGACAAGATTGAGCGAGTAATACCGATCATGCTTCATTCTTGACACATGTCGTATGAAGGGTTTATCCATATTGAGGATTACATCTGAAGGTATGCCCACCGCTGTATCGTCTGATACAGATTCAATAAGGAGTAATGCTGGATAAGTAAAACGATTTGTAAAATCTAAATATTTTTTACAATTGTATACTTATCCTTCATTACTACGTCTGAAGTCCCATCCGTCGCAGACCTGCCTCCCCACTATGGCTTCAGAAACACAGTTATTACAGCGTGATAATCAGTAATGTGGTGAGACGTGACGTCACTTCCGACGATCACTTTACAGCTGTGCGAGTGGTCCTCAGACAAAAATAGACTTGATGAGGAAACAACCTTTTCTTCTTCAGTTAGGAACATCATAAGGCAAGGTAAGCAGTAGATCCATTAAGGAGTAATGCAGGATAAGTATACAAATATAAAAAATATTTAGATTTTACTAATTTTGTATTTAACAGTAAATACCATATATGTTTAACTATGACAACACTGTGTAAAATGCCCCTGTGTGATGAATGTGAACATGTTACCTGTGCATTTCATGTTTTGGTGATGCAGGTTATGAAATAAATGTCCTGGGGCAAGTATACAATTCATATTGGACCAACTCAAGCACATTTATCAATCACAATGTTGATGAGCCTACCAGGGTAATTAGAGCAAACGTAGCTCTGATCAAGAATAACACACTGAATAAATAACAGATATACTTTTTCAAAAATAGATTGACTACATGTATTTGAAATACTGTATCTGACTGTAATAATTTGTATATTGTCCTCCAGAGATTTCACTCTGCCCCTTGTCAACTGGAAGATAGAACTTACACATTCTGTATTTTAGATTTGAATAGCATTTAATCTTGGCAGATGAAAATATATCTGAAACACTGTGAACTTATTTTTCGGTGTATGTTGGCCATACTCTCCAAGCATCTAGACCGAGCCTGAACTGTGGAAGTTGGTCAATTTACACATTCATGGTTGACCAGAGCAGTTTATTTCTGTATTTGCAGATGATGTGATTTGGTCAGTTTGTACCAACTGTGTCATTGAATAAGGAGGAGACAGCACTTGGACAGAGTAGTTATGGGGGACCCAACATCAGGCTACCATGGTGTTGACTCGGCAGTGTTGGAGCGGGATGCAGGAATGTATGCTCATCAGGCTGTACAGTTTGACCAAGCTGGAAACTACGAGACGGCCAAGTTTTATTACATAGTAAGCTTGTACCATGTTCACAGCTAGAATTTGAAGATACTTCTAACATTTTAAGTCTTTAAGAGTCATCATAGAAAGATAGGAGCATCTTCACCAAATGTTCAGATTATTATTAAAAACATGCTGCTAGAGAGGTATATGTTATCATAACATTTGTATAGACATGCCAGGGATCTATTCAACAACATAAAACATGCACAAGTGCAACCTAGTATTGAAAAATGCAACCTAATATTTATGTCTACATGCACCAAGTGCATTTAATTTTCTTTGTCAAATTTTTATCTGACTTAGAATTACTTTTCCACACAACCTGGTTTTGTCTGGTGCAACTAAGTTTTCATATCAACATGCACCTGGTGCAAGTTAAATCAGTTGAGTCCTTCCTGTCAAAGTCAACATTTGACAGACACATTTACCTTGAACACTGTTTTAGTATGACCTACAACCTGATGTTGCATACTTGCTTGAAACATTCAGGTGAGCCTTATGGCTCGCTTTGTTGTTTTCTTTACATAAAGTTATTGAAAAGTATCTGGATATTTTCACGCCCCTTTAGACATGTACAGCAGTTGTGAAGGAAAAGTAAATATAATATTATATTATTGTTGTATTATCATAATTGTTGTCTAGCTCATGACATTTGTTATATATTTATTCACCTGGAAAGATGTTTTGATGCTGTACGGTGCAGGAAAGGTTTTAGATAAGGACTATATACTGAGATATTGGACCACTTGTGTTGCAGGAAGCAGCCCAGGCTCTCCTGTCTGCTGCTCTGGGAGGCTCGGATAGCTCCCGCAACCAGGTCATACTGGACAAGGCTAATGAGTACATGCTGCGAGCTGAAGCACTCAAACAGTCAGGTGAGTACATGCTGCGAGCTGAAGCACTCAAACAGTCAGGTGAGTACATGCTGCGAGCTGAAGCACTCAAACGGTCAGGTGAGTACATGCTGCGAGCTGAAGCACTCAAACAGTCAGGTGAGTACATGCTGCGAGCTGAAGCACTCAAACGGTCAGGTGAGTACATGCTGCGAGCTGAAGCACTCAAACAGTCAGGTGAGTACATGCTGGGAGCTGAAGCACTCAAACAGTCAGGTGAGTACATGCTGCGAGCTGAAGCACTCAAACGGTCAGGTGAGTACATGCTGCGAGTTGAAGCACTCAAACAGTCAGGTGAGTACATGCTGCGAGCTGAAGCACTCAAACAGTCAGGTGAGTACATGCTGCGAGCTGAAGCACTCAAACAGTCAGGTGAGTACATGCTGCGAGCTGAAACACTCAAACGGTCAGGTGAGTACATGCTGCGAGCTGAAGCACTCAAACATTCAGGTGAGTACATGCTGCGAGCTGAAGCACTCAAACGGTCAGGTGAGTACATGCTGCGAGCTGAAGCACTCAGACGGTCAGATGAGTACATGCTGCGAGCTGAAGCACTCAAACATTCAGGTGAGTACATGCTGCGAGCTGAAGCACTCAAACAATCAGGTGAGTACATGCTGCGAGCTGAAGCACTCAAACGGTCAGGTGAGTACATGCTGCGAGCTGAAGCACTCAAACGGTCAGGTGAGTACATGCTGCGAGCTGAAGCACTCAAACATTCAGGTGAGTACATGCTGCGAGCTGAAGCACTCAAACAGTCAGGTGAGTACATGCTGCGAGCTGAAGCATTCAAACAGTCAGATGAGTACATGCTGCGAGCTGAAGCACTCAAACATTCAGGTGAGTACATGCTGCGAGCTGAAGCACTCAAACAATCAGGTGAGTACATGCTGCGAGCTGAAGCACTCAAACGGTCAGGTGAGTACATGCTGCGAGCTGAAGCACTTAAACATTCGGGTGAGTACATGCTGCGAGCTGAAGCACTCAAACATTCAGGTGAGTACATGCTGCGAGCTGAAGCACTCAAACGGTCAGGTGAGTACAAGCTGCGAGCTGAAGCACTCAAACGGTCAGGTGAGTACATGCTGCGAGCTGAAGCACTCAAACGGTCAGGTGAGTACATGCTGCGAGGTGAAGCACTCAAACATTCGGGTGAGTACATGCTGCGAGCTGAAGCACTCAAACATTCAGGTGAGTACATGCTGCGAGCTGAAGCACTCAAACGGTCAGGTGAGTACATGCTGGGAGCTGAAGCACTCAAACGGTCAGGTGAGTACATGCTGCGAGCTGAAGCACTCAAACGGTCAGGTGAGTACATGCTGTGAGCTGAAGCACTCAAACAATCAGGTGAGTACATGCTGCGAGCTGAAGCACTCAAACAGTCAGGTGAGTACATGAGTCTTCCAAAGTATAGGCATTACACACTCTGAGGTAGGGAGTCTTCCAAGAGAGTAGGCAATGCACACATTGAGGTAGGGAGTCTTCCCAGAGAGTAGGCAATGCACACTCTGAGGTAGAGAGTCTTCCAAGAGAGTAGGCAATGCACACATTGAGGTAGGGAGTCTTCCAAGAGAGTAGGCAATGCACACTCTGAGAAAGAGAGTCTTCCCAGAGAGAAGGCAATGCACACATTGAGGTAGGGAGTCTTCCCAGAGAGTAGGCAATGCACACTCTGAGGTAGGGAGTCTTCCAAGAGAGTAGGCAGTGCACACATTGAGACAGAGTCTTCCAAAGTATAGTCATTACACACTCTGAGGTAGGGAGTCTTCCAAGAGAGTAGGCAATGCACACTTTGAGGTAGAGAGTCTTCCCAGAGAGTAGGCAATGCACACATTGAGGTAGGGAGTCTTCCAAGAGAGTAGGCAATGCACACATTGAGGTAGGGAGTCTTCCCAGAGAGTAGGCAATGCACACTCTGAGGTAGGGAGTCTTCCAAGAGGGTAGGCAATGCACACTCTGAGATAGAGAGTCTTCCAAGAGAGTAGGTAATGCACACATTGAGGTAGGGAGTCTTCCAAGAGAGTAGGCAATGCACACTCTGAGGTAGTGAGTCTTCCAAGAGAGTAGGCAGTGCACACTCTGAGGTAGAGAGTCTTCCCAGAGAGTAGGCATTGCACATATTGAGGTAGGGAGTCTTCCCAGGGTGTAGGCAATGCACACTCTGAGGTAGGGAGTCTTCCAAGAGAGTAGGCAGTGCACACATTGAGACAGAGTCTTCCAAAGTATAGGCATTACACACTCTGAGGTAGGGAGTCTTCCAAGAGAGTAGGCAATGCACACTTTGAGGTAGAGAGTCTTCCCAGAGAGTAGGCAATGCACACATTGAGGTAGGGAGTCTTCCCAGGGTGTAGGCAATGCACACTCTGAGGTAGAGAGTCTTCCCAGAGAGTAGGCAATGCACACTCTGAGGTAGGGAGTCTTCCAAGAGAGTAGGCAATGCACACTCTGAGATAGGGAGTCTTCCCAGAGAGTAGGCAATGCACACTCTGAGGTAGAGAGTCTTCCAAGAGAGTAGTCAATGCACACTCTGAGATAGAGAGTCTTCCCAGAGAGTAGGCAATGCACACTCTGAGATAGAGAGTCTTCCAAGAGAGTAGGCAATGCACACTCTGAGGTAGTGAGTCTTCCAAGAGAGTAGTCAATGCACACTCTGAGATAGAGAGTCTTCCCAGAGAGTAGGCAATGCACACTCTGAGATAGAGAGTCTTCCCAGAGAGTAGGCAATGCACACTCTGAGATAGAGTCTTCCAAAGGATAGGCATTACACACTCTGAGATAGAGAGTCTTCCCAGAGAGTAGGCAATGCACACTCTGAGATAGAGAGTCTTCCCAGAGAGTAGGCAATGCACACTCTGAGATAGAGTCTTCCAAAGGATAGGCATTACACACTCTGAGATAGAGAGTCTTCCAAGAGAGTAGGCAATGCACACATTGAGGTAGAGAGTCTTCCAAGAGAGTAGGCAATGCACACATTGAGGTAGGGAGTCTTCCCAGAGAGTAGGCAATGCACACTCTGAGGTAGGGAGTCTTCCAAGAGAGTAGGCAATGCACACTCTGAGGTAGGGAGTCTTCCAAGAGAGTAGGCAGTGCACACATTGAGACAGAGTCTTCCAAAGTATAGGCATTACACACTCTGAGGTAGGGAGTCTTCCAGGAGAGTAGGCAATGCACACTCTGAGATAGAGAGTCTTCCCAGAATGTAGGCAATGCACACTGTGAGGTAGAGAGTCTTCCAAGAGAGTAGGCAATGCACACTTTGAGGTAGGGAGTCTTCCCAGGGTGTAGGCAATTCACACATTGAAACAGAGAGTCTTCCCAAGGTGTAGGCATTACACACTCTGAGATAGGGAGTCTTCCCAGAGAGTAGGCAATGCACACATTGAGATAGAGTCTTCCCATACTGCAGTTATACTTTGGGTAGGTTTAGTTAGGTTTGCCAGGATTGACAATTCAGTCTAAGTGATAGTAGCACACAGATAACACCATGAATGATGAGAAACATTAAAGATATGTTTACTGTTGTATATTTATGTGATTTCAGTTTCAAGTCAAACACCCAACAACAAAGCACAGCTCCCTGGCAAAAGTCAACAACAGGTATAGTCATCTGGAATATGCAGTGTTTTACATGAAGCAAACATTGAGATAGAGAGCTTGCAGCAAGATCTGGAGCCCAGTTCCTCCTCTTGATGCTGTTAGCATGGGTAGTATGTACAGTGAGTCATTGTGTCTTGCAGCAAGATCTGGAGCCCAGTTCCTCCTCTTGATGCTGTTAGCATGGGTAGTATACAGTGAGTCATTGTGTCTTGCAGCAAGATCTGGAGCGAGCCCAGTTCCTCCTTCATCAGGCATTTGACGAGGATGAGAATGACAATGAAGAAGATGCTGTTGAACTGTACTCAGAAGCTGTGGAACTATTTATCAAAATAGTAGGTAGTCCAACATGACATTCAGAATCAGATACACTGAAAACAAGTAACTATTTAAGGATAAGAATTTATGGATGAACAAGTTCTTTATTATAATTAAGAGCGACATTTCGGTGTAGGTTCTAACACCATTATCAGTGATATACAGAGTGTTGTTGTTGTTGCATTAGGTGTTTAAGAGGTCGCCTTCTGCCTAGGCAATTTCGGCTGACCTGTCCCTCTTTGGGACTCCTGTGTGTGAGAAGGGTTCACATATCTATTGTGAGTTCGGTGTTCACATAATTTCTGTTTTTGCATTGATATGATTTCTATTTTCTTATATTGATATGATTTCATTTTTATCCTTGGCTGCTCTGTTTATATACGTTCGAGCAGCTGTCCATCTCTCAGAAATAGAGTTAGTTTGGCCTTTGCTATTGCATCTCTTGGCTTTAGGAGATCTATGACAGATAGCGGATCTAACTGCAATTCTTGTTTTAACCTAGCCCGGGCCGGGGCATGGTCTTGACATTCTAGTAACAGGTGGTCAATGGTTTCAGCCTGATTGCAAGATGAACAAACCTTGTCATAGTGCTTTTTGTGACCAAGTCTGAGGCGTGAGATAGCAGTTTCAATTTTCCTTTCATTTGAGTATGAGTTTGGCTTTTGTTGGACCTTGGGTTGAATTTTGTATAGCCATCTGCCGATCTTACTTGCGTCCCATTGGGTTTGCCATCTTTTTGCTATGGAGGCTTTGATTTTGCTTTTTATCTCTAGTTTACTAAAGGGAATAGGCTGTATATCCGCTTTGTCTAGAGCTAGCTTCGCCAGTGAGTCTGCTTTTTCATTTCCATGAATATCTATGTGAGAGGGGATCCAACACAGCTCCACCTGTTGCCCTTGGTCCGATAGTTTTGTATATTCGTATAGAATATTGTTGACTGTGTTTGGCCTGGAGTTTGAGTTTCTTCCACTGATGGCCTGAAGTGCACTTAGCGAGTCTGATAGGACGACTGCCTTTGCTTCCGGGAGTTCCGGTATGAGTTTGAGTGCATGATGAATTGCCTCCAATTCAGCCGTGAATACTGACTGACCATCGGGCAAGCGAACTGAATGTGCTTGGGGTTTGGAGCTGTGGATATGGATCCCGTAACCAGCACTGTTGTTGATAGGATTCTTGGATCCATCAGTGTATATATGGGCCCAGCTGTCCCAGGTAGTTTGAATTTTAGTGATAGCTACTGAACGTAGTAGGGTTGGGTTTTCTCTTTTAGTGACTTCTGATGTTAAAGCAGTGTCAACTTTGGGAGTTTGTAAAGTCCAGGGAGGGTGTAACCCTTTGTAGTGACTTTCTGGAGGCTGAATGTCATCGCAATTGTGACTTCGAATGAGTTCACGTACTAATATCCCAGATGGCTTTAGTGAGGGATTTTTTCGAGCTAGGGCCTCATCTCGAGTGTTTTTGTCTTGCCATATCTTTTTAACCAAAGGGTTTGATGTTCGTCCCCAGAACGATAATATTGCCTGCTCTCGTCTTAAATATACAGAGTGTGAGTGACAAGAATATATACAGGTAGGAGGCAATGTTTATACAGTAGAGTAGATATCAGCTGTAGTTATACTGGAGTAGAGAAGCCTGTTATGTACACACAAGGGTAGTAATGACAATCATCAGTGAAGTCAGTGACATAAACAAAGGATGAAGTCAGTAATATAAACAACAGGATTATGGCTGATTTGGGTCTTTGATGAGTTGATGGTACGACGGGAAGTGGGCTGGGGGGTGGGGGAATGGTCACAGTTGATTGACGGTTGGAGTCTTTTGATGTTGATGGCTTCTTTTTCCTTTTTCTTTAGTTTTCTGATTTTGAAGTCTTTGAGGTTGGTGGTGAGGGCTTTGACTTTATCCCACTGAATGCTGTGGCTTGGGTTGTCATGGATTTCGTCTGATAGAGCTGGTTTGGAGTTATCTTTGGAGACTGAGCTTTGATGTTCTTTAATTCGGGTTTTGAGGGTCCTAGATGTTTGTCCTATGTAAGCTTGTCCACAATTGCACGGAATGTGGTACACTGCTCCTGATGGTTCTAGCTTGTGGCTGGATATCACTTGCTTGATAACGGTGTTAGAACCTACACAGAAACGTCGGTCTTAATTATAATAAAGAAGTTGTTCATCCATAAATTCTTATCCTTACTTAGTACTTCTAAATGCCTATGAAAGAAGTTAAGTAACTATTTAGCTGTCTTATAATCTGGATCAGTGAAAAAATATAAAATGCCTATTAAGTCTATTAAGAAGCATTTCAGGCAGCTAGGCTTAGTTAGATACCACTCTTGTGTCAAAGTTTGTTAATGAAATAAATGGTATCTGTTGCAGGAGTATTGTTGATGAGTATTTGTGGCAAAAGTGTATGTGTATTGATAACATTTGTTGACATTGTCAATGTTGTAAGTACCAACGTTTATTGTTTTTTTTATGGAGCACTCCCTTTCATAGCTTCTTTGTATAGTAATTCTGTAATGATTCTGTATAGAACAGGTGGTCTCCAAGCTGACTGGTCCTATTGCACATTGCTGCATTGTTCAGAAGTGAACGATACAAATTATCCATTGTTCATGACAGCACCAATGTTTCATGTTTGGCATGCCTGAAATTTCATTGAAAGATGGATATGTCATGGATTTTTTAATTTTTGTTATTAAAAGACAGTTGGTGTTACTTAGAATAAGCTATGTGTCCCAAGTGAATGTCCCTTGTCATATGCTGGAGTCAGACACCATTCCTTCACAGGAAGCTCCCAGATAAGACTTGGTCCACAGCAAGCTGTGCTTGGTGTAGGAGGTGGCTTGTAGAATTGGTTGTCAGGATCGACAGTTTTCTTGATTGCGTTTCATAGCACCCACATGGCTTGGATCAATGGTGATGAAGGGATTTTCTGGTCCACACTATAGATTATTTACATGTTGCTTTCATATAGCTTGAATATTGATTAGTACGACTTGAAACTACAAACACTTCTAGAAAATCTATCCTTCTCCATATCTATTCCACTTAAATTGGATGTTCTGATAAACATTAATCAAATATTCAATATGAAGAACACAATAAACTTGTTGCCATGCCAAATGCGATGTGTTTCTAAATTTCATATGGAAGCATATTCATGTTTCCTTGGCTTGAATCTCAATAAACAATGTATTTTTCAAAATATCAGAATGTGGATCCCATTGTTTTATAGCAAAGGAGATAAACCTATTGTGTTTTTTAATTTAGATACTTGTAAATTTCTTTCAGTTCTCGTACACTTTAGATGTGGATTTGTTTTGTCACTGAAACTAGAAAGTATATGGTATATGTATATGTAGTATAATGTTAGAGGATGAGGTCCGTTTCCTTATCATTTGTGATGAACTTAGGCAGACTTATATTCTGGGTTAATACTGGAAAACACCATCACATATGTGTAGGTCATGCCATTAAATATAGGAAAGTAGATTGATATAGAGTTCTGTGTTTAATATGCAGTAATATTTCTAAATGTATTATTTCATGACACCAAATGCAGAAGTTATGAGATGACCACCCGGTACTCATTGTACAGGGGTGGGTGGGTATTTGGGGGTTGGCCACTACCATTGTGGACTATTATTGTGTCTGTGTACTTTCTACACTGCATGAATAAACATTCACATGAATAGCTCTCTAGAACTGTTTTCACGTGATAAGAAAGCAAGATGTAAAGATTATGACTTTTACTTTAACAGAGAAATGATACAACCGACTCCTCCCTCCAAGCTAAAGTGACAAAGATGGCAACCCAGGCTCTGGACAGGTAGTATACAGCCACTCACAACACAGTTGCAACAGTCATAGCTGGCAATCCCCATTTCAACTTCATTAAAATACAGAAACCTGTTTTGTAGATGGTTCAGTTCCCTGTGAAATTATTGGGATTAATTTCCAGATCACCTGCTAGTTAGTACATAGTAATGTCACTTTAATTATGTTGAGGTGTACCCTACTGTACTCATCTGAGGTTTCACTGGAGATAACAATGCTTCAAATTTGTTTATTTTGACAGAGCTGAAAACTTGAAGAAGAAGCGCAAACCTCTCAGTCCTAATAATAACCAAGGGAAACAACTCCCAAACCAACCAGGAAGAGTTATGCCCCCTCTTGGCTTTGGAGCCTTTTCAGAGGATGATGATAAACCACGGGCGCGTCCACAACCCCAGGGGATGCCGGGCCCCCCTCCCCCGACTTCAGGGCCAACCAATGTGGGGGCCTCCTCCTACACCAAGGAAGAGATAGCAGTAATTAGGTATCAAGTGTAAATACATTATGGAAGGAAACAGTACTAGCTGTAGTACTTTGTTTTTTAGCTGTTTAATAGTTAATGTTATTTTTTGTTTATCATTTGTTATTGAAGGATATAAAAAATTACTGTTTAATAATTGTATATATCTGAAAAACAGTTCAAGTGTTACATATTATTAGAGCATTTTGCAAGTCTCTTGTGTTAAGGTTATGTGAAACTGCAATGCACTTCACTGTATGAGACTCTAAAAATCATCTCCTCCAGAAACCAATGACCTATGACACTTCACTTCACATGCTTCTTTCAACCAATGATGACCCCTGAATTTGTTCAGGCGACTGAACTTCAATATAACAACCATGGCAACTATATTAAGAAGCTATTTATATCCATTACAGAATCAAAATCTAATGACACTTGGCATGTGTGTTAGTAGTAAGGCTCGACACATGCTCCTTTTTTCACAATAATCTATGTTTTTACCTTTAATTCACCTTTCCACGTTTGTTGGTAGTGAATGCACCATCTTCACTGAAACCACACGAGCAATGAAGCACATGCGTGTTCCCACCAATGATGACACCTTAATTTATTTAAGCTTTTTTAATCAGATTTTCAGTGTATTGAAAGATCTATTTACGGCCATTGCTCTGCAATACTAACTACTACTCCTATTGATGACATTGTATTTTGGTCAAACCATTAGATTTTAGTGGTAGATTTGAGTCGCTAGTAATAATGCAGAAAATATATGAAAATCAATGCTGACAGTAACTTTTGTTAAGTCTCTGTCCTTGTCATTTCGAACTGTTGACTACATATGTAGATGAGCTACAGCGCTATGGTTCTAGTTTTTGCAATTGTTATAACTCCATCACTGAAGCGTGGATAATGACATCAATATGGTGTTGATACCAGGTCAATTCTCAATATGTTGGCCTAAGGAATCATACCTAAAGTGTTTTTTCTCTACTCTTTTGCAAGTGGTCTGGATTACAAAGTGAATTGACAGTGACATAGAATCTTGAGAGACACAATAAATGAAGCCAATAATTGGACTGACATGAGCAAAGAAATCAGTTCATTGAGGAAATTTGTGTCTTTGAAATGCAATTATCATTCCGTATTTCCAGGAGCACCTCAAAAATCAACAGTCGAGAATACGTCCCATTTCTGTCTGTGGATCTGAAGGAGAGGTTTGCCTTTCCAGTGCCTTTCACGTAAGTAGCTCTCACCATGTGATGAGGAGGGGGAAGGAGGAACTGCACTAGGTGGAGCAAGTGTGGCATAGTTCAGCTCTACGACTTTATATCTTATTTTGTTTTTGACATGGACACCATTTACACGAGGAGTGTGTCAATTTATCTCTGGATATTATGTTCTTGTGACAAGCTCCCACAGCGATAGTCTGTTCGCAGAGCTCTCTATACTATCGCTGCCACCAGTCAAAACTCCCCACTGTGATAGGTGGCCCCAACCATGCTTGGAGTCGAATTCGCAACCGAATGACCGTGATGTTTACAAACATGTGACGACTGTCATGACGCCGAATACACTTACCGCTGATGAATTACTTTCTTTCTTTGTCAATTTGAATTTCTATTTCATTAAAACTATCATCTTTAATTCCTGTAGGAAGAATGTAAGGGAGAAGTTGGTTGATTTTCCATTAGTCTGCAATCTCGAACCAATCTTATTATTAAAACAACAAAGTAAATTCATCTGGAAAACATGGTCAGTTGTAAACGTTTTCAAAATGAAATATAATGACATTCCCAAAGACATAAACAAAAGTTATTAAACGTTACTACATATGGGGTTAGAGGGCAAATTTCAAGATTCTTGTAATGGCCGTGCCAACACTGTTGGCAGCGATGTTACCGAGAGTGTAATGAAGGTGTCACGCGCTGGGAAGGAGCTTGGTTCTTGTGACAGGGAAAGGAAGTTACTCTGGATATGCTGTTCTAGTATCAGGGAAGGGAAATAACCCTGGATATGATGTTCTTGTATCAGGGAAGGGAAGTAACTCTGGACATGATGTTCTAGTGCAAGCTCCTCACAGCGATAGCCCGTTTGCGGAGCTCTCTATACTATAGCTGCCACCAGTCAAAACTCACCACTGTGAATAGGTGGCCCCAACCATGCTTGGAGTTGAACTCGCAAACCAATGACCGTTATGTTTACAAACAAGTGACAACTGTCGTGACGCCGAATACATTTACTGCTGATGAATTACTTTCTTCGTTTGTCAATTTGAATTTCTGTTTCATTAAAACATTCGTGTTGTTGATATAGTAAGAATGTAAGGGATAAGTTGGTTGATTTTCCGTTAGTCTGCAATCTCAAACCAATCTGATTATGCAAACAACAAAGTAAATTCATCCGGAAAATATGGTCAGTCGAAAACCTTTTCAAAATGAAATATGATGGCATCCCCAAAGACATAAACAAAAGTATCAACGTTACTACATTTGGGATTAGAGGGCAAATTTCAAGATTATTGTAATGGCCGCGCCCACACTGGTGGCAGCGATGTTACAGAGAGTGTAATGAAGGTGTCACGTGCTGGGAAGGAGCTTGGTTCTTGTGAGAGGGGGGCGGTCGGGTAGCCTAATGGTTAAAGCGTTCGCTCGTCACGCCGAAGACCCGGGTTCGATTCCCGACATGGGTACAATGTGTGAAGCCCATTTCTGGTGTCCCCCGCCGTGATATCGCTGGAATATTGCTAAAAGCAGCGTAAAATCAAACTCACTCACTCACTTTTGTGAGAGGGATGGGAAGTAACTCTTGATATGATGTTATAGTGACAGGGAAGGGAAATAACTCTGGATATGTTGTTCTAGTGAGAGGGAAGGGAAGTAACTCTGGATATGTTGGTCTAGTGACAGGGATGGGAAGTAACTCTGGATATGTTGTTCTAAAGACAGGGAAGGGAAGTAACTCTGGATATGTTGGTCTAGTGGCAGGGATGGGAAGTAACTCTGGATATGATATTCTCGTGACAGGGATGGGAAGTAACTCTGGATATGTTGTTTTAGTGAGAGGGAAGGGAAGTAACTCTGGATATGATATTTTCGTGACAGGGATGGAAAGTAACTCTGGATATATGGTCTAGTGACAAGGATGGGAAGTAACTCTGGATGTGCTGTTCCAGTGACAATAACTGGAAGTAACTCTGGATATGTTGTTCTAGTGACAGGGATGGGAAGTAACTCTGGATATGTTGTTCTAAAGACAGGGATTTGAAGTAACTCTGGATATGTTGTTCTAAAGACAGGGATGGGAAGTAACTCTGGATATGTTGTTCTAGTGAGAGGGATGGGAAGTAACTCTGGATATGTTGTTCCAGTGACAGTAACTGGAAGTAACTCTGGATATGTTGTTCCAGTGACAGTAACTGGAAGTAACTCTGGATATGTTGTTCCAGTGACAGTAACTGGAAGTAACTCTGGATATGTTGTTCTAGTGACAGGGATGGGAAGTAACTCTGGATATGTTGTTCTAAAGACAGGGAAGGGAAGTAACTCTGGATATGTTGTTCCAGTGACAGTAACTGGAAGTAACTCTGGATATGTTGTTCTAGTGACAGGGATGGGAAGTAACTCTGGATATGTTGTTCTAAAGACAGGGATGGGAAGTAACTCTGGATATATGGTCTAGTGACAAGGATGGGAAGTAACTCTGGATGTGCTGTTCCAGTGACAATAACTGGAAGTAACTCTGGATATGTTGTTCTAGTGACAGGGATGGGAAGTAACTCTGGATATGTTGTTCTAAAGACAGGGATTTGAAGTAACTCTGGATATGTTGTTCTAAAGACAGGGATGGGAAGTAACTCTGGATATGTTGTTCTAGTGAGAGGGATGGGAAGTAACTCTGGATATGTTGTTCCAGTGACAGTAACTGGAAGTAACTCTGGATATGTTGTTCCAGTGACAGTAACTGGAAGTAACTCTTGATATGTTGTTCCAGTGACAGTAACTGGAAGTAACTCTGGATATGTTGTTCTAGTGACAGGGATGGGAAGTAACTCTGGATATGTTGTTCTAAAGACAGGGAAGGGAAGTAACTCTGGATATGTTGTTCCAGTGACAGTAACTGGAAGTAACTCTGGATATGTTGTTCTAGTGACAGGGATGGGAAGTAACTCTGGATATGTTGTTCTAGTGACAGGGATGGGAAGTAACTCTGGATATGTTGTTCTAAAGACAGGGATGGGAAGTTACTATGGATATGTTGTTCTAAAGACAGGGATGGGAAGTAACTCTGGATATATGGTCTAGTGACAAGGATGGGAAGTAACTCTGGATATGCTGTTCCAGTGACAGTAACTGGAAGTAACTCTGGATATGTTGTTCTAGTGACAGGGATGGGAAGTTACTCTGGATATGTTGTTCTAAAGACAGGGATGGGAAGTAACTCTGGATATATGGTCTAGTGACAAGGATGGGAAGTAACTCTGGATATGCTGTTCCAGTGACAGTAACTGGAAGTAACTCTGGATATGTTGTTCTAGTGACAGGGATGGGAAGTTACTCTGGATATGTTGTTCTAAAGACAGGGAAGGGAAGTAACTCTGGATATGATGTTCTAGTGACAGGGAAGGGAAGTAACTCTGGATATGTTGTTCTAGTGACAGGGAAGGGAAGTAACTCTGGATATGATGTTCTAAAGACAGGGAAGGGATGTAACTCTGGATATGATGTTCTAAAGACAGGGAAGGGAAGTAACTCCGGATATGTTGTTATAGTGATAAGGATGGGAAGCTGGCCATGTCCCCAAAACAGAGGTCACAGTTTGGGAAGTGGGCTCGAGCTGAAGATTTCTGTGAGGATCCCAAGATGATCCTGGCTGTTTCTCCTTTTAGCATCAGACAGGTGAGGAAAGCTTCATCAGGAGATTGTGCATATTACCTGTACATCAGATAAGTGATTAGTGTTACCTGTACGTCAGACAAGTGATTAGTGTTACCTGAACATCAGACAAGTGATTAGTGTTACCTGTACATCAGACAAGTGATTAGTATTACCTAAACATCAGACAGGTGATTAGTGTTACCTAAACATCAGACAGGTGATAAGTGTTACCTGTACATCAGACAGGTGATTAGTGTTACCTGTACATCAGACAGGTGATTAGTGTTACCTGTACATCAGACAGGTGATAAGTATTACCTGAACATCAGGCAGGTGATTAGTGTTACCTGTACATCAGACAGGTGATTAGTATTACCTGAACATCAGACAGGTGATTAGTGTTACCTAAACATCAGACAGGTGATAAGTGTTACCTGTACATCAGACAGGTGATTAGTGTTACCTGTACATCAGACAGGTGATTAGTATTACCTGAACATCAGGCAGGTGATTAGTGTTACCTGTACATCAGACAGGTGATTAGTATTACCTGAACATCAGGCAGGTGATTAGTGTTACCTAAACATCAGACAGGTGATAAGTATTACCTGAACATCAGGCAGGTGATTAGTGTTACCTGTACATCAGACAGGTGATTAGTATTACCTGTACATCAGACAGGTGATTAGTGTTACCTGTACATCAGACAGGTGATTAGTATTACCTGAACATCAGACAGGTGGGGACTATCACCTGTCTGTACATATTGACTAGTGAGGAGCTTCACTTGTACTTTGGCAGGTGAGGACTGTTAAAAGAACATCAGACAAATTGAATTGCCATTTTAAGTTAATGACAGTTTGATCTCTCTTCATATCAATAATGAAATAACTGTGTGATGTATAAGTTGTGAAAGAGATTTACTGGAAAAGCAGGAACAGTCCTCATATATAGTGTTGTGTTTCAGACCATAGTGTCTGACTGCAGTTTTGTAGCATCAGTGGCCATCAGTGCACAGTATGAGAGGAGGTTCAAGAAGAAGCTGATCACCAGGTGAGTGAGTGCGACATCCTCACAACACCCTCAACTTGGAGAGAGTGGGGACACAGGAAGCCCACTGGTCAACTCAAGCTCATTAGTTCTAGCGACCCCTAAACAAAGATCTCAGGACATCCCATTACAGGTCACATCAGGACAATTTCATGAACTTTGACCCATCAATGAAATGACTGACAAGAAGTCGATGTTAGCTAATCAGAAAGCAGCTTTCTCGAGCTATACAGTGTTAGTTTTAAACTGGCTACTTCCATTTCAGATTACGCCTTGAAGAATATTTTCTCAATTCAAAATTTGAAAACTAAACAAAAGAATATTCTGGAATGTCTAATAGATGGCCGAAACTGTATGACAGAGCTTACCATGGGATAGTCTCTTTTGTTCAAATGTTTATCCCATTGAAGTACAGACAACGCTTTTGACGGAATCAGTCTACAACTTGTAACTGTCATTTAGAATACCATGTGTTAACCTTTTAGGGGTTGCATGATTACGAAACACATTCCGACTGTCATTTTCATCAGCTGGTGAGACGCTCTGAATGTTCGGATGAAAGGTCCTTTTGACGTCCTCGGGTCATTGTTTAGCGCTAGTGAGTACTGTTGTTCCTGTGTTCTAGGCTGAATATACTGTTGCTGTTTGTGTTTTACTACAAATTAGTGTATTTAGGTTAGCTTAGATACATTCTACACATTTTCATCTGTTCTTACAGCATCATTTACCCCCAGAACCGTCAGGGAGACCCTGTGTTCAACCCATGTGGGAAATACATGGTCAAACTCAACATCAACGGTGTGCATCGAAAGGTAGGTGGACAGTAGGTGGAGTCGCCTGCCTTCATCTACTTCAGTCTAAGTACAATCCTTGCAACCAAGTCATTGGGAATCAGGAAAATCTGGTGACACATTAAAGTGCTTGCGAGGTAGCCATGGAGTGATGACTTCAAAAGCTACTTTTTTTTTCAATTGCAATAAGATGCTGACATCAGCATGCTTCTTTAGGGTTTTTCTACCAAGTAGTAAAGATGCTGCTGTATGTGACTGGAGAGCGAGCCATGTGTTCCCTATGCACTCTATGTACACTCTGTCTGCTGCAGGTTATCCTGGACGACTACTTCCCAGTTAGTAAACATGGCGACCTCCTGTGCTCCTTCTCCACCAATCGGAATGAGCTGTGGGTGTCCCTCCTGGAGAAGGCCTATATGAAGGTCATGGGTGGATACGACTTCCCAGGCTCCAACTCTGTATGTAGGAATAGATGTCTAATTGATGTCAATTGTTTTGTGAAAACCTTTATTCGGTTATTGAATGGGTTGTTGAATTCAGTTGTTGTGGATTTGGCTTTCAAGATCCTCAGTTCAGCTTGATTTATTGATAGGATTTGTTGTTCTTTGAGAATACAGCTGAAATCACTGTACCAAATGTTGTTTCAGAACATTGACTTACATGCCCTGACTGGATGGATCCCAGAGAGAGTGGCCATCAGAACAGGCAGTCAGGAGTTTGACAAGGACCGTGAGTTCAAGAGACTCTTGGAACGCTTCCACAAGGGACACTGTCTGGTTACTGTTGCAACAGGAGAAATGTCAGAATCTCATGCCGACAGAGCTGGACTAGTGCCAACACATGCCTATGCCATGTTGGATGTCAGAGAGGTCAAGGTCAGTGATAAAAAGTTTTTAAAGGTCATATGAAAACATATCATCACTAAGAATGATTTCTTTTTTTTATTGACGTTGTGCTTCAGTTTTGGTTGTATCACTCCCTAGGGTCAGCGATTGTTCTTGCTGAAGAATCCTTGGAACCATTTACGCTGGAAAGGAAATTTTTCAGAACATGATACAACTCACTGGACACCTGACCTTCAGAAGGCCTTGAACTATGATCCAAAAAGTGCTCAGACGTTTGATAATGGTATGTGAGATGAAAGTTGGCCTGTGAGATGAATGTTATGAACACAGTAACAGGTTTACCTCTGACTTTCTTGTGTCATCTACTTCTTCAACTTATAGAATGCTCTCTACCTCTGACAAGCACTGTTTTACATGCTGATGGATACACTGTTTCCTTGTTAACTCTGATACATGTAATGCTATGTCTGTGGACTGTGATCCTTGTGTTGCCAGGTGTGTTCTGGATCGACTATGACTCCCTATGTTCATTCTATGACGTCTTTTACATCAACTGGAGTCCCGAGCTGTTCACACACACAACATGCATACACCAGTAAGTCCACCAGTTCAGCCATTCTTGTACATGGTACTGATGACAGCTCCTGCAGGGTGTCAGTCTCTTGTCAACGGCCAAGTGACTCTTGACGAGAGGCTTATCAACGGCAATGTCATGAGACACCAGTACAGCATTGTCACCTCCCTCGTAGTGATTGGAGCAAGATCCGACTACAGCGTGTTCGTTTATATGACTTTGCTTCTTGCATCTAAATATACAACAAATGCTTTTGATCACATAACTAATTGCCATCTTGCAAGCAAGGGGACCTTTGTTCCTGGACCCCACAATGGGAGTGTGGATGTTGGTGATTACCCATGTATCATTTCATCCACTTCATGTAAAGACGTAGAGTTTAAGACATATTTGATATTGTTCAATACTTGTTAGCTTTGCAGTGTAAAAGTCTGTTTCTTGTCCCAACAGTTCCTGGCATTCCAAGGAAGGGCCTAAGAAAGACAGCTACAATATAAGTGACAACCCACAGTATCGCCTGGAGGTCAAAGCCAGCAAGTCTGCTGCTGTGTGGATCCTCCTCACTCGACATATCACAGATAAGGCAAGTCATGTGACATGTTACAGATAAGGCAAGTCATGTGACATGTTACAGATAAGGCAAGTCATGTGACATATCACAGATAAGGCAAGTCATGTGACATGTTACACATAAGGCAAGTCATGTGACATGTTACAGATAAGGCAAGTCATGTGACATATCACAGATAAGGCAAGTCATGTGACATGTTACAGATAAGGCAAGTCATGTGACATGTTACAGATAAGGCAAGTCATGTGACATGTTACAGATAAGGCAAGTCATGTGACATGTCACAGATAAGGCAAGTCATGTGACATATCACAGATAAGGCAAGTCATGTGACATATCACAGATAAGGCAAGTCATGTGACATGTCACAGATAAGGCAAGTCATGTGACATGTTACAGATAAGGCAAGTCATGTGACATATAACAGATAAGGCAAGTCATGTGACATGTTACAGAGAAGGCAAGTCATGTGACATGTTACAGATAAGGCAAGTCATGTGACATGTTACAGATAAGGCAAGTCATGTGACATGTCACAGATAAGGCAAGTCATGTGACATGTCACAGATAAGGCAAGTCATGTGACATGTCACAGATAAGGCAAGTCATGTGACATGTCACAGATAAGGCAAGTCATGTGACATGTTACAGATAAGGCAAGTCATGTGACATGTCACAGATAAGGCAAGTCATGTGACATGTTACAGATAAGGCAAGTCATGTGCCATGTTACAGATAAGGCAAGTCATGTGACATGTCACAGATAAGGCAAGTCATGTGACATGTCACAGATAAGGCAAGTCATGTGACATGTCACAGATAAGGCAAGTCATGTGACATGTCACAGATAAGGCAAGTCATGTGACATGTCACAGATAAGGCAAGTCATGTGACATGTCACAGATAAGGCAAGTCATGTGACATGTCACAGATAAGGCAAGTCATGTGACATGTTACAGATAAGGCAAGTCATGTGACATGTTACAGATAAGGCAAGTCATGTGACATGTTACAGATAAGGCAAGTCATGTGACATGTTACAGATAAGGCAAGTCATGTGACATGTTACAGATAAGGCAAGTCATGTGACATGTTACAGATAAGGCAAGTCATGTGACATGTTACAGATAAGGCAAGTCATGTGACATGTTACAGATAAGGCAAGTCATGTGACATGTTACACATAAGGCAAGTCATGTGACATGTCACAGATAAGGCAAGTCATGTGACATGTCACAGATAAGGCAAGTCATGTGACATGTCACAGATAAGGCAAGTCATGTGACATGTTACACATAAGGCAGGTCATGTGACATGTTACAGATAAGGCAAGTCATGTGCCATGTTACAGATAAGGCAAGTCATGTGACATGTCACAGATAAGGCAAGTCATGTGACATGTCACAGATAAGGCAAGTCATGTGACATGTCACAGATAAGGCAAGTCATGTGACATGTCACAGATAAGGCAAGTCATGTGACATGTCACAGATAAGGCAAGTCATGTGACATATCACAGATAAGGCAAGTCATGTGACATGTCACAGATAAGGCAAGTCATGTGACATGTTACAGATAAGGCAAGTCATGTGACATGTTACAGATAAGGCAAGTCATGTGACATGTTACAGATAAGGCAAGTCATGTGACATGTCACAGATAAGGCAAGTCATGTGACATATCACAGATAAGGCAAGTCATGTGACATGTCACAGATAAGGCAAGTCATGTGACATGTTACAGATAAGGCAAGTCATGTGACATGTTACAGATAAGGCAAGTCATGTGACATGTTACAGATAAGGCAAGTCATGTGACATGTTACAGATAAGGCAAGTCATGTGACATGTTACAGATAAGGCAAGTCATGTGACATGTTACAGATAATGCAAGTCATGTGACATATCACAGATAAGGCAAGTCATGTGACATGTCACAGATAAGGCAAGTCATGTGACATGTTACAGATAAGGCAAGTCATGTGACATGTCACAGATAAGGCAAGTCATGTGACATATCACAGATAAGGCAAGCCATGTGACATGTCACAGATAAGGCAGATCATGTGACATGTTACAGATAAAGCAAGTCATGTGACATGTTACAGATAAGGCAAGTCATGTGACATATCACAGATAAGGCAAGTCATGTGACATGTTACAGATAAGGCAAGTCATGTGACATGTTACAGATAAGGCAAGTCATGTGACATGTTACAGATAAGGCAAGTCATGTGACATATCACAGATAAGGCAAGTCATGTGACATGTTACAGATAAGGCAAGTCATGTGACATGTCACAGATAAGGCAAGTCATGTGACATGTAACAGATAAGGCAAGTCATGTGACATGTTACAGATAAGGCAAGTCATGTGACATGTTACAGATAAGGCAAGTCATGTGACATATCACAGATAAGGCAAGTCATGTGACATATCACAGATAAGCAAGTCATATGACATGTTACAGATAAGGCAAGTCATGTGACATATCACAGATAAGGCAAGTCATGTGACATGTTATAGATAAGGCAAGTCATGTGACATGTTACAGATAAGGCAAGTCATGTGACATGTTACAGATAAGGCAAGTCATGTGACATGTTACAGATAAGGCAAGTCATGTGACATGTCACATATGAGGCATGTCATGTGACATATCACATATGAGGCAAGTCATTTGACATATTACATATAAGGCAAGTCATGTGACATATCACATGAGACAAGTCATGTGACATATCACATATAACTATTATAAGGCAAGTCATGTGACATGTCACATATAACTATTATAGGGAAAGTCATGTGACATATCACATATGAGGAAAGTCATGTGACATATCACATATGAGGCAAGTCATGTGACATATCACATATGAGGCAAGTCATGTGACATATCACATATGAGGCAAGTCATGTGACATGTCACAGATAAGGCAAGTCATGTGACATATCACATATGAGGCAAGTCATGTGGGATAGGGAAAGTTGTTCTTATTCAAGAGCATGTATGTTTATGTTTAGCAGCATTAAACGCAAATCAACCACTTAAACTGGCACTAAAATAGCCAAAGAAGGCTTGGTACAATGGTTCTCTGTGAGACTTGTTGCAATGGTTCTTTATGAGACTTATTGCAATGGTTCTTTGTGAGACTTGTTGCAATGGTTCTTTGTGAGAGTTGGTACAATGGTTCTTTGTGAGACTTGTTGCAATGGTTCTTTGTGAGTCTTGGTGCAATGGTTCTTTGTGAGACTTGGTACTATGGTTCTTTGTGAGACTTGGTGCAATGGTTCTTTGTGAGACTTCTTGCAATGGTTCTCTGTGAGACTTGTTGCAATGGTTCTCTGTGAGACTTGTTGCAATGGTTCTTTGTGTGACTTGGTGCAATGGTTCTTTGTGTGACTTGTTGCAATGGTTCTTTGTGAGACTTGTTGCAATGGTTCTTTGTGAGACTTGGTCCAATGGTTCTCTGTGAGAATTGATGCAATGGTTCTCTGTGAAACTTGGTGCAATGGTTTTCTGTGAGAATTGGTGCTATGGTTCCTCTGTAAGAATTGGTGCAATGGTTCTCTGTGAAACTTGTTGCAATGGTTCTCTGTGAGAATTGGTGCAATGGTTCCTCTGTGAGACTTGTTGCAATGGTTTTCTGTGAGAATTGGTGCTTTGGTTCCTCTGTGAGAATTAGTGCAATGGTTCTCTGTGAGAATTGATGCAATGGTTCTCTGTGAAACTTGGTGCAATGGTTTTCTGTGAGAATTGGTGCAATGGTTCCTCTGTGAGACTTGGTGCAATGGTTCTCTGTGAGAAATGATGCAATGGTTCTCTGTGAGACTTGGTGCAATGGTTCTCTGTGAGAATTGATGCAATTGTTCTTTGTGAGAATTGATGCAATGGTTCTCTGTGTGACTTGTTGCAATGGTTCTCTGTGAGACTTGATGCACCTATTCTCTGTCTGATTTTTTTAAATGCCTCTCTGATATGTGTTCCAGGATGACTTTGCTGACAACAAGGAGTTCATCACCGTGCTGGTGTACAAGACTGGGGGCAAGAGAGTATTCTACCCTTGTGAGTAGCACCACTTTTGTCTGATATTCAGTAAGCCAGGGGAGTCCTGGATATATTATTATGACACATCAACATTGTAGTAGTTATTGTGTGTGTACTAATGGATGAGGTGTCAGTGTGTGATAGTAGATGAGGGTCCCAATGTGTCAATGTAGATGCTGGGTCACTAATAATACTAGGTACGTGTTTATGCTGTTTGTTGTAGATCCTGTCTTGTTGATGCTGTTCATTATGGACCCTGTCTTGTTGATGCTGGTCATTATGGACCCTGTCATGTTGATGCTGGTCATTATGGACCCTGTCTTGTTGATGCTGGTCATTATGGACCCTGTCTTGTTGATGCTGGTCATTATGGACCCTGTCTTGTTGATGCTGGTCATTATGGACCCTGTCTTGTTGATGCTGGTCATTATGGACCCTGTCTTGTTGATGTTGTTCATTATGGACCCTGTCTTGTTGATGCTGGTCATTATGGACCCTGTCTTGTTGATGCTGGTCATTATGGACCCTGTCATGTTGATGCTGTTCATTATGGACCCTGTCTTGTTGATGTTGTTCATTATGGACCCTGTCTTGTTGATGTTATATACTGTGTGGATTTCATACTCTTCATGATGGGTTATAATTACAATTGCAGATGATCCCCCACCCTATAAGGATGGTGTGAGGATCAACAGTCCGCACTATCTGTGTAAACTGGTGGAGAACAAGGGGACATCACTGTACACGCTGGTCGTGTCGCAGTACGAGAAGAACAATAGTATTCACTACACACTCAGGGTGTACGCTACGTGTGAGTTTTCCCTCAAGCAGTACAAGGACCCATACAAGCCACAGTACTTCCAGAAGGTGTGTATCACAGAGGGCAGATCTCACCAATCTTGTCTACGTGCAGTAAGGTTTAATGAGATAATTGATGTCATGGACTGTGATAATCTTGTGTTTGGAATCACATATATCAAGACTGTGGATTTGGCATGGGTAGTTATTTATCATTATCTTTCCATCCATTAAGGTTTTACTTCCAACCAACTGAAGGGATCATTTAAGAGGTTTTAAACTATTTGGAACCTTAAGATGTGTATCCTTTGACACTAACTAGCTGGCAAGTGACATCTATTGTTTTGGGTGATATTATAGCACTAGGTAATTAGCATGTTGTCTAGACGTATTGAATACAAGGGTAATTAAGTGATGTCGACAATGTTATTTTAGGATAATGTTTTTATAGTTGGATTATTTGGATTAAGGTTTGTTTTCATTGATACTTAGATATCCCAATTTAAGTCATAGCTTACATGGCATTTAGATTAACAATATTTCAATAGGGATAATTATTAAATGTTTTGGTTTATGTGACAAAGTGTTTATGGTTTAATATCTAGGTGATTTAGAACATTGCAATAAAATTTTGTGTATTATGTATTATGTAAAGTTTATTTTATGAATAACTACTATTTAGGTTGGGTTAAGTTTTCCAACAGTTATTATAGTTTTAAGTATATAGCATGATTGCAAAACTTATGTTCGTATTTAATGTCCATGATACGACCATTGCATCAAAATTCTTTGACGTTGTATCATTGGGTACATTATAACTGAATCAGCGCTAGATTGGGAGAAAATATGTGTACAGCTGATTGATATTCCCGGGTTAGTTTACGAGAAAATACACACGGTAATCTTAATCTCTGCATATAAAGCAATGCCTTGGAGAGCACGAAATACATTTTAAATGGTAAATCATCATGTCTGGGGATGTTTTATATCAAGTTTTTTATACCTGTTTGTTCACCTGTAATCGCTGAAGGGATAAGATGTGGTTTTATTTAAAGCACATAACACGATAAACTACCATTCTTATCTTTTTTTAAACTCTGAAACGTACATCGTAAATCGTGTTAGGTAGGCAGAGCATGTACTGTTGTGATATAGTTATCTACCCACTATGACTCCACCTCTGTTAATCCGTTGATCGTCTGTAACACTCATCAATTATTTGGACCCCAAAGGTAGTGTTGTAGTGAGGGATCACTGTATCTTATTCAAACAAAACAACATCTAGGATTCTGAAATATTAAATTTAAAAAGTTTGAAGCTTAAATAGAAACCAGTGAAAACCTTGAAAATAATAAAGAAACTTCTTCTCAGCAACCAAAATGCTGAGAGAGCTGATAGTTTATCAATATGTATATGACAATATTGTGACTGTAACATGAGCTAATGTATGGTCAAAATGTCTTACAGTAACAGTCTTCTTTGTAGTGGTGTGACGACAAATAAGCAACATTTGCCACAAACTACTGGAATATGTCAGCTATATGTTGACTTTATCAAATGGGTCTACACGATCAATAGAATAGAATGCTATCTGATGAAAAACTTCAGAAGATGAAGACATGTTTTAATGATGGCATGTTGGTGACTGCAGGTGAATGGTGCGTGGACTCAAACCTCTGCTGGCGGATGTTCCAACTACTCCGACACACACAAGAACAACCCTATCTACCAGATCCTCATAGACAACAGTAGTACAGACAACAGTATACAGATTGAGCTCCTGGGGCCCAAGTGAGTAGCATTCAACAGCCAGTCAGTCTGTCCTCTTGGCTGATTCAGATTATGTTCTTGTAAGGTGTGACTTGAAATGTTGCAGATAAACCTATATGTTTGTTTACTATTTCACACACTGAGTCCAGGTGTTGAAGCACAGGGGTATACTATTCTACTTACTTAGTCTGATTATTGAAGCACATGGGTGCACTATTCAACTCAGTGAGTCTGATTATTGAAGCACATGGGTGCACTATTCAACTCAGTGAGTCTGGTTATTGAAGCACATGGGTGCACTATTCCACTTGGTGAGTCTGATTATTGAAGCACATGGGTGCACTATTCCACTTGGTGAATCTGATTATTGAAGCACATGGGTGCACTATTCCACTTGGTGAGTCTGGTTATTGAAGCACATGGGTGCACTATTCCACTTGGTGAGTCTGATAATTGAATCACATGGTTTCACTATTCCACTTGGTGAGTCTGCCTAATGATGCACATGGGTGCACTATTCCACTTGGTGAGTCTGATTATTGAAGCACATGGGTGCATTATTCCACTTGGTGAGTCTGATAATTGAATCACATGGGTGCACTAATCCACTTGGTGAGTCTGATAATTGAATCACGTGGGTGCACTATTCAACTTGGTGAGTCTGATAATTGAATCACGTGGGTGCACTATTTCACTTGGTGAGTCTGGCTATTGATGCACATGGGTGCACTGTTCCACTTGGTGAGTCTGATTATTGAAGCAAATGGTTTCACTATTCCATTTGGTGAGTCTGATTATTGAAGCACATGGGTGCACTATTTCACTCAGTGAGTCTGATATTTGAATCACGTGGGTGCACTATTCCACTTGGTGAGTCTGGCTATTGATGCACATGGGTGCACTATTCCACTCAGTGAGTTTGGTTAATTTGATTTTGAAGCATGTGCTTCTTGAAGTCAACAAGACATTTGTATTTCAGAGTGTACAGTGTTGGGTTCGAGGTGATAGCAGTCAGCCAGAATGTGCCTAGTGCGCCTGGATCCTTCTCCAAGAAGACATCAGGAGATTTCAGGTGAGCTTTTTGTTTACTCCCTTACAGTCCAGATGATATCCATGTTAAATAGTCCAGGTGATATCAGTGTTTGCTCCCTTATAGTCCAGGTGATATCAGTGCTTGCTCCCTTATAGTCCAGATGATATCAGTGTTTGCTCCCATATAGTACTGATGATATCATTATTTTCTCCCTTATAGACCAGATGATGTCAGTGTTTGCTCCCTTATAGTCAAGATGATATCAGTGTTGATCCCTTATTGTCAAGATGATATCAGTGTTTGCTTTCTTACAGTCCAGATGATATCAGTGTTTTCTCCCTTATAGTCGAGATGATATCAATGTTTGCTCCTATATTATCCAGATGATATCAGTGTTTGCTCCCTTATAGTCCAGATGATATCAGTGTTTGCTTCCTTACAGTCCAGATGATATCCATGTTTACTCCCTTATAGTCCAGATGATATCAGTGTTTGCTTTCTTATAGTCCAGATGATATCAGTGTTTGCTCCCTTACAGTCCAGATGATATCAATGTTTGCTCCTATATTATCCAGATGATATCAGTGTTTGCTCCCTTATTGTCCAGATGATATCAGTGTTTGCTTCCTTACAGTCCAGATAATATCCATGTTTACTCCCTTATAGTCCAGATGATATCAGTGTTTGCTCCCTTATAGTCCAGATGATATCAGTGTTTTCTCTCCCTCATAGTCCAGATGATATCAGTTGCTTCCTTAAAGTCCAGATGATATCAGTGTTTTCTCCCTTACAGTCCAAATGATATCAGTGTTTGCTCCCTTATAGACTAGATGATGTCAGTGTCTGCTCCCTTATAGACTAGATGATGTCAGTGTTTGCTCCCTTATAGTCAAGATGATATCAGTGTTGATCCCTTATAGTCAAGATGATATCAGTGTTTGCTTTCTTACAGTCCAGATGATGTCAGTGTTTTCTCCCTTATAGTCCAGATGATATCAATGTTTGCTCCTATATTATCCAGATGATATCAGTGTTTGCTCCCTTATAGTCCAGATGATATCAGTGTTTGCTTCCTTACAGTCCAGATGATATCCATGTTTACTCCCTTATAGTCCAGATGATATCAGTGTTTGCTTTCTTATAGTCCAGATGATATCAGTGTTTGCTCCCTTACAGTCCAGATGATATCAGTGTTTGCTCCCTTATTGTCCAGATGATATCAATGTTTGCTCCCTTATAGTGCAGATGATATCAGTGTTTTCTCCCTTATAGTCCAAATGATACAACAGTAGGGTATCTTTGTGATATCGTAAGATTAGTTGAATAACTCTATCTTTTTAGAATGTTCTATATGAGCTGGTCCAACTTCCACCTTTCACAATAAACACCTGCACATAGTCCAACCAAACCATTACTGTGTGGTTGATACATGTCTTCTCTGCTTCAGACCAGGATACTGTGTGCTACAGCTGGACAATATCTCCGGCGGAATCTACAACATACAGCCATGCACATTCAGACCTGGAAACCAGGGACCATTCTTCCTCGATATCAGCAGTAATATTGCCTTGAAGATCTCAGCACTACAGTGATGCATCAGCAATGTTGACCCTCCATCATCTGTTCAGTTGATTGAATTGAAAAGATAATGTATTTCCCCTGTAATATATCTTGCAAATCCAGTGAGCCATAAGTGGCATATTGATGCCAGTTTATTTGGTGCATTTGTCTGAATATATTGAAAGAATTTATGTGATTTAAGTGTTCATAACTACATGCGGTTAATGGTTACTATGCAGTAAAGACAACATTTCATGAACACAAACCATGTTTATAAACATTGTCATGTTATGTCAGAACTGGGAAAGTCTTTGTCATTTGGATGACAAGGAGCGTCTTTGAAACCGTCTTGTCTTTTGAACTGGAAAGTGTGACATTGCTTTGATTTACAAAGACCGGCATTCTAGTCTTTGGTTGTGACAAGACATTAAAGATATAGTGCCTTCTTAGCCCTCATCATCATGTTAATTGTATTGTGTTGAAAACACCCATGCCTACCATGTTACTGATCTGAAGAGTCCAGTGTTTAGTTGTTCACGGACAGCTGATGGTTATATGTTTGTGTGTCCTCAACACCAGGTCAGTCTGGTGTCAGCATCTCCACACACGATCACCTCAAGATAAGCTGTTGATGTTGTGATAATTCATATAATATCTGAATGTTCTCCATTTCTGTCTGTATCATATTTGTTCCTCCATGACAACTGTTAACCTCCGAGTCTGTGGAGATACATGATCAACTGATCTCTTCCCAGTCTGTGGAGATACATGATCAACTGATCTCTTCCCAGTCTGTGGAGATACATGATCAACTGTTCACTTCCCAGTCTGTGGAGATACATGATCAACTGTTCACTTCCCAGTCTGTGGAGATACCTGATCAACTGTTCACTTCCCAGTCTGTGGAGATACATGATCAACTGTTCTCTTCCCAGTCTGTGGAGATACATGATCAACTGTTCACCTCGCAGTCTGGAGATACCTGATCAACTGTTCACTTCCCAGTCTGTGGAGATACATGATCAACTGATCTCTTCCCAGTCTGTGGAGATACCTGATCAACTGTTCACCTCCGAGTCTGTGGAGATACATGATCAACTGATCTCTTCCCAGTCTGTGGAGATACATGATCAACTGTTTATGTCCCAGTCTGTGGAGATACCTGATCAACTGTTCACCTCCGAGTCTGTGGAGATAAATGATCAACTGTTCTGCTCCCTTACCATCTGCCATGCTACATGGTTATCCCACACCATGGTGTACATGTCACAGCAGCCAGAGAGTTGTACAAGGAAGGTGCTGGTGTCTCCGGCCACAGGAAGGAGCAATCCTTGAACAGTTTCATAACCTCATGTATACCTGATGTTCAGCTTAGGGCACTTAGCAACATACTGCAGTAAAAAAAATGTCTGCTGTCTTGTTTCTTTTCTTCCGCCATGTTGTTCCCACAGTGATGCCATTTCACACCCCAAGCCATTGATTCACATCATTTGCAATTGCCAGTTGCGGTATTATATAGTGGAACCAACAGGGTAAGCACTGCTTTTCAAGGTTTGCAGTTGCTGCAGTCTGCTAACATTAACTGTGGAAACATAACTAGCTACTTTTTATGATAGAAAACACCTCAACCACAATAACCACTATGATATAACTGAAATACTGTTCAATGTAGCGTAAAATCCCATTCACCCATGGTAATCATGGAACAGTATACTGAATACTTCATTTCAAGTACATAGATGTATGTGATATCGTAGCAGCATATCATGAAAAGTGTAGTTCATCTCTGCTGGTGGTGTGACAGCTACAGTGGTAGAGGTCAACTTGACCTCTTCAAGGAAACAATGGCACAATGGCATTGTAAAAAAATATCTGTTGGCAGTCTGATTGTGGCCCGTGCTGACTCTATTGCTTGGTGTATCTGTTGGCAGTCTGATCATGGCCTGTGCTGACTCCATTGCTTGGTGTATCTGTTGGCAGTCTGATCATGGCCTGTGTCAACTCTATTGCTTGGTGTATCTGTTGGCAGCCTGATCATGGCCTCTGCTGACTCCATTGTTTGGTGTATCTGTTGGCAGTCTGATCGTGGCCTGTGTCAACTCTATTTCTTGGTGTATCTGTTGGCAGTCTGATCGTGGCCCGTGTCAACTCTATTGCTTGGTGTATCTGTTGGCAGTCTGATCGTGGCCTGTGTCAACTCTGTTGCTTGGTGTATCTGTTGGCAGTCTGATCATGGCCTGTGTCAACTCTGTTGCTTGGTGTATCTGTTGGCAGTCTGATCATGGCCTGTGTCAACTCCATTGCTTGGTGTATCTGTTGGCAGTCTGATCATGGCCTGTGCTGACTCTATTGCTTGGTGTATCTGTTGGCAGCCTGATCGTGGCCTGTCAACTCTGTTGCTTGGTGTATCTGTTGGCAGTCTGATCATGGCCTGTGTCAACTCCATTGCTTGGTGTATCTGTTGGCCGTCTGATCGTGGCCTGTGTCAACTCTGTTGCTTGGTGTATCTGTTGGCAGTCTGATCGTGGCCTCTGCTGACTCCATTGCTTGGTGTATCTGTTGGCAGTCTGATCGTGGCCTGTGTCAACTCTGTTGCTTGGTGTATCTGTTGGCAGTCTGATCGTGGCCTGTGTCAACTCCATTGCTTGGTGTATCTGTTGGCAGTCTGATCGTGGCCCGTGTCAACTCTGTTGCTTGGTGTATCTGTTGGCAGTCTGATCATGGCCTGTGTCAACTCCATTGCTTGGTGTATCTGTTGGCAGTCTGATCGTGGCCCGTGTCAACTCTGTTGCTTGGTGTATCTGTTGGCAGTCTGATCATGGCCTGTGTCAACTCTGTTGCTTGGTGTATCTGTTGGCAGTCTGATCATGGCCTGTGTCAACTCCATTGCTTGGTGTATATGTTGGCAGTCTAATCATGGCCGGTGCTGACTCCATTGCTTGGTGTATCTGTTGGCAGTCTGATCGTGGCCTGTGTCAACTCTATTGCTTGGTGCATCTGTTTGCAGACTTATCATGGCCTGTGCTGACTCTATTGCTTGGTGTATCTGTTTGCAGACTGATCATGGCCTGTGCTGACTCTATTGCTTGGTGTATCTGTTGGCAGACTGATCATGGCCTGTGCTGATGCCATTGCTTGGTGTATCTGTTGGCAGTCTGATCGTGGCCTGTGTCAACTCTATTGCTTGGTGTATCTGTTGGCAGTCTGATCGTGGCCTGTGCTGACTCCATTGCTTGGTGTATCTGTTGGCAGCCTGATTGTGGCCTGTACTGACTCCATTGCTTGGTGTATCTGTTGGCAGTCTGATCGTGGCCTCTCCTGACTCTATTGTTTTGTGTATCTGTTGGCACTCTGTTTCTGGCCTGTGTCGACTCTATTGCTTGTAACTGATTTAACTGATTTTTCCACCAGCAAGTGTGGCCTCAGGCCCAAGGTTGTGGTATGTAGTCAGGAGATGTTATATTGGGTCATGATATCATTGTTCAGCCATTTGGTATTCCAGAATGACATGACTTTACAAATGACGAGCTTAGTTTTCAATAGTGAAACTATTAGGGATGGAAGTTAATGTGATATATCACTTTGTCAAGTTGGTTATATGTGATTTTTTTCTCCACTTCTCCCCAGTCAAGATGGTCAGGTTTATGCAAACACTCATCCAGACACAGCGACACACTCACAGACACACACACACACATTTGCTTCTTGTATTTGTAAAAGAAATGAAATTCAATAAATACATGTTTGAAATAAATTTAACTGTGTTTACTTTTACTATGCATGAAGCAATAGGTACAGCATTTGATTTCTCCTAACACCAGATATGATCTATCGATTTTCAAACTGATGACCGTTGTTTTTTAGTGGTGATGCAGGACAGTTGGTTAGCCTAGAGGTTACAGCATTATCTCTTCAAGCTGATGACCCTTGTTTTGTACTTGAGATATAGGGCAGTTGTTAGCCTAGAGGTTACAGCATTATCTCTTCAAGCTGATGACCCTTGTTTTGTACTTGAGATATAGGGCAGTTGTTAGCCTAGAGGTTACAGCATTATCTCTTCAAGCTGATGACCCTTGTTTTGTACTTGAGATATAGGGCAGTTGTTAGCCTAGAGGTTACAGCATTATCTCTTCAAGCTGATGACCCTTGTTTTGTACTTGAGATATAGGGCAGTTGTTAGCCTAGAGGTTACACCATTATCTCTTCAAGCTGATGACCCTTGTTTTGTACTTGAGATATAGGGCAGTTGTTAGCCTAGAGGTTAAAGCATTGTCTCTTCAAGCTGACGACCTTTGTTTTGTACTGGAGATATAGGGCAGTTGTTAGCCTAGAGGTTAAAGCATTGTCTCTTCAAGCTGATGACCTTTGTTTTGTACTGGAGATATAGAGCAGTTGGTTAGCCTAGAGGTTAAAGCGTTGTCTCTTCAAGCTGATGACCTTTGTTTTGTACTGGAGATATAGGGCAGTTGTTAGTCTAGAGGTTATAGCATTGTCTCTTCAAGCTTATGACCTTTGTTTTGTACTTGAGATATAGGGCAGTTGTTAGCCTAGAGGTTAAAGCATTGTCTCTTCAAGCTGATGACCTTTGTTTTGTACTGGAGATATAGGGCAGTTGTTAGCCTAGAGGTTAAAGCATTGTCTCTTCAAGCTGATGACCCTTGTTTTGTACTTGAAATATAGGGCAGTTGTTAGCCTAGAGGTTAAAGCATTGTCTCTTCAAGCTGATGACCCTTGTTTTGTACTTGAGATATAGGGCAGTTGTTAGCCTAGAGGTTAAAGCATTGTCTCTTCAAGCTGATGACCTTTCTTTTGTACTGGAGATATAGGGCAGTTGTTAGCCTAGAGGTTAAAGCATTGTCTCTTCAAGCTGATGACCCTTCTTTTGTACTGGAGATATAGGGCAGTTGTTAGCCTAGAGGTTAAAGCATTGTCTCTTCAAGCTGATGACCTTTGTTTTGTAGTGGAGATGAAGGGCAGTTGTTAGCATAGAGGTTAAAGCATTGTCTCTTCAAGCTGATGACCCTTGTTTTGTACTGGAGATATAGGGCAGTTGTTAGTCTAGAGGTTAAAGCGTTGTCTCTTCAAGCTGATGACCCTTGCTTTGTACTTGAGATATAGGGCAGTTGTTAGCCTAGAGGTTAAAGCATTGTCTCTTCAAGCTGATGACCCTTCTTTTGTACTGGAGATATAGGGCAGTTGTTAGTCTAGAGGTTAAAGTATTGTCTCTTCAAGCTGATGACCCTTATTTTGTAGTGGAGATATAGGGCAGTTGTAAGTCTAGAGGTTAAAGCGTTGTCTCTTCAAGCTGATGACCCTTCTTTTGTACTGGAGATATAGGGCAGTTGTTAGTCTAGAGGTTAAAGCGTTGTCTCTTCAAGCTGATGACCCTTCTTTTGTACTGGAGATATAGGGCAGTTGTTAGTCTAGAGGTTAAAGCGTTGTCTCTTCAAGCTGATGACCCTTCTTTTGTACTGGAGATATAGGGCAGTTGTTAGTCTGGAGGTTAAAGCGTTGTCTCTTCAAGCTGATGACCCTTGCTTTGTACTTGAGATATAGGGCAGTTGTTAGCCTAGAGGTTAAAGCATTGTCTCTTCAAGCTGATGACCCTTCTTTTGTACTGGAGATATAGGGCAGTTGTTAGTCTAGAGGTTAAAGTATTGTCTCTTCAAGCTGATGACCCTTGTTTTGTACTGGAGATATAGGGCAGTTGTTAGTCTAGAGGTTAAAGCGTTGTCTCTTCAAGCTGATGACCCTTGCTTTGTACTTGAGATATAGGGCAGTTGTTAGCCTAGAGGTTAAAGCATTGTCTCTTCAAGCTGATGACCCTTCTTTTGTACTGGAGATATAGGGCAGTTGTTAGTCTAGAGGTTAAAGCATTGTCTCTTCAAGCTGATGACCCTTATTTTGTACGGAGATATAGGGCAGTTGTTAGTCTAGAGGTTAAAGCGTTGTCTCTTCAAGCTGATGACCTTTCTTTTGTACTGGAGATATAGGGCAGTTGTTAGTCTAGAAGTTAAAGCATTGTCTCTTCAAGCTGATGACCTTTCTTTTGTACTGGAGATATAGGGCAGTTGTTAGTCTAGAGGTTAAAGTATTGTCTCTTCAAGCTGATGACCCTTATTTTGTACTGGAGATATAGGGCAGTTGTTAGCCTAGAGGTTAAAGCATTGTCTCTTCAAGCTGATGACCTTTGTTTTGTACTGGAGATATAGGGCAGTTGTTAGTCTAGAGGTTAAAGCATTGTCTCTTCAAGCTGATGACCTTTGTTTTGTACTGGAGATATAGGGCAGTTGTTAGTCTAGAGGTTAAAGCATTGTCTCTTCAAGCTGATGACCTTTCTTTTGTACTGGAGATATAGGGCAGTTGTTAGTCTAGAGGTTAAAGTATTGTCTCTTCAAGCTGATGACCCTTATTTTGTACTGGAGATATAGGGCAGTTGTTAGTCTAGAAGTTAAAGCATTGTCTCTTTAAGCTGATGACCTTTGTTTTGTACTGGAGATATAGGGCAGTTGTTAGTCTAGAGGTTAAAGCATTGTCTCTTCAAGCTGATGACCTTTGTTTTGTACTGGAGATATAGGGCAGTTGTTAGTCTAGAGGTTAAAGCATTGTCTCTTCAAGCTGATGACCTTTCTTTTGTACTGGAGATATAGGGCAGTTGTTAGTCTAGAGGTTAAAGTATTGTCTCTTCAAGCTGATGAAGAGTAGCTCATTGTAGTGGTGTATCCTCTGAATATTTTTTGACTGGCATCTGGCATCTGGCATCTGGCACCAACATGACACTGATTTTCAATATGGACACTAGGACTGCTTTTGACCAAAAGTTTCGCAGCTAGTGTGTATGTGCTTGAATGTACAGCCTGTAAGTAAAAGTGTTTGGACCAGACAAGCCAGTGATATGCCATGGGCAATGTCCATACCTTTAGGGAATGATGACACAAAATCACCAAGCATGACAACCAGTTTAGTTTAGTCACACCTTGCAACAAATACAGGTTACCCCCAGTGCCTATTCTATCCTGGAATCTCCATAGAATAACCGATAAAAGAAGATACAGACATGACAGGAACCCTGAAAATGTATTTCTATGTATTGGCATTAGTTTTGTCTACCTTCACTGTCATTAGTATCTCATGGAGATGTAGCTTTGTTCGCCCTCTTCTTGGTGTGTTGTTCTTCTAAAAGTAATTTTATCATGCATCATTAAAATTCTCAGATTGGATTATTTCAACAGAGTAAACCTGAAAACGACATGGAGTATTCCTTTTTTAATGAGATGGCATAGTTTTTCACTTTCACATAGCTGTCAGTGTTCAAAATGAGAAAAATTGCCAGGCTGCCACTAGGACCCAGACTTTAAAAGATGCAGGCCCTGACTATACTCGTGAGGCCCTGACTATACTCGTGAGGCCCTCATTTATAAGAAACTGGAACAAAATCATGTAAATGAACTTCAGGCCATAAGAACTCATACAACTTTAAATCACGCCGATAGGAGATCTACCTGCGCCTTCATAGACTTTATGCTAGTGTTTCTCGAATGGAAAACAGAACATATTTTGTTTTGTATTTACAGTGGTTTGTCACTAACATCACTGTAACTAACTAATGCTCTTTTGAAATAATCCAAGTTGAGAATTTCGCGTTTTATATCACAATCCAACATGTTATGAAGGACTTTTCTTGAGCACACTATGGTTCCCCCTGCTCTGCCTTTTATAATGTAGAGGTCAGGTCAGTAAGGTGACTGTGAAGTGGTGGTAATATGTTTCATATTAAAAAAAGAGAATAATTCAGTTCCAGACATGAAAGAGGAAACGTATTATTATGAAAGATAGCCAAGGTGTAACGTATTCAACAGATGTCGGGAGTATATAAACTCTTACGGGCATTTAATCAATCGTTAGATATAACCATGCATTGTGAAACAACATAACCTTATGGATAAATTTAACGTATAGTTAACGCTGAAATAACAAGGTTAACTGGTTAACAAGGCTTTGAACTGGTCCGAGGAGGTCAAAATGGCCGACACGATAAACTTGACGGGAGAGAGTTCCAAAGTTGTTAATGAATAGGTTGATTACTTGGACGAGCTTTGAAAGGTGATTACAAAGACGAATATTACTGAGGTTAATTCATAGATTGCTGTAGACTGTCACTGTCAGCCTAGATAGTTTGGATATGCCTTTCATCGTTTACTTCACAAGGATGGGTCGTTGCGCGGATATTCGTAAACGGACATGCACTCAAACTCTCCGACGTTTCTCAATGCATTCCAAACCGCTGAGTTCAAGATTAAAGGGTCTTAATGATCAGAAACTTCATATTGAAAAAAATATTTCATGATAAAACTTTGTGTAACGCTCTCTGAACGATTCACCCAAACGATACGAAAGGGTGTACGCATTTTAGTAAGAATGTTTTGTTCTGGCAAGGCGAATACAAACATATTGACATCAATTCTAAAAAGAATATTGGCATTGTGCGTGTCTCAGTTCCTGACTGTTGTGGATGCTATGTGTAAGGTGAATAACGTGTCATTCTCTGATTCAGGCAGATCAGTTATATGCTTGCATCCAAAGAAACAAGTATGTGGCCTAATGTGTTAGCGGGATGGGCAAATGCCAGTCTCCTGGACATGTGTAACCTTCCCGATTAAAGCCAATATCAAGTATAATTGTGGACATGAAGGCAAACAATGTTTTCATTGTAAATGTGATAAATCACCATTACGTCATACTTCATTGATCAGTACCCAATACCTGCTGGTTGCTAGGTAACGGGTATCACGAAGCTCACACAGCCTATTGAAAACCTGTCACACTTATGAAAGCGATAAATTTTGAGATATGAATAGCTTTGTATTAGGAAATGTCTCAAAGAATGGCATTGATGTATGAAACCAGCTTGTTATAATCGTGGAAGTCTCGTTGGATCATTTTGGACCTTGGCGAACTGAATATGCACGCTGGTCTGCTACAGAGAATGGCTACAGGACCAACTACAGATAATGGCTACAGGGGTTCGTTGCTGACATTTGGCAAATGTTTCAATAGATTTGAAAGCAATACACGAGATTGTTTACGTTTCCTAATACTGGCACGTGCTGCAAAGGTCCGCTTTCTTATCAGTAAATTGTTTGTGCGAAGTAGTTAACACTGACGGGAGCCACACCACCAGTACTATTCGAAAAAAAAGAAACTTATGTCCAACTTTGTCACGTGTTTGGTTTGTTGGTCTCTTGTTTTGTTTGTTGTTTAACGCCGCAATCAGCAATATTTCAGCTATATGACGGCGGTCTGTAAATAATGGACCAGACAATCAAGTGATTGACATCATGAGCCTCGATCCCGTTAGTCACCTCTTACAACAAGCATACTCGCCTCTTACGGCAAGCATGGGTTGCTGAAGACCAGTTCTAACCCGGATTATCACGGGTCTGTTGGTCTGCGACTCAGTCAGGCGTTATATTGATAATTACGTGTTGATGGCCGCCGACATCGACCTTACTTACCGAGTCGACAAAGGAACATATTCATTATATCATTAAAACGTCTTTTTATTTGGACACTCCCTTCCAGAAAGTCTTTCTTTACTACAGAGGACATAGGGAACACTAGACTACAATACAAGACCACTCCCCACATGACGATATAGCAAGAACGGGTAATGGTGTTGGGTAGACTAACATTTAGTCTCTGAAATCTTATATTACACAATATCCTTCTTGACTCTAAAAATAAAATAAAAATTCCCTATGCTGATTTGAGCTGGCTGGACTTGCTTTTGTATGCGTTTCTAGATTATTTTGTTTTCATAAAATAAATGTATTCCATGGTCATGTTGCAGGACTAGGTGTCGGGCTATATCCAACAATAACATGGGGTAGGGTAGTCGCTATGCAGAGTAGTGGCCCTTGGGCCCCCATAAACATTTGATCGTCAGTTCGAATCCCGGTCCGCCCCTATTATGTTTTTAGGTCTGGCTGCACCATACCCATGCTCGTGGGATTTACAAAAGTAGAAAACGCCTTACACCTGCATCACTTCGAGCTTTTCTGACACATTAAACTGACTCGTCGTGATATAACTTGAAAACCCATCAAGGCGGCGTTAAGCTCAACTCTGTCACTCTCTCCATCAATAATAAAGCAGTTGGCCCAGCACCTGATCACTAATCACAAGAAATGTGTAAAAATTCCGATATATACACTGTATACAGATGCGCTGCACGTACACGTGCACAATGTGATATATGGATGCGGTACAAGTAATACAATGGAGAAGTGGTAACGTTATCGGCTGCTCAAGGTACAATGTTATACTTCTTGGCTTCGAGTGGCATTGTTTTGGAGGCGGTATCTGTCTCCCGTCGGTCACGTGGACGTTCCTATGACAGCTATGGAGCCAGGTGAAGAGAGCTACTTCAATATCGTTTCACCACCGACAGCTGCAGTCAAATCACAATTTGGGATGGCATGTCGAGATAATGTCATTAATGACCTATTTCACTGTAGATAACATGCTATGTGTAAATTCCACTTACATTTTATCCTCTACATCAAAATATATGTAAATATGCTTATTTTTATTGCCGAGTGTGGCGTCAAAAAACAAACAAACAAAACAACGCCATACCTGTTCATTTACCATTTGTTATGTTCTGTCAATGAAACAAGCATTTGAATTAAAAATACACCGATCACTTCGACGTGCTTCCGATAAAGGGAAGCAAAAGTCCCCTGCGGTCAGTGAAATTTGGTAAAATAAACAAGTGACAGTCCTTCCCATGTTTATTGCTGCTTTGCAAAAGAACGTTATCTAAAATGATATAGACTTCGGTGGTACTAAATATAAACCGGTATTTCACCAATGATTTCATTAAGAAGTCGATCGGGTATCCAGAGAGTTTATGAGAAGTTTTAGTGATAAATTACGCTTGTTAGACTTGCACATATTTCTATCGTGGACATATTGGGATCTTTATGGAATGTTTCCCATCTCGTAGATCAAAGACAGCATGGGGCTCTGTTGGGGTGCGGGATTCATGACCACGTTGTGATTAATGAGAAACAGCAGCATTTCGTTAGCAAAGCTGACCTTTCATGAAAAGCACCGGCTATAGCAGAAATGTTGTGTTCTTTTATGAATTTTTTTATTAGCCATGCTGTCACACAATTCTGAAAGAAATTTGTAAAATTGAATATCTTTGCCATTAACTAAAGATATCATCTCAGATTTAAGCAACGGTTGTGACGTCTTTTTGTCCACCAAAGGTCGGTGGGGTAGCCTAGTGGTTAAAGCGTTTGCTCGTCACGCCTAAGCCCCTTGTTGGATTCTCTAGGTGGGTAGTGAGAGTGAAGCATATTGCTGGTGTCCGGCGTCATGATATTGCCGAAAACCAAACTCACTCATTCCATACTCGAAAACATTTCCCTTTTAAATAATTTGCCCGGATCCGGTGATCGGGGGTCCAGATCGCCGTGAAAAAGAAGCTACTTGGTCCTCCCAGCTGACACGATATGGCTGATATATACTGTTCAAAACGCCGTTAAACCAATTCACTCATTCACCCCTAATGAGTGTGCTGCCGACTTGTATCCTGTATGTAATCACACCGTACCTATTCTACATAGCGCACATGCATTTAATGTTGTGACTGGTCCAGATTATTTACGGACCGCCGTCATATAGCTGGAATATTGTTGTGTGCGGCGTTAAACAACAAACAAACAAACAAACAAACATTTCTTCTGTTGATGTGTGAATGTATCGTTATTGTTGGTTGTTCATACATCTTTCAATTTTTGATAAACACCATAAGACGGCAATCGTGTCATTCTTGCCTGATACACCCATCTCATTCTATTACTCTACTATATATATGTTTGCAATATTCCAGATATATGACGATGGCCTCTAAAAAATCGAGCATGGACCAGACTATCAGGTGATAGATATTATGAGCTAGGCCACACGATGTCGGGGCACAGGGACACGCAAGTCATCGGTTCTGACCAAACCTTTAAGTCGCCGCTTACGACCAGCATGGGATGCTGTGTTAACTGCCCCCCAGACAAACGGTGATGCCAACCCTTGACCTAGTTGTGTTCACCTGCAGACTAACTAGGTGATACCCACTCTTGACCTAGTTGTGTTCACCTGCAGACTAACTAGGTGATGCCCACCCTTGACCTAGTTGTGTTCACCTGCAGACTAACAAGGTGATGCCCACCCTTGACCTAGTTGTGTTCACCTGCAGACTAACAAGGTGATGCCCACCCTTGACCTAGTTGTGTTCACCTGCAGACTAACAAGGTGATGCCCACCCTTGACCTAGTTGTGTTCACCTGCAGACTAACAAGGTGATGCCCACCCTTGACCTAGTTGTGTTCACCTGCGGACTAACTAGGTGATACCCACCCTTGACCTAGTTGTGTTGACCTACATGCCAACTCGACAATACGTACTCTTGACCTAGTTGTGCTGACCAACACACTAACTCAATTATTACTTGAATGCAGAGGTTCTTTAATTACGTTGACTTTTTTTTCATACATTGGCGCCAAAAGGCTGAGCTGATATACATAAAGTTTAAGATCAACACATCCATTAAATTTCAAATTTCTTTAACCTGTCAGCGGCAAACACAATTCGCTCTTGAAAGTTGTTCACACAGCTTCTGGCAAAACAAGTAACGCTTCCGTTCAGAGCATTACCAAGAACAGACAGGACACGCTCATCCTTTTCGCGAACACCTGATGTCATCACTGATTTTCAGTAATCCATTCATATACTATTCATCACTTGTTTGCCTTTTATGCCTACTGGAATCTCTTTCTGCAGATAATCGAGATTGTTACTCTCTGGCGATGACGTTTCATATTTCGACCTTGCATGTTATTGTAAGTGTTCCATTGCCAGACAGTCATGTAGTGCATGTACAAGATAATTTTGGCACTTTGAGCGTTCACTACTTACTATTACTAATGGCGGCTTTTATAGATGGAAATGCTTACACACCAACTGATCTAATCAATGGCCGCCGTCTGTAGACAGCTCCACCTGAACCGTGCCTCATGTAGAGAGACTCCAACAGTGTTACAGAGAAGGGGTTGACTGGCACCTAGCTACCGGAAGGCTACAGTTCGCCCTGTATTGGGAGGGATCTACAAAGGGAGCGCCGTGTCCCCAGATATAACTACATACCTAACCCAGTCGTTCAGTGTGTTGTTCATACCTACCGTTACGTATCAATTACTTATGTGTCGGGGGACAAATAATCCACGTCTCTTTATGTGTGACAGGCCTGATAACGGTGACGGAATTGTAACAGGAGGTGAACTGCAGTGATCCCAGAGTAGAACGACAGGGCCACACGTGACCTTGTATTCATATATTGAAGGTAGCTTCTGGCCATGACAGTTTCCGCGCGTCTGAAGGATGTGGGAGACAGGGTAGCGCTCCTCGGGTAGGGATGACGTCTGTGTCTCTCGCCACCAGCTCAAGTAAGTATAATACCTTCTTGCCAACACAAGTCGCATGTACGTTTTTATTTGGAAGGTATTAATGTTTTAGTTATATACAATACCAACGGGTGGCACCTATTACTTAGGTATAGTATACAGTGCTATACCCATGGTGATGTGACTTGACACACCGCTGACATGTCATCTGCTGAATGAGGTCGTTCCGTGGAAAGAGATGTTCATGCATAGCGAAAGCATGTGATTTCACTTTGTTCGTTCTATGTGAAACCACCCGGATTAACGAATAATTATTGTGGAGTAATGTATATGAGATTGGTATCCAAACTGACAGGATTTCGCTGCTATTGGTATTTGGAGAATGTATGCAGGCAGGTCAAACTAATTTGAAATTGGAGAAAAACTTTAGAGATAGGTAATCTAAACAAGGCTTTTACGTTTCATACTTTTGTAAATGACAACGAGGCCAGCTCGGAATGAACATTCAGTCTGTCTAATACTGAGGACAGATTTTTCAGTTTTCCTTCAAAATGTACATGGTTGAGAGTTCGAGGTAACGATTATTGATTTGACTTGAAATTCATTGAACGATTTACCAAAATAGTTTATCCATTGTAAATAAAATACTGTAGAAACTGTTATGACATGCGCCCTTGTATACGTATTTCTAACCGACGTGTGGAGCCGACTTGTCCTGACGCTAAACTCTTTGAGGTATCCACAGCTTATATGACATCCGAGGACCGAACAACATTAGAATCATCCCTGATTCATTAGCAAAGATTTTTATACGGCCCATGGATTTTAATATTTAATTCTTAATAATCATTTGTATCAACATATTTAGCACAAGGGCACTGATAACAAACTACCCTTGCATTTAATCACTTTACAATAACATCATTAGCAATGTGCGTGAATCTGTTCCAGCTGAACACGGTCTACACAGACTACAGCAATGGGCATGCCTCCACTTGTATTGGCAATGTGTATTCTGGTACGTATGTAGTTAACATTACCAAACCAGGCAGATGCTAGGAATGTCAGTTATAAGCTTACAAACTGAAATAGAATCTACTGTTCCCGTGAAGCATGACATTTACCTGGACACTTAGTGAAACATGACATTTACCCCACCACCTCGTGAAATTTGTCATTTACCTGTACACCACGTGAAACATGACATTTACCTGTACACTTCGTGAAACTGGATATCTACCTGTACACTTCATGAAAAATGACATTTACCTGTACATTTCGTGAAACATGATATTTACCTGTACACTTCGTTTAACATGACATTTCCCTGAACACTTCGTGAAACATGACGTTTACCTGTAGACTTTATTAAACATGACATTTATCTGAATACTTAGTAAAATATGACATTTACCTGTACTCTTCGTCAAACATGACATTTACCTGTACACTTCGTGAACCATGACATTTACCTATACACCCCGTGAAACAGGACATTTACCTCTACACTTCGTAAAACTTGACAATTACCTGTACACTTCGTGAAACAAGACATTAACCTCTACACTTAGTGAAACATGACATTTACCTGTACACTTCGTCAAACACGACATTTACTTGTACACCTCGTGAAACATGACATTTACCTCTACACTTCGTCAAACATGACATTTACCTGTACACCTCGTGAAACATGACATTTACCTCCACACTTCGTCAAACATGACATTTACCTGTACACTTCATCAAACATGACATTTACCTGTACACATCGTGAAACATGACATTTACCTGTACACCTCGTGAAACATGATATCTACCTGTACACTTCATGAAACATGACATTTACCTCTACACTTCGTCAAATATGACATTTACCTGTACACCTCGTGAAACATGACAATTACCTCAACACTTCGTCAAACATGACATTTACCTGTACACTTCATCAAACATGAAATTTACCTGTACACATTGTGAAACATGACATTTACCTGTACACCTCGTGAAACATGATATCTACCTGTACACTTCATGAAACATGATATTTACCTGTACACTTGGTGAAACATGACATTTACCACTACACTTTATGAAAGATGACATTTACCTGTACATTTCGTGAAACTTGATATTTGGCTGTACACTTCGTTTAACATGACATTTTCCTGAACACTTCGTGAACCATGACATTTACCTATATACCCCGTGAAACGGGACATTTACCTCTACACTTCGTAAAACTTGACAATTACCTGTACACTTCGTGAAACAAGACATTTACCTCTACACTTAGTGAAACATGACAATTACCTCTACACTTCGTCAAACATGACATTTACCTGTACACCTCGTGAAACATGACATTTACCTCCACACTTCGTCAAACATGACATTTACCTGTACACTTCATCAAACATGACATTTACCTGTACACATCGTGAAACATGACATTTACCTGTACACCTCGTGAAACATGATATCTACCTGTACACTTCATGAAACATGACATTTACCTCTACACTTCGTCAAACATGACATTTACCTGTACACCTCGTGAAACATGACATTTACCTCCACATTTCGTCAAACATGACATTTACCTGTACACTTCATCAAACATGACATTTACCTGTACACTTCGTGAAACATGACATTTACCTGTACACCACGTGAAACATGACATTTACCTCACAACCTCTTGAAAGATAGCATTTACCGGTACACTTCATCAAACATTTTATTTACCCGTACACTTCGAAGAACATGACATTTCCCTGTACACTTCATCAAACATGACTTTTACCTCTACACTTAGTGAAACATGACATTTACCCGTACACCTCGTGAAACATGACATTTACCTGTACACTTCATCAAACATGACATTTACCTGTACACTTCATCAAACATGACATTTACCTGTACACTTCGTGAAACATGACATTTACCTGTACACTTCGTTAAACATGACATTTACCTGTACACCTCGTGAAACATGACATTTACCTGTACACCTCATGAAACATGACATTTACCTCTACACTTCATCAAACATGACATTTACCTGTACACTTCATCAAACATGACATTTACCTGTACACTTCGTGAAACATGACATTTACCTGTACACCACGTGAAACATGACATTTACCTGTACACTTCGTTAAACATGACATTTACCTGTACACCTCGTGAAACATGACATTTACCTGTACACCTCGTGAAACATGACATTTACCTGTACACTTAATGAAACATGACATTTTCCTGTACACTTCATCAAATATGACATTTACCTGTACACCTCGCAAAACATGACATTTACCTGTACACCTTGTGAAACATGACATTTACCTGGACACTTAGTGAAACATGACATTTACTTCACAACTTCGTGAAAGATGACATTTACTTGAACACTTCATGAACCATGTCATTTACGTGTACACTTTGTGAAACATGCCGTTTACGATACACTTTGTTAAACATCACATTTACCTGTAAATTTCGTGTAACATAACATTTACCTGTACACTTCGTCAAACATGACATTTACCTGTACACCTCGTGAAACATGACATTTACCTGTACACTTCGCCAAATATGATATTTACCTGTACACTTCGTGTAACATGGCATTTACATGTACACTTAGTGAAACAAGACATTTACCTGTACACTTCGTCAAACATGACATTTACCTGTACACCTCGTGAAACATGACATTTACCTGTACACCTCGCGAAACATGACATTTACCTGTACACTTCGCCAAATATGACATTTACCTGTACACCTAGTGAAACATGACATTTACCTGTACACTTCGTGAAACATGACATTTACTTGTACACCTAGTGAAACATGAGATTTACCTGTACACTTCGCCAAATATGATATTTACCTGTACACTTCGTGAAACATGGCATTTACCTGTACACTTAGTGAAACAAGACATTTACCTGTACACTTCGTCAAACATGACATTTACCTGTACCCCTCGTGAAACATGACATTTACCTGTACACCTCGCGAAACATGACATTTACCTGTACAATTCGCCAAATATGATATTTACCTGTACACTTCGTGAAATATGGCATTTACCTGTACACTTCGTCAAACATGACATTTACCTTTACACTTCGTCAAACATGACATTTACCTGTACTCCTCGTGAAACATGATATTTACCTGTACAACTCGCGAAACATGACATTTACCTGTACACTTCGCCAAATATGATATTTACCTGTACACTTCGTGAAACATGGCATTTACCTGTACACTTTGTGAAACATGATATTTACTTTACACTTTGTGAAACATGGCACTTACCTGTACACTTAGTAAAACACGTTCTTTACGCGTTCTATAATGTTAGCAATGATTCAATTTCAGTTGAACTTAGAGAGTCAGTACACATTGTCCGAGGTGCAGCTTGATACAGTCAGTCCCCCCGTGCTGTGCAGAAACCGGGACGGCCTCCAGCCTCTCTACGTGTACACAATATACTCATGTGTAGAATGCTATTGGTACTTATTTTTGGAGGGTGGCAAACTGAACGTGTCATGTGGAGGTCTGTGCCTCAAGTCTTCCTCCGACTCGACCGTGCGGCCCCATCCAGACGACCACCACGCCATGGGCATAGTGTGTTCGACGTTGTCGGCGACAAACTGCACGTGGTGGACGTCCTGCTGCAGTGACGCCGCTGCATGCTGTCAGCAACAACAGAAGTCCCGCCAGGTCCAAGATGGCAGCTTTTGTCCTATGACATGGGACGGCTGGTCATGTGTTGCCGAGACACCTGCAGGGAATACGGCGGAAATAAAATGTCCTGACTTCATACCATCGTCTAGAGCAGAAGGTGAGCACAAGACTAAGATAACGTGTAAGACTGTTTATCACACTGACTTCAACTGCCGTACATGCCTGATGAACATTCTGAAATGCAGTTCCTACTGCTTCATCCGCTGAAGACGTTAAACCATCTTGGTTTAAACCTGTATGGACTGCTGCTCATTGAGTTTCTATACCACTACATCTGAACAGCCCTGACACCCCACTGATTGTATGAGTTTAGTTTATCGCTGCATTGAGCAATATTCAAGCTTAATGTAGGGAAACCCGATGAGATGATGCATGTCGTTGACGACTACCACTTTGGTGAAACCCACAAGCAAGGATAAAGTGCCCCATTTAGCGAAGAAGGGTTTCATGAGAGTAATGAAAGCTTTTGAGTTGTGTATGAAAGGTTTTATTTATCATAAGTAAAGTATTAGGGATGTTGCCGGGGGGCGAAATACACTATTCCAAGGCTACATATACATACCCGACATAACCTAAACTGGAAATACCTATTTGTTAAAGCTCGAGCACACAGGAAGTGCACATCTAACGGCACCTGGTGGAGGAAACCCGCGAGCAACACGGAGTGGACTGACTACTCATCCTGCATAGAACTTGACCTTAATGTGAGTGACAAGACTTCTCATCCTGCATAGAACTTGACCTTAATGTGAGTGACAAGACTTCTCGTCCTGCATAGAGCTTGACCTTAATGTGAGTGACAAGACTTCTCGTCCTGCATAGAGCTTGACCTTAATGTGAGTGACAAGACTTCTCGTCCTGCATAGAGCTTGACCTTAATGGGAGTGACAAGACTACTCATCCTGCATAGAGCTTGACCTTAATGGGAGTGACAAGACTTCTCGTCCTGCATAGAGCTTGACCTTAATGGGAGTGACAAGACTACTCATCCTGCATAGAGCTTGACCTTAATGTGAGTGATAAGACTACTCATCCTGCATAGAGCTTGACCTTAATGTGAGTGACAAGACTTCTCGTCCTGCATAGAGCTTGACCTTAATGTGAGTGACAAGACTTCTCGTCCTGCATAGAGCTTGACCTTAATGGGAGTGACAAGACTACTCATCCTGCATAGAGCTTGACATTAAGATTAGTGACAAGACTTCTGGTCCTGTATACAGCTTTCTCCTTAATGTGAGTGACGAGACTTCTCGTCCTGCATAGACCTTGACATTAAGCTTAGTGACAAGACTTCTCGACCTGTATACAGCTTTCTCCTTAATGTGAGTGACGAGACTTCTCGTCCTGCATAGAGCTTGACCTTTAGGTGAGTGACAAGACTTCTCGACCTGCATAGAACTTGACCTTAATGTGATTGACAAGACTTCTCGACCTGCATAGAACTTGACCTTAATGTGAGTGACAAGACTTCTCGTCCTGCATAGAACTTGACCTTAATGTGACACGAAATATGAACTTCCTTGTCTGTGCATGCACCTGTCCCACTGGACGTTCTGTTGTAGGGGGAGACCGCCACCCAGAACCTCCTTGTCTGTGCATGCACCTGTCCCACTGGACGTTCTGTTGTAGGGGGAGACCGCCACCCAGAACCTCCTTGTCTGTGCATGCACCTGTCCCACTGGACGTTCTGTTGTAGGCGGAGGCCGCCACCCAGAACTTCCTTGTCTGTGCATGCACCTGTCCCACTGGACGTTCTGTTGTAGGGGGAGACCGCCACCCAGATCGTGGCCATCGTGTGTGACGCACTGAGCATCCTGTTTCTGATTCCCGCTATCGCCATATTCATGGGATTCAGGTGAGCAATAGCCATATTCATGGTGTACAGGTGAACTATTTTGATAACCTAAGAAACCAGGATAAATTAAGACTTAAATATGTCGCACGAATACGTCCAAATGTATTCGGTGGCAAAAAAACAAGAAGAAGAATTGACAGTATTTGTGAAAGTCGTGCATTTTGCCACAACGACTTTGGGCTACGTAGACCGAAGTGCACGTGCAAAAGTACTTTATAAAAATGGTGATACGGCACGTCATGAATACTTAAACCAACAGCACCAAGAACTTACGCCACGTTTATCCGGTACACAGAGTAAGAGAGTCGTTGGTATGTCGAAAAAGGAGCCACGCATGCCTCCATTGCATGCACGTTTGGACGCTACTGGAACACAGGCTCAGTCGACAGACAGTGTATAGGAGAGTAAGAGAGCACGTCGCTAAGAGATGTTAACACAGGATGACATTGGCCAGACGAGTTCGACGTTGGCAAGTGCGTGTGTCTTTGTACAGACATGATGGTCGGCAGCAAGTATACAAACGAGTAGGTGAACGTTTAGCGCCAAATTGTTCAACCATTGGTAGCATTATGGCTTGGGTTGAGGGGTGTTCATTCAGCAACAACTACGTGGCATTGTCTTCCAGAAAGAAAATGCGAGATCGCATACGGCAAGGCTCACATGCGTAATTTTACTTTTCACCCTGACCGGCATGTTCTCATGATATGAACCCCATCGATCAATTATGGGATCACCTTAACCGACAGATCAGAAGACGACCAGCGGCACCAATCAACCGTCAAGAACTGGAACAATGTCTCCATAGGGAATGACAGCGGACTACCCCCAACGTCATCCGACGTTTAACGTCCTCGTGTTCAGGCGTGCATCAATTCACAAAGTGGACTCACTCGGTATTAAGTTGGTTTTGAATGAGCTTTCAGAGATTTTAAAGCCATGTTGAACAGTGATATTGTGAACCATTTGTGTTTGCCAGACGTAAAGATTTGTTTGGATAACATGGTCAGCTTTACATATTATGTTATACACAACTCAAATGAAATATATTCATATTGAGTACATGCTTTTGCTTTTATTTCATAGTCTTTCATACTCTTGGTATACTTTCTTTTGGACAGTTTATAAAACATGCGCATAACGTCACTATGACGCTGCACACAAAGCAGAGGACATTGCTTCGTAAAAAGAATGTGAAGCACATGCCCTTAGATGTTGTTAACGTGGGTGGCACTAGACACTTTAGGCAGATCTGGTCACGTCACAATAACCATACACTACCCAAAACGTCTCACCATGACGTAACCAATCGTATCTAATGAGGATGCTATGCCACGCCACGAATTGAAGATGTTCTGTAGAGATCCATCCTGAAACCTGACTCCAAGTCAATGTATCCATTGCAGACTGCTGCGCTGCCACCGCCACATCAAGCTGCACACCAACCTGTGTGTGGCCCTGCTGCTGAAGTCCATCACCTCGATGCCGATGGAGAAGCTTGTGTACTACGACAGCTTGTTTACAGAGCAGAGCAAGACGTTCCAGCAGACCAATCAGGTGAGCCGAAGAACGTATGCGCATGTGCAGTTCGCTCGATGTGGACACTGACTCAACTTTAGGCTGTCAACGCCGTGTTGAACGTCGTGTTTGAACTGTATTTCAGTTGTGTCACGTGTCAGCTTAACGCCAGAGGACGCATACAAGTTAAGTGTGACCCATTCCCAAAACGTCAGGGTATTGCGACGACAAACGAAGAATAATCATCAGGGTATTGTTTGATTCCGAACTCACAGTGATACGGTTCTTGCATGCCTAAGGGAAACAACTCTTTACAGCAACTACCTCATTCATAATGTAATGACTGCCCTGTTAGGGTATAGAACGTTCCTGACATACATAGATGTTGGCACATATATAGGTAAACACTGGTCCGGTGTATGTCTGTCAGTGAACCGTGTGTATATGTCAGTGTCCTGCGTATGTCTCTCAGTGTCCTGTGTATATCTGTCAGTGAACCGTGTACATCTGTCAGTGTCCTGTGTATATCTGTCAGTGTTATGTGTATGTCTGTCAGTGTTCTGTGTATGTCTGTCAGTGAACCGTGTATATCTGTCAGTGTCCTGTGTATGTCTGTCAGTGTCCTGTGCATATCTGTCAGTGTCCTGTGTCTGTCTCTGTTAGTATTGTGTGTAAGTCTGTGGGCCTTCAGTGTCCTGTGACAGTATCCTGTATTTGCAGGTGGGATGTCGGGTCCTCAACGTCCTTGATCTCCTGTTTCACATGTGTCCCGTGTTCTGGATGCTGTGTGAAAGCTTCTACCTCACCTGGCTAATGATTCGGTCGTTCCAGCAACTAACATCCGTCATCGGGTTCTATACATTTGGCTGGGGTACCAGTATATGTCATTGCAAACAGCAAATCGACCTCTCCTTTCAAGACATAGGAATACAGTATGAGTTGATGGTCAACGCTCTATACATGTACCCTGTCTTCATAAGCAGCAAACTTAATGAATACATATAACCCGTCAAACATTTTCTCGCAGTACGTTTGTCAAGAAAACTACAACGAATATATTTGTACTGATTACAAAAGTTAAGATTTCTACAGTGAATCACGACTTTATTTTACAGGGTTACCAATACTGATAGTCGTAATCTACGTCATCTTGAAAACACAGGTGGAAGCAGTCAGGTAAGACGATAACAGTTCCTGACAGTGGTCAAACACGCACGACATGACTATAGGACGCAATGTAGGACAAACGTTCAGGCCGCATTGTAAGAATAACTGTGTGAATGAGTGAGTGTGTGGGTGGAAGGGTGTGTGAGCGAGTGTCCCCCCCCCCCCCCTTACAGGCGTGGGTGGTGTAGTGCAGCCCGTGCTGGACACCGCCGGTACTACATTCTCCTTGTGCAATCCTGCATACATACTGCCATGTGATATATAAATACTTTCTTTGTTTTGAAGTACAGTTTTAGTTTGGATAATTAATAGCTATCGATATTACTCGATCAATTGTTTTTGTACAGTCGGCATATACAAATGTATTGTGTCTTGTAATGTATTTATCTGCATATGGTTAGGTCTTCCGTTTCAGTCCCTGTTGGCTCACCAGCCCTCTAGGTCTGGACTGGGTTGTCTACGGACCATCGTTAGTCTGTATCGCGGTAAGTTAGATGTAGCAGAGATAGTTCTCTTTATACATCCATGTCGCCCTGTTGAATAGTAATGACGCTCTTTCCCCCCAAAACAAAATCACTAACCAGTGCTGGATAAAAGCGGTTGGACTTGCTTTTTCAAAATTAAACGGGGGGGGGGGGGGGGGGCATGGGTGGCCCAGTCGCCTAAGGCGCCGCGATTTGCTGTACAGAGTTGCGCCCCTTGGACATGCCAGAAACCTATGATTGTGGGTTCGAATCCCGGTTCGCCCCGATTATGTTTCTAGGTTTGTCAGCACCATACCCGTGCTCGTGGGTTTCACCGGAGTGGTAAACGTCTGAGACCTGCATCATTTCGGGCTTTCCTCCCACATTAAGTTGACACGTCGTGATGTAACTGGAATAATGTTAAAAAAGCGGCGTTAAACCCAACTCACTCACTCACTCACTCAAAATTAAATGCCTACGGTGATCTGTACATATGGCTGCCCTGTGTTATGTCATCCTAGGACGGACATTGTCGCCCTTCCAAAACCAAAAAGAAATAGGAAAATATCATCCAAAGCAGGACAACGCGCGACACTTTTCCCTTAGACATTCTTCAAAGTTAATATACGTAGCGTTATCGCATTGTTACCATTTCTAATATGTGTAAGAAAGGCGAACGGTAAGGTAGACAGTATTGAGAGAGTACATATTTATGCATGTAACCGACTACTGGGAGTTAAAATCAACACTCCAAATGCAATGGTTTGTTTTGAAACAGGTAGATTATCTCTATTGTTAAATGCACAGGAGAAAATGATGAAATACTGGTTGCGACGATTACAAATGCATTCCCATAGATATTCAAAACAATGTTATGATATGATGGCGATGTAGCAGAGTCGCGGAATTGTAAACTGGATATCGTCTATTAAGAAATTTGTTAATGAACTTGGTTTTGGGTATGTATCGCAAAGTCAAAACGTAGAATATCCCGATCAATTTATTCAAATATTCACTCAAAGACTGAAGGATACATGCACGTAAGGTCAGAAACGGAACGATATACCAAGAATAAATGTGACAATATTAACCAAGGCACAACAACGCGCGACACTTTTACCCGAGGGTGAAAAGGCAACAACAGGACATTCCTCAAAGTTACATGTCGCATTATCGCAATGTTGCCCAATCTAAAATGTGTACGAAAGGCGATTAAATGGGAGACAATGCGACATGTTGATTGTCTTTTCTTACTCCCATGATCCTAAAACTCAAGTACCAATGACAATATTGGTTGCTTTTTTTCAAATGAAAACAAATCTTTCTGTTGAAAATTCTTCATATGTTGTTATTTTTATTGTCAATAGGTTTGTCACCACCATACCCGTGGGTTTCACCAAAGTGGTAAACTTTGTGAGACAAGTATCACTTCGGGTTTCCTCCCACATCAAACTGACACGCCGTGATATACAACTGGAATACAATTTAAATCGGCGACTGAAAACTTAAAACTCACTCACTTTATTGTCGGTGTCATTTCATAAGCCAACGTGTCTTTATGACAGAAACAAACCCTTGGTATTTGTATTTCGTGTAATTCCGGTCTCCAAGAACTTTAATAATCAGTGAGAGGGAAATCTCGGCCCAGTCGTTCTAAGTGGCGCAACATGCATGTTTGCGTCCCCTTGACGTTCCAAAAACCTATGATCGTGAGTTCGAATCCCAACACAATACCAATAGTTGTGGGTATCGCCAAAGTGCTTTAGTCTGAGACCTGTACCATTTTGGGCCGACAACCAGCATTAAGTAAGATACCGTATCGAATATTTACATGTATAGTTCTAGATCACAGTTCATAAGTATCAATATCTGCTTACAGATAAATCTGCTGTTATTTCTTATTATCCTGAAAACCCTTTTCACCCTTCGACGTCATCCGAGGGAACCAAGCAACTTCAGGTAAACCCCCTTCACTTGTGTTGAATGATATGTCTCATGTAGGCAGGTAAACCCCCTTCACGTGTGTTGAATGATATGTCTTATGTAGGCAGGTAAACCCCCTTCACTTGTGTTGAATGATATGTCTTATGTAGGCAGGTAAACCCCTTCACTTGTGTTGAATGATATGTCTTATGTAGGCAGGTAAACCCCTTCACTTGTGTTGAATGATATGTCTCATGTAGGCAGGTAAACCCCCTTCACTTGTGTTGAATGATATGTCTTATGTAGGCAGGTAAACCCCCTTCACTGGTGTTGAATGATATGTCTTATGTAGGCAGGTAAACCCCTCTACAGATATATACTTGAACGCCCGTGCACATTGAGTGTATATTGAAGATGGTCCTTGTACGTTGTGTGTAGGGTATGTTGAAGAATGCCTGTGTACAGTGTGTATGTTGAAGAATGCCTGTGTACAGTGTGTGTGTGTGTATGTTGAAGAATGCCTGTGTACAGTGTGTGTGTGTGTGTTGAAGAATGCCTGTGTACAGAGCATGTGTGTGTGTTGAAGAATGCCTGTGTACAGTGTGTGTGTGTATGTTGAAGAATGCCTGTGTACAGTGTGTGTGTGTGTATGTTGAAGAATGCCTGTGTACAGTGTGTGTGTGTGTGTGTGTGTTGAAGAATGCTGGTGGTCAGTGTGTGTGTTGAAGAATGCCTGTGTACAGTGTGTATGTTGAAGAATGCCTGTGTACAGTGTGTATGTTGAAGAATGCCTGTGTACAGTGTGTGTGTATGTTGAAGAATGCCTGTGTACAGTGTGTGTGTATGTTGAAGAATGCCTGTGTACAGTGTGTGTGTGTGTGTATGTTGAAGAATGCCTGTGTACAGTGTGTGTGTGTTGAAGAATGCTTGTGTACAGTGAGTGTGTATGTTGAAGAATGCCTGTGTACAGTGTGTGTGTGTGTGTTGAAGAATGCTGGTGTACAGTGTGTGTGTATGTTGAAGAATGCCTGTGTACAGTGTGTGTGTATGTTGAAGAATGCCTGTGTACAGTGTGTGTGTTGAAGAATGCTGGTGTACAGTGTGTGTGTATGTTGAAGAATGCCTGTGTACAGTGTGTGTGTGTTGAAGAATGCTGGTGTACAGTGTGTGTGTATGTTGAAGAATGCCTGTGTACAGTGTGTGTGTGTATGTTGAAGAATGCCTGTGTACAGAGCGTGTGTGTATGTTGAAGAATGCCTGTGTACAGTGTGTGTGTATGTTGAAGAATGCCTGTGTACAGTGTGTGTGTGTGTGTATGTTGAAGAATGCCTGTGTACAGTGTGTGTGTGTTGAAGAATGCTTGTGTACAGTGAGTGTGTATGTTGAAGAATGCCTGTGTACAGTGTGTGTGTGTTGAAGAATGCTGGTGTACAGTGTGTGTGTATGTTGAAGAATGCCTGTGTACAGTGTGTGTGTATGTTGAAGAATGCCTGTGTACAGTGTGTGTGTTGAAGAATGCTGGTGTACAGTGTGTGTGTATGTTGAAGAATGCCTGTGTACAGTGTGTGTGTGTTGAAGAATGCTGGTGTACAGTGTGTGTGTATGTTGAAGAATGCCTGTGTACAGTGTGTGTGTGTATGTTGAAGAATGCCTGTGTACAGAGCGTGTGTGTATGTTGAAGAATGCCTGTGTACAGTGTGTGTGTATGTTAAGAATGCCTGTGTACAGTGTGTGTGTGTGTGTATGTTGAAGAATGCCTGTGTACAGTGTGTGTGTGTTGAAGAATGCTTGTGTACAGTGAGTGTGTATGTTGAAGAATGCCTGTGTACAGTGTGTGTGTGTTGAAGAATGCTGGTGTACAGTGTGTGTGTATGTTGAAGAATGCCTGTGTACAGTGTGTGTGTATGTTGAAGAATGCCTGTGTACAGTGTGTGTGTTGAAGAATGCTGGTGTACAGTGTGTGTGTATGTTGAAGAATGCCTGTGTACAGTGTGTGTGTGTTGAAGAATGCTGGTGTACAGTGTGTGTGTATGTTGAAGAATGCCTGTGTACAGTGTGTGTGTGTATATTGAAGAATGCCTGTGTACAGAGCGTGTCTATATTGACGAATGACTGTGTACAATGTGTATATTGAAGAATATCTGTGTACAGTTTGTGTGTCTATATTGAAGATTGCCTGTGTACAGTGTGTGTGTATATTAAAGAATGCCTGTGTACAGTGTGTGTCTGTATGTTTAAGAATGCCTGTGTGCAGTGTGTGTGTGTTGAAGAATGCTTGTGTACAGTGAGTGTGTATGTTGAAGAATGCCTGTGTACAGTGTGTGTGTGTTGAAGAATGCTGGTGTACAGTGTGTGTGTATGTTGAAGAATGCCTGTGTACAGTGTGTGTGTATGTTGAAGAATGCCTGTGTACAGTGTGTGTGTTGAAGAATGCTGGTGTACAGTGTGTGTGTATGTTGAAGAATGCCTGTGTACAGTGTGTGTGTGTTGAAGAATGCTGGTGTACAGTGTGTGTGTATGTTGAAGAATGCCTGTGTACAGTGTGTGTGTGTATGTTGAAGAATGCCTGTGTACAGAGCGTGTGTGTATGTTGAAGAATGCCTGTGTACAGTGTGTGTGTATGTTGAAGAATGCCTGTGTACAGTGTGTGTGTGTGTGTATGTTGAAGAATGCCTGTGTACAGTGTGTGTGTGTTGAAGAATGCTTGTGTACAGTGAGTGTGTATGTTGAAGAATGCCTGTGTACAGTGTGTGTGTGTTGAAGAATGCTGGTGTACAGTGTGTGTGTATGTTGAAGAATGCCTGTGTACAGTGTGTGTGTATGTTGAAGAATGCCTGTGTACAGTGTGTGTGTTGAAGAATGCTGGTGTACAGTGTGTGTGTATGTTGAAGAATGCCTGTGTACAGTGTGTGTGTGTTGAAGAATGCTGGTGTACAGTGTGTGTGTATGTTGAAGAATGCCTGTGTACAGTGTGTGTGTGTATGTTGAAGAATGCCTGTGTACAGAGCGTGTGTGTATGTTGAAGAATGCCTGTGTACAGTGTGTGTGTATGTTAAGAATGCCTGTGTACAGTGTGTGTGTGTGTGTATGTTGAAGAATGCCTGTGTACAGTGTGTGTGTGTTGAAGAATGCTTGTGTACAGTGAGTGTGTATGTTGAAGAATGCCTGTGTACAGTGTGTGTGTGTTGAAGAATGCTGGTGTACAGTGTGTGTGTATGTTGAAGAATGCCTGTGTACAGTGTGTGTGTATGTTGAAGAATGCCTGTGTACAGTGTGTGTGTTGAAGAATGCTGGTGTACAGTGTGTGTGTATGTTGAAGAATGCCTGTGTACAGTGTGTGTGTGTTGAAGAATGCTGGTGTACAGTGTGTGTGTATGTTGAAGAATGCCTGTGTACAGTGTGTGTGTGTATGTTGAAGAATGCCTGTGTACAGAGCGTGTCTATATTGACGAATGACTGTGTACAATGTGTATATTGAAGAATATCTGTGTACAGTTTGTGTGTCTATATTGAAGATTGCCTGTGTACAGTGTGTGTGTATATTAAAGAATGCCTGTGTACAGTGTGTGTCTGTATGTTTAAGAATGCCTGTGTGCAGTGTGTGTGTATGTTGAAGAATGCCTGTGTACAGTGTGTATGTGTGTGTATATTGAAGAATGCCTGTGTACAGTGTGTGTGTATATTGAGGATGGTCCATGTATGTTGTGTGTGTGTGTGTATACTGGAGAATGCCGGTGTACAGAGCGTGTGTTTGCATATTGAGGATTGTCCATGTACGTTGTGTGTAGGGTATGTTGAAGAATGCCTGTGTGTGTGCTGGAGAATGTGTGTGTGTGTGTGTGTGTGTGTGTGTGTGCTGGAGAGTGTGTGTGTGTGTGTGTGTGTGTGTGTGTGTGTGTGTGTGTGTGTTGAGGATGGTCCATGTACGTTGTGTGATGTGTTTCCAGGAAGGCTCTGAAAGCGACTGTCATCCTCATCCCGTTGTTTGGCCTGCAGCAGTTTTGCATCATCTATAGCCCTGCTGACACTGTACCCGGCTTCATCGTTTACAACATGGCACGTGCAATTATCATCCACTCTCAAGTGAGTTAACAGTGTTGGTGTACGGTGCTCCTCATGCAGCAGATCAGGGCGTACTTCCAACTGATTCAGCAGTTGGCATGCAGGGTTATCACTACACAAAAACAACATATATGGAGAAGAAAACGTATATCTCCACATGAATCTAATTCCATCAGTGATGTATAAACATGTAAAGCAAACTAGCACGCCAATGTATTTCACGGTTTACTGTAATACATATTGCATGTGAACCATATGATGCATATGCAGTGATATATCAGCAAATCTGTAAATTAGTAAGAGATAGGGTTGATGTCATGGATACACAATGCCTTTTTTAGACAGTCGTCAAATGCCACAAATGTTATATCTGGGATTACACTTTCCTTGTAAAGTAGCTCCAATTCTTGCACTGTTTTGGGTTGAATCCCATTTGTGGGCTGGTGATTAGGTGTGTGTAGGTTTCAATCATGGATAGGATTCAACCAAAAAAATACTAGAATTCAAACTTTGCTTTTGTAACATAGGGTTGATGTTTTCATGATTTATGTTTCTTTAATAAACTTCACATATATTACTTTCGTTGTAGGTTAGTTATGGAAATAAGCCTTGGAGAGCAAGTTAAAGCAAGTTACGTAGCACCTCAAAGGGTCCGGTACCTTGACAATAGTGTCAAGTTATTCTGAATTACACATTATGTTGAACTCTAATATCAAGGGCTAATGTTTATTTTTTGTTTTCAGGGCCTTTTGGTAGCTCTCATATTCTGTTTCCTTAACACTGAGGTAAGAGCAATAGGTTCAATAGAACTGTAAGACAATGCAACATTTATATCAGAACTACGAAACAATACCTTCTGTCACCACCAACATGTTGACCCTGTGCTTGGTGTGTTGTGTCCATCAGGTTCATGGTCATATCAACATGGTCTGGAAGCGGTGGCATAATCAGTCCCGACAAAACTCACGCAGGAATACGGCCACCTTGACCTCAGCTTCTTTGTCATCCCAAAGAACATCCCTTCCAGAACTTGAGGGTTTGGCAGTTGTCATGAAGAGCCAGAATGGGCGTGTGAAGAACGATGCTTTGACACCAGACTCCATTGTCATCAACGACCCGAGTGTCACTGGTCAGACTTCAACACAATCTGATCAATTCTAAGGCTAACAAGCGAACTGGTGCACTGTGTTATGCTGCATACAATCCAGACATTTCACCAGCATTGCTGTACTTGTGCTGACAACCTTCGTGCTGACCTCCCCTTGTGGTGACAGATAGACAGTGGTGTTGGGGAAGTTTACACATTCCTGATAAACAATCACATGTTGTCCTGATAACTACTGCAACTAAGCTTTATTATCTGAATATGAAGTATTGTCCTCATGCATGATTATACAGCTGATATAATGCTGCCGAGTGCCATTTAGTTTAACGTTGCCCTTTGTTCCTTAACTGTTTTACTGCACATTTGTGGCATCCTTTTCATCAAGGCATGGGCTATAGGAGCATGTACCATCTTACATGGAAGCGCATTTGCTTTTGAAATTAAAATAATGTGTTGCTGTGTGTGTTATCCTTTACTCCTAATTGACAAATGAGATATACCCATTTATGGTATCATGAATGTAACCGTTATATGCACCACCGAAAGATGAGATATCAAACGTCACCGTTCTGTCACCGTTCTTTCCCCTGCTTGTATGATCTGACCAATGGTGTCATTGTGTGACCTGACTGATTGTGTGTTGTTTGACAGGAATCATGAAACAAACTTCATTCACTCATTAGATACCAAATTTGTCTCAAAACAATTCAAATAAACAAATCCATAAATATGACTTTCCACTGCTGAGTGGCATTTTGAACTTGAGCATTATTATTGTTGGGAACACCTACAAACTGTTCGGTCTCCATCAACTCGGCAATAACACTTGAGGACACGCTACACAACCACACTGACTGTAATTAATGAACTCTGCACAAACCTTGAAGTACTTGTGAGGGGAGTGGGAGCAGGGGTCCAAGGGCTGGAAGAGGACTGGTGGCCATATAAGGGAGTTAACTGACATAGTCCAGTTTCCACACTTGCCGAACTAGGCTGCAATTTCGGAGTTATATTTTGGCCTGACTAATTAGTCTATGCATAGTCCAATCAAAATTATGAAAATGACATCCGAGTCGTAAACAACTTAGCAACTGCCTTGCAGAGTTTGGTCGACTGTAGGATTTGCAAGGCATGTGTACTGTCATCTACATGTATGTATCAAGAGATATTTTCCAAATCTTTTCATATTTTTACTCAAGGTGATAAAGTGATTTGATGCACTTCACAAGGTGAGACCCAATTTAAACAACATAGATTTTGATTATCAGCGAGATCGTATTGACTGGGCACCGCCATTTTGTTTGAACATATGACAGATGGAATCTCATTGGTTAATAAGAGGTACATAGAATGGACATAACTTGTTATACCCACTGATGGTGCTACGATTAAGCCACAAAATTTCAGCCCAGTTCAGCAAGGGTGGGAACTGGTCTTTTACAGTGAGTTAACTCCCTTGCCATGGGTGAGATGATAAGTCACAGGCAGGGACTTTGGTTATATGGACAGAAGCTGAGAAGCGTTAACTCTAAAGCCATGAACAAATCAGAGTCTTGTTATGTTCTCATTATGGAGGTACCTTAGACCTTGGGTCCTACTCAGCTAAAGACCTGTCTTGGTCAAATAATTCACATTTTGTGTTTGCCGAAAACAACACCATAACACTTCACACTGACAAACACAAGTTTTATTCTTAACCATATCACTCATTCTAACAAGATTTCTTCATACTGCATTAATAAACTGAATCAAAGCTCTCCAATAATATGTAAGTTTACAATGAACTGACTACATACATACCACAACTTTCCAGTCACTATCAGTTATGTTTTACAACTTAACATTTCTATCACAAATAGAATCTGCCTGAATCATAATACAATTACCATCGCACACTCTCACCACAGTCAATGTGGGAGATAAATTCACACACATCTACCCAGGCCACCAAAGGTACATTCCATCTATGATCATCTGGGTGTCATGAAGAGGAATGAGTTACAAACACATACATGCTATACTTTTCCCAGTGCTGTAACCATGGTGATTCAACACGTCCTGTCCTATTTGACTGCCTGGACGTGGGGCAGCTTGTGTGTGCCATCACAGAAGGGTCTGTTGTTTGTCTGTTTACAGTTGCATAGCCAGTACTCCTTGGTTTCCTCCACACTAAACCGAACTGGACCCCATTTGGGCATGTTCTTACTTTCTGATGTCCCCCATAGTGTCTTGTGTGTACCATCACACAGAGGCTGTAACAGAAGCACAACACTAACACAGAGACCGTAACAGAACATAACATTTCCCAATTGTCTTCAAAATCACTTTGTGTAATGTTGGAATGCCCTCAGTTGGTGTATGTGTTGTAGTTACCTTCATGATACTAAGAACGTGTGGTGATACTGAGTTGTCCCCAGCAGCTATTGCTTATTGCAAGAGGCGAGTAAATGGCTCTTGTGGTCAGACTCGGTGACAATGTTGGTTGCATGTCATCATATCCCAATAGTATTGATGCGCATGATGTCAATAGCTGGACAGTCTGATCAGTTACAGATCACGGTCATGTAGCTGGAATATTGCTGTGTGTGGCATTAAACAACTGCCAAAACAAAATCAATTCTGACTGATTCAGCTGGCTGCCAAACTTGACCTGTTTTACCATGTTTCACATGACATGTCTACTGACTGCATTGATATTTCATACAGCAATAGTTGAGTGAAGTAAATATCACATCCTTCATTAAACTGGCAATTTAACTTGACCTGTTTTAATATCAATAACAAACTGACTCCACATATGAAACATCCAAAGAATCAATGTGCTATGAATCCATCTATATCACTACATATATATGGTGTTTATTAAAACATTGCTCCACACTTACTTGTGTGTGACTATGCCCACAAGCACACCAAGCGTATTTCTTCCCTGCCGTCAGCTCTATTCGAAATGGCTTCTTGTCATATATCTTTCCCTTTGGTTGGTCAGTTGAGAACTCATTTACAAATTTGGGAGTTTCTCTGTGCTGCCTGAACTTGTTTTTCTTCTTCTTTTCAGTCACAAAATCATCAACATTCAAAGCCCGTGTTTGCTGAAACATTTAAAAATACGCTTAAACATGATCGTTGCCAAAAGTGGTTTATATGCAGCCAGTCATAATAGTATGTCACTGGGAATGCATTTCCCTTGCACATGAAGCATGCACATGACCTACAGACAGAATACTGCAGCCTTTCCCTTGTGTATGAACCAGTCCAATACCACATATAGGACATAAACCTACTTTGATTTCAATTTAGAGCTAGGTTACCTCAGATTTAAGTGTTAATTTGAATTCCAAATGCTTAATTGTGCGGTTAAAACTATAGGTAACTCTAAATTGAAAACACAGTATGTTTATCTCCATTCTACCACAACAAATTAGATGTGAACTCTTTTAGACTATTTGGACTTAGCGAAGATACTGAGTGAAGCGGCAAGAGTTATGTCCATGTGTTGTTGATTTCAATTCAGGAAACGCTGATAATAGCCTTAATGTTGTTGAACCTTGTTTTCTCACATCGATATGCTTTACATGCATGTATGGCAGGCATAGAGAGCATGCAGCACAGCTACATAGCACATGCCAGCATGCAGTGGACACCCCTGAAGGACCCTGTAAAAGAGCCTTGCAAGGCTTAGTTCTACACCTCACATCACTATGATGAATTCACGTTGCTCATTGTGACAGAGAAAATGTGATGTCACAATTGGCTAAAGTATAGAAAAAGCACCACATATAGGCTCTCTGGTGTCCCCTAAACTTGAAATACACTCCATGAGTAGATTTCTCTCATGTTTTCTGCACAAAATGTGCACACATACTTTGATTATTGTAGTGACCACAGATCTGAATATCAAAACCTAATATAGTACATACAATTATATAAAATTGCCTCAATGACTGAGAAAAAAGTACTTTTCTATTATTATTATTATCTTCCAGAGTGGTGCAGTCATCAAATTGTCCGCTCAATCAGAGGTGGTTATAGTGATCTGATACCTCTGACTGACCAATCAGATTCATGTATTTCCCAAATTCACACACACTTCTCGCCAAAGAAAGATAAAGATATATGGCAACTGATTAACTTAAGCAGAATTATATCCCAAATGTCTTGTTATCACACCGGTAACAAAGAATCCAGTGAGAAAACTCAACAGTCAAAATAGAGATACATGAAAACACACATATCAGCTCTCTAAGCTTAGAGTTTTTCCAAGTGGCAGCAATATTTTTCTAGGTGCCTTTCAAACTTTAAAGAGGCACATTAAAATATTAAGGAGACACATTGATTTAGGCTTATAGAGAATTTATCATTTTAGAAATTAAATAATAAGACAAGACAAGAAAACATTCCAATTGTAGTAATGTGTCTGCACAACAAACTTTAAAAACTTGCTGCAATAAAGACAAGTCATTGAACAATTACCCTTGTCGAAAGACCATCACTGGAACTCACTAAGCCAGTTACCTGAAACAATACTGTTGCTGCCTTTTTGTTTATTCCAATGTTTGTTTTATGCATTCGTTGGGATTCATGATCCATTTGTTGCTATCAAACACATTCATAGCAGATGAAGTAATCTTGGTTGTTGGTGTTGGCAGTTGCTGTTGCACTGGACAAAGCCAGGTACTTTGTTATTTGCTGAAACGATCTCACTGTTGCGGTCGACAACAAACCACTGCTCATGGAGACCGATCCCTTGAACATAATATCTCCAATGCTCAATTCCGAAAAGTAAATGAAAAAACCATTGCACTACAAATTCCAGTTGGTTCATGTACCAGGTGCAAAACACAGTGCTGCTGATGCTGATGCTGACAGCATTGAGGAGTCAGTTATACACTCAGCTGTTCGTCCATCAGCTCCCTCCAGTCCATCACCCGGGACAAGGTTCGGACAGCAACCAACAGTGGCCAGGATATGGTGAAACTGGTGGAGATGATTGAATCAGGGATGCCAGAACTCCCCCATGAATTACCAGCATCACTTCGCAATTACAATCAGTCTCTTGAGCATCTACATACAGTCGATGGGGTTGCCATATACAAGGATTGAATCATGATTACCCCATAACTACGACAGGATGTCTTGACTGCACTCCACTCACCAAGGCGTGTCATCGATGATGTCGAGAGCTGAAGCATCTGTCTTCTGGCCCGGAATCACTCCAGCTATCACAGCCCTCAGAAACAATTACAATCACTGTAACCGTATGGCCCACTCCCAACCTTGTGGCCCACCCATGCCACCAATCTACCCATTTCAATGTCTTTGTGCTGACTTTTTCCATTACAAAGGGGTCATCTACTTTGTGAATGTCGACAGATACTTCAACTGGCCTGTAGTTGAAAGAACCTCAGTGGTGCATCTGGCCTGATTGATTCCCTACGCCACAGTTGCTGATCATATGCCAGGCCATATGCATTCAACATCACCATCTGGTCTTAATGGTACACAGTACCGCCCTTTCTTGCAGGAGGCCTCATCCAGGCCCAGAATGCCAACAGTAATCAGCCTGTGGCCCCCTCGCAGAAGGAATTAAACTTGATTGAACCATCATCCTCAGCCGTGCCAGCAATGACTACTGTGAGTCCCTCAGACTGGCTTCAGCACTACTTGAACTTCAACACCAGACTGTTGCTCCTTAACAACCTGCTGCACCGTCGTTGACAACATCAAATAAACCAATGCTACCACCCCCACTACCTGCCTCAGTGGAGGTTGAACCCGGACGTTCTGCTATTTGGGCGGAATACCCTTTGCTGTGGGGCTGTAAATCTGCTACAGTGAGTGAGTGAATATGGTTTGACACCGCTTTTAGAATATTCCAGCATTATCACGGCAGGTGACACCAGAAATGGGCTTCACACATTGTACCCATGTTGGGAATCGAAACTGGGTCTTTCGGCGTTACAAGGAAACGCTGTAACCACTATGCTACCTGACCGCCCCAAATCTGCTAAAAAATTGTCAGACATGAATGTGTTACATGACATCCCTGTCATCCTTCCCTTCCATAGATATGGAGGATTGGAACATTCATAATGTGACACCAACACACTTGAAGACATTTCAGTTCATTTTAACACTTAGTCAAGATTTGACTGTCTTCTTTAAAAAGAGTCCTTGTCATACCTTTTGCAAGATCTACCAATGATTTGGGTAGGGATAGAGGATTATGTACATTTACATTATACAATCTTGTGTTGCATTAAGTTTTGTTTCATATTCTGTGTTCCAGATCTCCATAATTTGTGATAATTTTTATCGATTTCCTAAAAAACCCCACTAACCTAAAAGATAATGTTTTCTTATAGATGAAGAGTTGATCCATGTATTTAAAATCTTTTAAAAGTTAAATATTATCAATATTTCAATGCAAAAAGATGGAGAGTGACCACTATATTTCTTCATAATTTGGCGTTGTCGTTAGGCTACAAGTTAGCCTTGTTCAGCGGAATGGACATTAACTTTCTTGAAGTATAAAAGTTTATAGATCTGGATAAAAATTATCATAAAGACATCTGTATTTTAAAAATACCTACGGTATCTTAGAAAAAGGTTATACTCTGAAAACAGAGGTGTGTGTGTGTGTGGGGGGTGGGGGGGGGGGGGGGGGGGGGGGGGATAAGGATAGAGTAGGGGGAAGCCTCCCCTTACCCTAACCAAAGACGTATACAATGTACGTCCATGCATTAACAGTAACACACTGTATTTTCACATATCAACCTGATAAAACTTTGTCATTTCAATCCCACAGCAAGAAAGTTCATTGTGCAATATTTATATGTTAATTTAAGCATATGTCATAAGTAATATTACCGACAGTGCTCCGAAAAACGAACAATTCTTAAAGAGTGAGGTGACCGACACACATCGGTTCATGTAGAGCGCCATGTTGCAGTCCTGCATTGAATAACTTAGTGCTATTTTTGGAATAATATTAAATTCTTTTGAAATCTCGAAGAATTACTTAATTGATGAATTAATGGTGGAATAATAAATCAGAAATTAATAAATGAAAATGTTTTCTCGCCCAAACTTAATTACTGTAAAACACTTCAATTTAGGCCAATCGAATTTGCCCAAATTCATATCTTCGGTCCTGTCCTTGTTGCTAACCGCTCATAGCAACGTTGTTCTACAGTAGTAAAAACTAACAAGCGTGAGTGTCCATCGTTCATTTGTGCAAGTGTCGATCGGAGTAAAAGAGCAGAATGAGTCAACGACAAGTGTTACAAGGTATCGTATTTAGAATGGTTTTCACCAAATCACTAAGACGTTTACATTTCAGATAGATCAAAACTTACTGTGTGAAAGTTTGATTACATTTTGGTGATTTCTTCATTTCGATCTCGCCTTATGACAATGTTTACATTTCGAGTGAATTTGCATTCCTTTATTTTGGCCTCGTTGCTATCATTAACCCTATAACATGGTGTAAGTAACATTAAGTGTACTTAAATTGCTCAATTACTGAGTAAAATAACATTACATGAAATATCCATCAAGGTAATCCTAAGGACTTCAGCTTTGGCATACCCTAGTCCTGGACAAGGTTCTCGTCGTTAAATGCTGCTAGGTCCTAACTGTAGTGAAGACCGTAGTTGTCAAACAGCAGGGTTTGTTGAAGAAGCCTTAGGTGACGAGAACTTTCATGTCCACAGCACCCTAGTCCTATCTTTTTACTTTTCCCCTCGCACCCTGTCTGCTGGGTCAGAAATAGGCCTGGAGATTAAATCATTTAGTAGTTTCAGTGATCTGAATTCAAAATGGGGACAGCAAAATGAATAAATTTGTTCATATGAAATCTCACGTAAGCTGTTGCTATAGTATCGAGCTATATCTTGCTATAATATTTCCCACTTCATTCCCAGTTAGCAAAAGATAAGCTGTTGCCATAGTATTGAGCTATTTCTTGCTATTACTATTTCCCACTTCATTCCCAATTAGCAAAATCAAGAAGCAGCATTAGAAATTGGTACCACTGTAGGCCTTGCCAAACCGCCCAATAGTTAAGGACAAGTAGACATTTGCCATTTTTAAGGGTTTTGCTATAATATGTTATCATAATGACTAGTGAACTGAAAATGTTATGTGAGGAGTGTCTTATCTGACTCACTGTACTGCAGCAATGTGTGTGACTTCAGCCACTTGTCTAAAGCCCAAGTCTAGTAACATGTTATTAGGTCTTGTAAAATCAGCTAACAATTGCCAACATATTAACTAAGAAATCAACTGACAATGATGCTAAGAGCCAAGTTCAGTCTCATAGGCTGCTGCAAATTAACAACACATTCAGACAGTTGTAGGATTTTCTGAATTACTTTGTTTTAGTGTTTGAACAGTACCAGAAGAGTCGGACACAATTTGTCCAGACAGTTGCTGAACTTGCCTCAAGACCACAAAACATCGAGACACTCCAGAATGCCGGAGTTATGTCGCTTCTACGTCCTCTGCTCCTGGATATAGTGCCAACTATTCAGCAGACAGCGGCTCTGGCTCTCGGACGTCTGGCAAATTATAACGATGACCTAGCTGAAGCAGTAGTGAAAGGAGATATCTTACCTCAGCTTGTCTACTCACTGGCTGAACAAAATGTGAGGAAGTCATTGTTGTGTATTGATAATCTATCAGAAATATACTTTCATTCCTATGAGAATGCACATGAACTAATTAGTGTTTATCACTATGTATGCTGAAGAGTAGAACAATATGTGAAAAGACTTAGAGAATAATTGAATTTAATGTGAACTTATTGGATTTGTCTGTTATTTTATTGTGTTTATTTTTCGGAAATGAACATTTTTGGTTTTAATTATGATACAGTGCAAGAAATTACAATGATTTTAAAACTTCATTCATCGACGACCTAAGTTTGTGTGGGGCGTATTTTCCCCACTGTAATATCAACTATTTTTTATCCTATTTCTTGATCATCATTTCAGCGTTTCTACAAGAAGGCTGCAGCTTTTGTGCTTCGAGCTGTTGCCAAACACTCCCCTCAGCTGGCCCAGTCTGTGGTAGACTGCGGGGCTCTCGATGCTCTGGTCATCTGTCTGGAGGAGTTTGACCCCGGGGTGAAGGAGTCTGCAGCATGGGCTCTTGGCTACATTGCCAGACACAATGGAGGTAAATGTCTCTATATGAAACAATGTTAAAGATGGATTTGTCTATTCCATGATGTCCTGACCGTGACATTCATGCTGCTTCTACATATGAAAGCCCAGCTTTTGAGGACAAAGGAGATATCTAGATGTGTTGATTATCCATGTTTTTTCTTTCTACTTTTAGAACACTAGATACAAGTTTTGGTAACTTACACTCATGACATGGTGACCTTAAGTATATTATCTGTTTTATTCTGGTCCATTTTCATGTATGTTTTCATGTTAATGTTTGAGAGGGGTGCCTGTCAAATGTTAAACTTGTCCATTGGAAAAAATATTGACTGACATTCTGCTTTTCATTGTAGAGCTAGCCCAGGCTGTGGTTGATGCTGGTGCAGTGCCGCTGTTGGTGTTGTGCATCCAGGAACCAGAGCTGTCCCTGAAGAGAATAGCTGCTTCAGCTCTCAGTGATATCTGCAAACATTCACCAGAGCTGGCCCAGACCGTGGTTGATGCTGGTGCTATTGCTCATCTTGCACAGATGATCCTCAACCCTGATGCAAAACTCAAGGTAACAGGCATCTTGATCATACATGTATCATCGGTATTGATGCTATTTGTAATATATTTTATTTCTAAAGCTTAGATTTTTTGCAAGTATGTTTTTAGTTTCTGGACATTGTACAGTGGTATGAATGTTTTCTATATTTCAGCGTCAAGTGTTTTCAGCACTGAGCCAGATTGCCAAACACTCTGTGGACTTAGCAGAGATGGTGGTAGAGGCAGAGATATTCCCGGCAGTCCTCACTTGTCTCAAAGACCAAGATGAATATGTCAAGAAGAATGTTGCTACACTCATCAGAGAGATCGCCAAACACACACCAGAGGTTAGTTTCATCCGGTGTGTAAAGGTTTCAGGCAGTAGATATAAGGCTGCTGAACAACATTATCTTTAATGATTCTTTACTTCTTAGAAATGAAAACTGTATAGCATACATTATTGTGAATGTCTCTGTGTTAGTAATACACAATATTCATATTTAATATGATGCATGTTTGCAGCTGTCGCAGCTGATTGTCAACGCTGGTGGAGTGGCAGCTGTTGTAGACTACGTCGGGGAATCCAAGGGGAATGTGAGACTGCCTGGAATCATGATGCTTGGATACGTTGCAGCTCACTCCGAAAACCTGGCCATGGCAGTCATTGTATCAAAGGTAAGTTATGTTCTTGTTCACGGAAAATAAAGACAGTTTCAGATTTTGAAGAATGGGGATGCGAATGTTATTCTTAAAGCTGAAAGTTTAAAGTTTTCATGAAGTGTTATCATTTTGTAGTTGCAAGCTGTTGAGCTCAGTCTGAGAGTCAAAGGTTCTGTTCTGGTTATATTTAGTTCAAACAAAAAGATTCCTACTTTGCTCTTTTTGTATCTTTAATCCAACTTTCTGTTCACCCAGGGAGTAGTACAGTTGGCCATCTCGCTGGCCGAGGAACGGGATGACCATATCCAGGCTGCTGGAGCGTGGGCACTTGGACAGATTGGACGACACACACCGGAACATGCTAAGGCAGTGGCAGTGGCTAATGTGCTTCCTAAACTACTTCATTGCTATCTCCGTGCTGATGCATCAGAAGACCTCCAGACAAAGGTAGAAAAGCACCAACCATTTGCTGTCAGAATATACAAATTAAGGCAAATGATACAAAACACCTCCGATAACAAAAACAGAATTCTGAATTTTCATCAGTGTTGAAATTTCATGAGTTTATTCCATTTTCTGCACCTAGGTTTAAATACTTGATTGATGTTTCCAGAGCAAGAAAGCCCTGAAGAACATCCTACAGAAGTGTGTCCACCTGCCTGCCCTGGAACCCCTCCTCCATGATGCTCCTCCCAATATCCTCAAGCATGTTGTTGGTCAGTTCAGCAAAGTCCTGCCCCATGACTCTAAGGCCCGCAGATTATTTGTCACTAGTGGAGGTTTGAAGAAGATCCAGGAAATCAAGACAGAACCTGGCTCAGCTCTGGCAGAATATGTCAATACAATCAACAACTGCTACCCAGAAGAAATTGTCAAGTAAGTACACATTGTCGCTTATGCTTCAAGACTGTTGTGACCTGAATTACAAGTAATGAAAGCTCAATCCAATATAACGCTGAGCTTTGTTTTTTTTCCGCTTGTTTTTCACATATGTAACTTGCTTTATATTGCAATTGTCATATCTGCAATACAATGATAGCATATTATCACAGCAACTTAAATACGATAAGATGACAGTTATTGTCTGACTCAAATAAACTCAGAAAATATATCATTCAACTTATACATATTTTTAAATGTAATTTCAGATACTACTCCCCTGGTTACTCTGATGCCCTCCTGGAGAGAGTGGAGCAGTTTGCTCCCAAAGTGTAACAATGCTTTCCTGACAACATAATATAGGAATATTACAGACACTTTTGTGCTGACCTGAGTTTGAATCAAGTCATTTGTATACATCTTCGGGGATAACTTTCAAGAAATGTGAAACTCATTAGGTATTTTGAACTCCATATCAGTGCATGCCAGGAGGAACAGTGCCACCCGGGAAGCAGCAACCCATCTTTCACTCTGCCTCACCTCTATAGGTGTGTAATAATGCTAGATTTATTGGTAAATTTTGAAATTTTTGTACTGTTCTCAGTAATGTAGATGCTGCTTTATGCTTGTTCATGAAAAGAGCTATAATGGCAGGTATATCAATATGTTAATATACCAGTAATTCTTCACCTTATTCAATTTCAAGTTAAATTTGTTTGAATGTCAATGTACTGGATCTTGTTTATAAATCACTAGCTTTCAAAGTTTTATGTTTGTGTTATGGACAGTGTCAGTTATGTGAAGAATCACCTTGTTTCAGGTTATGTACTGCGTACAAATGGTATTTATGTAGTGTGAAGGTCTGTTTGTTGTAAAGGGGATTCCAGACTTTGAAACTTTTTATGCCCAAGAGAAAGTAAGGAACATGTCTGAAATTTGCCAAGACAAGATAATTTTGTAAATAAATAATGTTTAAAAAAGTGAGTTTGTTTTCTTATTTCACCTACTTGATATGATGGACTTGGTATCTGATGAGGATCGGGTGACTATACAAATCTATGGTTGATTTTAACATCAGTGGATCTGTGAAGATCCAGGTTTTAAAAGGTCTTCAGCAACCCATAATTACAGTAATAGGCGACTAAGACTGTCTCAAGAGGAGACTAATCACTGGATTGTCTGGTCCAGACTATTATTTACAGATCACTGTCATATAGCTGGAATATTTGCCGAGTGCAGCTTAAACAACAAACAAATATAACATGAGTGACCTCCCATGTAATTGGGAAATGACACAATCGAGGGGTCGGTTATAATCTTGAGTCTTACTCCTACTCTGCATACTCTTTGTACAATCGTAGTGTGTTGTCAGATGAGTGAAATCAAAATACAACACTTTAGAATTGTTAATAAGTAAAATAGAACACACAATTAAGCATTTTATTCTAGAAGTTGACTGGGCAGCCATGTCTACTATTCCACCTTCTGAGTCTCCCAAGACAATTATACATACTTTTGCAGGACATCTTTAAAAACGCCGGTACTTTGACATTGAATAAGGAAACAGTGCATAAAACAGAATATACTGTTCTCTACAGAGACACTGCAACCACATTAGCACTAGCAGGTGCACCAGGAACACTTCACCGACAATCATCGCTATCCATAAGAGCATATACAGTGATCATGTGGCATACAAACAGCCAATAAACAATAATGAACCACAAAATCCTCACGCTACAAATAAAATTGATATATTTAACTTCTAAATAAGCTTTATTCAATGCAATTTGAACTGATATAAATTAAAAAGAATTATATTTAAACAATACAGAAATATTTGCTTTCAAATTAATATTGTTTCCGTCAGTTCAAATTACTAGTATATATCTAGCTTGTAGCTACAATTCGCTGTGGTCAGCTCGTTCTGCTTTTGACCGTTCGTCAAGGCCGGACTTACATAATCCAGGCCCCGGGATCATGAAAGTGGTCTTAGCTCAAATTTTGCTCAGCACGAATTTTGTCTAAAGTTTTTAAGATTTTGCAGCTTAGATTCGGTCTAAGACTGGATCTTGAAACGGTCTTAGCAAAATCTTTGCTAAGTCTAAGTCCGTCGCCATAGGGACGCGCGCACGTTAAACCGTACTACCGTTATTATTGGAACTCTTCAGTGAATGGAGATGCGAAATTCGTGTTGTTTGTAAACACAGCTGTCTCGTGTGACAAGTCGTCTGCGTCCTCTCCCTCTGGAGAACTCTTTTCGAATCTCTTATTTAAAGATTCATCAACTTTTTAATTGTGATGCCTCAAAAAGTTCCGAATCACTTCCACAGAAATCAACGTTCAATAGATCACTCTTACTTTAATCTGCTTCTTCAAACGAAAACTCATCATGAACTTGTTTCACCTAATCTTTCGAATGTTTCGTTCACAATGGCAAATGCCCGTCAATCTCCAGCGCTGTCAAACAGGTCCAATATAGGTTAGTCCGACCATTGTTGTGTTTGCGCGCTCTGTTCCTATCTTTTCCATGTTTGAAGAACCAACCTCCAATAGTCAACCCCGCACTTTACGGCGACTTTGTTTTAAGTTGGATATGGTCTGAAAAGTCACGATTAGTTTTGCACGTGCAAAACTAATCGTGACTTCGAGGACCATATCCGACACATAAAATTAAAAAAATAAATACTAATATATATTTATAGGATTTAGGAAAAATGCATACATATAGATTTTCTATAACGTTTGGAGGGGATACGGGCGGACGTCTTTAAAAAAGACTTTTCATGTAACAATTAACATATCCAGAATAATATCTCAATAAATCATGTAATTTTATAACGAGTAATACAGATAACTAAATAAAAAAAAAGAATATTCCGTAAAACAACACTTACAGTCTTGTCTCATTCATACAAGAATAAAGAGATTATATAGTTATACATTGCTAATTACAAAAGTTTACAATTTATAAGCCTAGTTTACCACAATTTCTTAAATAGATTATAGCTGAGATTTAGATAATATGAAACACTTTTAGTTTACTAATAATACACGTTTAATATACTGCACTGTGTAATATACTACACGTTTAATATTAATATTTAAATGCAATAATATACAATACAAATATATACACACATATACAACTAACCTGATTTAGTGGTTTGCTTTCACTTCACTTTCACTTCACTTTATTCTCCAGAGAACCACGCATGGTGGTATTAGAGTACATTTTACATGTCAATCATTATATACAAGCATTCAAAATGGCGGCGGACTAAAACAATATATTGTAGGTAAACAGTGGTAGATATAATAAGCATGTCTAGCATAAGTTTTGATATTACAGAGAAGATAACATTTATAAACCTTGCTAAGTTTCTTAAAACAGTGAAATCTGATGATGTAAACAACCGTCTATAAGATGCCATATTTGAAAATTTGGTTAGTTTGTTGAAATAAATCTTTTTTCTATTTTCATCAAAAGCAGGACAACGAAATATATAATGAAACTCGTATTATACCAACGCCCTGTCTCAATAGGTAAACAATGATAGGATGTTCTAAATTTTAATATTGGGTAGTAAATATATTTGGGCAATAAGATAAAGGCATCAAGTGATGGTAGGGTCTTAATGTGTTTATAATATTGTCCCTTGGGACTTACTTCTATTGCATTCCTCCACACTTGGTAAAAGTTATCTTTTAGTGTAGTTTCTACTTTATTAAGCAGCCATGTTCTGTTAAAATTACCTGGGAACATATAAACATTACTTAGCCCACATGAGTTAAGGGTATTTTCAACAAACTTAAGCCAAGAATAAGAATGATTATTTAACACACTATCTAAAGACATGAAATTGTACAATACCGAGGATAACTTGAAGTGAGACAGGGGCGTGTTGAGTTTATACCATTAACTAATAATTCTTTTAGAAACATGGATGCTGATAGGAAATATTCCAAATTCACCATATAAGAAATAATTCGGGGTGGACATTCTGAGACCAGAGGCTAATTTTAAAAACTTGGTATGAATATTTTCAAGTATATCTATTTTAACATGTCCCCAAAATTCAGAGCCATATAACATAATGGGTAAAATCATTAAATCGAATGCTTTGAATACGCAGTCAAGTGTTAAATCATTGTTTCTTGCCATTTTCAATTACAAAAACGTACATTTCTTAGCTTGTGTGGCTAGAACACTTATACCAAATGTCAATTTTCTATTTTTGTGAAAGTTAAAACCTAGATATTTATAATTATCAACTATTTCAATTTCTTCTTTGCCAAAGTAAAATGATAGCTTGTTTACTCTACACTTACCACTTCCAAAAATAACAATTTTAGTTTTATCACTATTTACAGTTAATTTCCATTTCTGACAATATACATGAAAATAATCCAGGGACCTCACAGGGCTGACGCTGAAGTAGCAAATAGCACTGTATCGTCTGCATATAACAGAACTAGTAGTACTAGTTGTAGACAAACTAAATTCAAATCATGTTTGCTGGATATATCAACACCATTACAATCAAATGTTTTTAGCCAGGATTCTAAATCATTTATAAAGATAGAAAACAATAACGGAGAAAGGTTTTCTCCCTGTCGGACCCCCGAAAAACTTGGGAAAAACGCAGATTTTGCATGATTAAACTCGATACAGGATTTAATATTGGAATACATATTTTGTACTAATGTAAAGAATTTTCATTGGATACCATAAGTTAACATTTTTGACCAAAGACCAACTCTCCAAACGTCAAAGCTTTGGAAAAGTCAATGAATGCACAGTACAATTTCTGTTTCTTTTGTTTTAGGAATTCTATAACTGAATTGAGAACAAACATGTTATCAACTGTTGAGTAACCTTTACGAAAACCGGCTTGGCAAGGGGATAATAAAGAGTTAATGTTTAAAAATCTGGATAATCTACAGTTAAGTATACTTGTAAAAAGTTTTCCAAGACAGCTCAAAAAAGTAATGGGTCTATACGAACTAGGATCACACGAGTCACCTTTACCTTTATAGATAGGTTTTATGACCACAATTAACCATGAGTCGGGAACTTCACCTGTGTCAAGTACGACATTAAAACGTTTCCCTAAAAATGGGAGAAATAATTCTATTGAGTCAATTATATATTCGTTTTCTTCAAAGTCTTCACCTGATGCTTTATTTCTTTTCAGTTGTGATACTGATTCACTAATTTCTTGTTGTGTTATGGCAACATTAAGAACTGAGCAATCTAGGGGTACATGTGTATTATTAATATCTTCAGGAACTGTATCATCATACTCTTGTGCGTTTATATTCTTAAAGTATTCATATAGTTCATTAACACCAGGGGATGAGTCATTATGCGCACGCTTACGTTTACGCAGTAATTTCCAGTAGTCCCTTGGGTTCTTCTTCTGCCAGTCTCTAATTTCAACGGCTAATTTACATTTATATCTTTTCATATATTTGTTCATACATTTCTTATACTCCTTAGCTGCATGACTAAAGTAGATATGGTTTTCTTGATTCCTATGTCTTCGATATTTTCTCCTAGCTTTATGGTTGTGTCTACGTTTCAGAGTACATTCTTTTCCGAACCAAGGTTTGTTAACTTTATGTTTCTTATCATTGCCAGTATAATTATATGAGGTGGAAGAGCGTATGCCAAATGTATTTATCGCTGCATTTGTAAGAATATCAGAGAAGATAACAGTTGCATTATTTATTAATTCATTAGCCTTCGTAGTGTCATCAATCACTTTATCTAATAATGTGCTTACATCTTGTATCTGCATAACATCAATATTGTTCCTGTATTGGTTTGTTTTTGATGAGTCATATCTTTTGGGTTTTGTAGAAATTGTTACAGGTTTACTGGTAGATGATTTAGGTACATTACCATACATTCTGCTATTCACACTTGATAACGAAAAAGCTATAGGACAATGTACATCTGAGTATAGGGCAGAACAATCAACAATTTCAAAGCTCTTAAAATATGACAGGCACCTGTTGGAACATATGACATAGTCAACAGTACTTGTATCCTTACAGGTAACCTTTCCGGAATTTGCGTCTTTGTCTATTCTTCCATTCAAATAAACATATTAATTTTTTTACAGATATCAATCAGTTTGTAACCATAATTATTAATTTTGTTACTATCGTTCGAGTATCGCTGACGTGGAAGTCCAAGTTCATCTAGAACAGATTCAGGATCAAAGTCATCTGACATTTCTTCAGTATCAATATCTAATTCCTCTAACAAATGTTTATCTAAACCGACATATTCACACAGTGTTCCAGTACGAGCATTAAAATCTCCTGTAAGGATGACAGTTTCAGTGTGAGAGTACATATATAATAGTGCTTGTTCTAACTGATCAAACATGTCTGTAGTGGCGTACTTAGAACCTTCAGGTGGAAGGTACACAATACCAATTAAAAGGTCATCATTGCTATTGAAAGCTAACTTAGATAGTTTAAAACATAGTATGTAATCCGATTCAAAATCTAATAAAGTATCATATTTAGAGAAACAATGTTTAACTGCAAGGCCTATACCTCCCGAACGCCTGTCACCCAGGCCCCTGTGTTTCAAAAACAGTTTAAAACCATCAATTTCAATATCATCGAGTGTATCTGTTTTGGTTTCTTGAAGAGCAACAAAGTTAAAAATATTTACAAGATCCAAAAACTCTGGATAATTAAGTCGTTTTCTCAGACCGCACACATTTATGTTGATAACACCAATTTGTTCAAATTTATTAACAAATAATTCTGAATTGTCATTTTCCACTGAGCAACTTTCGCTAAGAGGGCCAGTTTGTGCACAAGCTGGACTAGACTCTCTATCATGTAAACCACGTGAGCCACGTGGTAGTTCAAGTGCACGACTCGTCGATTTTATAGCAATTGAGTCTTTACTGTCGAGTTCACCCTGGTTGTTTTAAAAGGAATATGATGGCTAAAAACATGTTCATAACATACCAGTCTATCTAGAGTTCTGGGTGGTTCAAGTGTCACATGGTGTGAGCTCGCTGCGTCCTGGCACAAGTCATTCCCGCCTTGCCATCCCTACACTTCCGGCCTAGTTGCCAGGTTACCACGTGTAAACTTGTCTGTGTAGAATGTGTTTGCAGACTGAGTACATGCAGTGAGACAAAGGGTTAACTTAGAGGGTTAGCTTGGCCAATCAGTTGAGCACGTCATGGCTTGGGTTTGTTAAAGGCTTACAACATGAAGGACACATGAACTAAATTTAATCTATCCTCACCACTAATTATACATACAGGTTCAACACAGAATAGTAAACACCCAATAGCAGACACTGAAGAATTGTTAAATAAATAAGTACAACTGTTACATCTGTCACACATCAATCCACTAGGGATGAGATAAACAATAGCATAAGCATGATTAGCGTATTAGTTTGGGGGCCGAATCAAGAAATATATAATAAGATAATGTGTGTAAACCAGAGTTATTTTCCATCGTGCCAGATCAATAACAGACAATGGAGATATCTGATATACACATCTGTAAACTGATTGTAATCCATGTGGAGCCACGCAGTCACTTCATCCATGGTGGAGATCGAGCGTTTTTCGAATTGTTCCTTGAGGGCAACACATCGTGCGTCAAGTTGGCGATATTTCCCTCTCTCTGGAAACAACATACTGCACCAACAAGGTTTCATCCTTCTTTTGTTCTCGTGTAAAGAAGGTAACAAACAGAACAGCGAGGGATGTGCCTTGGAAACGTTCTTCTTGGGGCGGCCGTGCCAGGTGTTGGGACCATCGGTGTCGTGATGGTTCCCCTGCATGGTAGGTGTGTAAGGCAGGCCTCAACCAAGGTGTTCGTCACGTTGTCGACGAGGAAAACACCCCCAGTGTTGTCTGGCATAAGATCAAACCCACACTCTCTCCTATACACACACGCACGCACACACACACAGACTCCCACCAACACACACACACACACACACACACACACACAGACACACACACACCCTCTCTCTCTCTCTCTCCTATACACACACGCACCCAAGACACAGACACACACCAACACACACGCCACGCTCACACATATAATATTTATAAATATACATCAATATACTGATTTTCATCCAAATGGACACTGTTAATTGAACTCGTTATTTAATTTTAGGAACAGAATAGGACTAAACATGTCATACACGTTGAAGATAGACTCATAGAACACACCACTGCGCACACGGGTTAACTGTGTCAATACCATCATATTGTATATTGTTGTTTTGTCATCTAATCCACATTCAATAGGATAAATATTCACTTACGCATTTACCCGTCAGTCAATATGATCCTAGGCTAGCTAACGTATGTTACCTAAACCGCTAGCAAAGCCAAATATGATCACTAACGGGTGTTGAGGGAAGAAAACAAACCGTTTAAGGAAGTTCATATTATTGATGAAGACATTGATCAATGTTAAATTATCACATCACACCTGTTACCTGCTGCCGTTGCTACATTGTCTGTCGTTGTCGCCGCCGTATCCTTCACATGGACGCCTTTCAACGTGAGACCCAGGCTCTCGTTAAACAACTGTTACCTGAGTGCTGCATCCGGAGCCCCGCACCGTCACCTTGATGATGTGCTTGTATCAAGTGACTTGTAGTGCAGATGCTCTCCGTGGATAAACAGAAACACGACTTATTCGCACAAGGGCAGAAGATGTTGACATTCAGAAGGTATGCTGTGATCTGTCAGTTCTATGATATATGCCAGCCTTCACTAAAAATATATGAAGATCATATTTGATTGCCAACTTTTTGCATGTTAGACATTTCCACTACGAGAAGCTGATATCTATTATCATGTTAATTACCAATCAATATCAAGCGATGGATTTAAACATGCTTCCAAGTTGTAATCCATTGGTATGGAACAAACACATAATGCTCCGGATATTTCCCTTCTTGGTTTATAGTGGATAGTAGGTACCAAGTTATACACTGCTAGATGAGCAAACAATACAGAAACTATGTGACCTGTTGCTCCAGTGGTTCTCATCATTATCCAGGCTGTCCCCTGTGGTCTAGTGGTAGAGCGTGCGCCCGCAGAGCGGACGGTCCGAGAATCGATCCCCGAACGCGTCATACGAAAATACGTTAAAAAATCGTAGTTGTTGTAACGCTACCTGGCGCTCGGCATTAATGGGCTAAAAAAAGGACTGGTCGGTATACTGTGTCTGCGTAGGGTATTCACGTTAAAACTGCGGCATGGTATCTCATTGGACTGGCACTATAAAATCGACATTAGTCCTGACTAGCACAAGCAGACACACACACGCACGCACGCACGCACGCACGCACGCACGCACACACACACACACACACACGTGCATGCACAACGCTATATGTGTGCAACAATCTTGAACGCAATGTTAAAAAGTGACGAATAGGTGTTTGTGTTGGCATTTCCTTTTCGTTGTCTTAAATATTTTGATACTTGTTTGGTTGGTTGGTTTGTTGTTTAACGCCGCACTCAGCAATATTCCAGCTATATGACGGCAGTCTGTAAATAATCGAGTCTGGAACAGACAATCCAGTGATTGACATCATTAGCGTCGATCCACGCAATTGGGATACGATGACATGCATCAACGAAGTCAGCGAACCTGACCACCCGATCCCGTTAGTCGGGCTGAAAGTCATTCAGACATCCTGCCAATCCAATAAAACCAAAACAGTTTTTGAAATTGGAATTATTTTGTTAGCGTAAATGAGTGAACATGGTTTAACGCCCGTGTGTGTTGTTTTATCACGTTGTGTCATGGTGAAGAGTCCTGTACCACGTTGTGTCTTGGTGAAGAGTCCTTTACCACGTTGTGTCTTGGTGAAGAGTCCTTTACCACGTTGTGTCATGGTGAAGAGCCCTGTACCACGTTGTGTCATGGTGAAGAGTCCTTTACCACGTTGTGTCATGGTGAAGAGTCCTTTACCACGTTGTGTCATGGTGAAGAGCCCTTTACCACGTTGTGTCATGGTGAAGAGCCCTTTACCACGTTGTGCCATGGTGAACAGTCCTTTACCACGTTGGTGAAACAACATCGCATGGGGATGGGGCCGGCAAACCGAGAATAATAATCAGTACAGATATGGGATCCAAACACACGACCACTCAGGCTTCACGACTACCAACCCCGTACACAGACTGTAGGGCCCCACGACATGGTTCCTACCCCACAGTCGCCACATAATTAGCTCACTGACCCCATGCATGTTTGTGGTCACCCCAGTTCACCACGCAGTGTCCATGTTGTCCAAGTGTCAGCTCAGTTGCGCGTGTTAGATCGTAGGTAGGACTAAACTGAAAGAACCGATCCAGCAACATTACAGATCACCGTGACGCCAACCATTGACCCGAGTCAATATGCTGATAAACACCTTATATTGGAGTCTTATGTGATGGTATATACACTTATGGGAGTCTTAAATATATTGATAAGTTGGCGTGCTGGTCCACAGTGCAATATTAAACATTCATATTGTATCATTATATGATATGATATAAACACTTATCAAACATTGGTGTGGGATATGAAGCACGATGTATGCGGTATGCCTGCCACCCTTGTAGGAGGTAGACATGGTACATGTGCTCTACCTTGTGAGATGGTGGTAGAGCAGGCACACGATACAGTGATCACCAGGATGCCATCTACTCTAGACTCACAACATATGACGTAGTAAAGGCTTTAGGATATTCTGACATGTCTGTGGATATGTTAAAGTCAAAGGACAAATCTATCCAATGATGACTTTCCTCGTCTACAGTCAGACGGAAGTGGCCGTAGTATTGTCCAGTCAGGCAACAGGCGCCGGCAGTACGACATGGTGTTCATCTACATCGATAACAACATCGATTGTTGTAACACATGGCGGCGGAAACAACTTCATGCGAATATAATGTGCTGTTGTAGCGGTGCTTATACCCCATGCCGTGTAGTTCATTATTTCAATTGAATCACATCATCAATAACTGAGTTGCACACAGTTGAAAGGAAAGGTAGGTCTCATACAAAACATGCTATATCTTTAGAACTGATCAACCACCATCAGCTTTTAATAATTTCGACTATCGTCGTTGCCGCAAGAATGACACAAGTTGCGCCCCTCCACCATCACGTGGGGGGTCTAGCTGTTGGGGTATAGTAAAGGTCAGGTGGACACACATATGTTATAGCTACTGTTGTGGATCACTATAACCTTGGCTGGCACGTCGTGTACGTGGCACAGGTAGGGGCAGAGACTGCTTGCTGTATAGTGATGTGTATGTATGGAAGATGGAACACACGTGCACACTGCTAGTGATTGCACATTTCAGAAATAGAGCTATACATACATAGTGGCCTGTTTAGTACTTTGTACTGTGGTGACCGTCCCACCTCGCGTGAAGAGATACTTTAGATCGAAATTGACCGCCCATGTATAAAACATGGCGTTTCCGTTATATTTAAAACGTTACATATCCTTTATATAGGCCACAGTTCGGTAACATACATTTTATATTTATATATAAAACATTGTCTTGTGTTTTGCACAATACATTCGCAACAAGAGTTTTGCATGGTCATTAACCCTGTCCCAGACAGCTTATTACGACCAAAATTCGAAATCAGGTGAATTATATATTTAATCCTATTTTTTCTCATGACAATTCCAAACTGACTTGGAAGGGAGTGAATTTGTTCTCACTCGAGGAAGACATGAGTCGAATGTATCACGTCACATGTTTTCGACACGCCACCTCCAACTGAAGCATGACTCACTGTGACCAGGGCAGGACCCCCCTGCCAGTCTGTCTCTCTATGAATGGTACAGCCTTTGCTGCATGATGAAACTCAATTAAAAGAAGAAATTTGTATTTGGTTTCTCAACAGTGATTTAAAATAGAAAATTGTTTGAAAACATGATGAGAACCAAGAAATAAATTTTACAAGGCTTTCAAAAATATTCCATCAATATCAACAGAAGGAACCACACATTGGAACCGTTGTGGGAGACGAATCCGGGTCTTTGGCTTGACGAGCGAACACTTTAACACGTACCCTATCGTCCGAAGATTCAAATCGAATGAAATTATTTATTTAATCTCTCCATCATATATATGAGTTGTAATCAAATTTCATAGATGAAAGCTGGAATAATAATGAAAAATAGTTTTAAAAAAATGTACACATAAATGTATACAAGTACATAAAGAAATAACGTGTTATATCCTAACTGCACACCAATTCATGTAATTTGACGGTATATGACTCTCCAACATAAACGGTTTTTTTTGTCCTAGCCACAATAACTGGAAAAGCTTGACGATTGCACGACTAAATCATGCGAGGTTCGCGTGCGGGCACGTGCTGCACGTGGATTTTTGTCATGTTCAAGTCCAGTAAAACTTGGGGATGGGCCCCAAACAAGCGTGGACCATGAATTAGATGTATCGGCCTGACGAAGAGCACAAACTGATTAGGTCGTATGTACGTACAGTTGATATGTACCTTAAATCAAGTATTTAGTATTCTTTAAGGAAGACTCAGTTGGTGTAAGGTGTTCGCTGGAAGCTAGCTTAGTATAATAGATCGGCATGTGTGTGTCTTTGTGTGTAGGGTACTCGGGAACAACTATCATCCTACAACAAGCCTTAGGTACGCTGCGGTAGGCAGATAGGTAAATATTGAGTAAACGGATATAGAAAGTGTATATCAAGCAGATTTATATGTTGTGTGTTATTAGAGTTGAGACTTTTTGTTCATGTGCTGTGGACATCCTCGATGGTCTAGTGGATAGAGGGTATTCCCGGAGAGCGTAAGGTCGGTTGTTCGATCCCTTGCCGCGTCATACCGAAATACGTAAAAGGAGGTACTTGTTGTTACGCTGCCTGGAGCCTCTCCACCTTTTGAACTCGTTGCCCACCTTTTAACGGAAAAGGAAGGACCCCATTCCACATGTCTGGCTGCTGGAGTTTCAGTGGGAGATATATTTGATGACAGCGCAGTAGTCAATTGTTCATTTTCATCAACAGAGAATACCTTGTCACTTTGATGCCTGCAGAAACACGCTGCCTATCGTGTATTTGGTTGCCTATAAGCTTGGAAAGTATCCTTCGTAGTTCGGCTCAGAACATTGCACCATCCCTCGTTTGTAGCAGCTGGTCCATGAGTAGGGTTTATTTCTTCTCAACAACAACTTTTGTAACAAACGAAACTTATTTTTAATTTTTAGAGAATACATTACACGCAACAACGAATTACTGATTATCTTTTCCCGAGTTAATTAAGTTGTCAATATGAGACCTTCTGGGAGAGGCAATCGATAATAATTTAAGGTCCGCAATTCCCTGTAGGTTAATACACATATTAAAGGAAAAAGTAATTGTTCTTCATATAAAATTCAATAAAAATAAATTTATTCTGAAGTTAAACAATGCATCTTGCAATACATATTCATTAAGACGTCTCCACCTCATAGTCGGATTCACAATTTGCATGTGCATGTTAATGCACGGCGCACAATTTGGATGTTTGAGTGTAAGTTGGGAACATGATACTCACACACGTGTTTTTTTAATGTGAACATCACACAAAGATTGTTTTGCTATCAGGTGCTCATAAAAACACACACTTTTGTTTAACCGTAAATAAGTTTTGCGCAATGCCACGGCCTGCCGAAAATCAACATGCACACGCCGTGCAAACACGAGTGGCGCAAAGTGAAGTTGCCAGACATTTTAATGTTAATCGAAACACAGCGTCATATCTATGGACACATTATTTACTGCAGGGAAACACCTATGACTTTCCACGGGCCGGTCGTCCACATTCAGTTTGTTGTTTAACGCCGCACTCAGCAATATTCCAGCTGTATGACGGCGGTCTGTAAATAATCGAGTCTGGACCAGACAATCCAGTGATTGACATCATTAGCGTCGATCCACGCAATTGGGATACGATGACATGCATCAACCAAGTCAGCGAACCTGACCACCCGATCCCGTCAGTCGCCTTTTACGACAAGCATAGGGTGGATGTATAATGGTAAGTGGTGGCATCACAAATCACCACTGTTGATGGCAATTTGAATGGCGTACGCTACCGGGACGACATCGTTCAAGATCTTGTTCTACCCTTTGTGCTCACGCAAAGGCAGGGACGTAAACATCACGTTGAAGAAGGTTAATGCTCACGCAAATGTTGTACGTGTTGTAACAGACATTCTGAGGTGGCATAACGTTAATATACTGCATTGGCCGTTTCTTCAGACCTCTTTCACATAGATCATGTTCTGCCCTTTCTGTAAATGCAGGGACGTAACGTCACATTGCAGCAGTTTAATGCCCGCACTCATGTTGCACGTGTTGTAACATACTTTGATATGGCTGGAATATTACTAAAAGTGGCGTAAAGCCAAACTCACTCACTCACATAAAACGTATGTGATAATGAATAATGGATGGATTTCAATCATTTGCGACAATGACCTAATATTACCTCACGTAGTTTAACGTGCAAACAGTCAAAACAACGGAGAAAGTAAATGAATTAGGGGATGTGTTTTTAATCTAGAGTTGTGTTACCTGCAGAGCATGTCAAAATCAAACACGAGCTTGAGTGGTGTTAGCGAATTAATGGGTGAAGCAGCATAAGTCTAAACTTTTGAGCAGGTTATTACAGGAACCACAGCTCTACAGAAAAATACGTGTTTGAATATTGATGTTTGAAAAGTACAGACATTGTTCGAAATAAGCGCCTGCCCGTAGGCCCGTGGCAGGTGGATCTTGTGTCTGACCCGTAGTTTCAAAGTTGTATGGGTCCTTATGGCCTGCGGTAAATTAACGTGTCGATGTATTTGTCACAAGAAGCTGCAGTTTTTTATAATGAGGGCCTGAGGAGTTTAGTCAGGGCCTGCAGCTTCTGAAGTCTGAGGGTCCTGGTGGCAGCCTGACATTCTTTGGTATGAGGATGAAGTAATTTCACACAGATACTTGAATCGGCCGTGAAATCATGTTTGAATCAGAGTTTCTTTGTGTGATTTTAAACCTCTGATTTAACAATCAGAATCGTGTAATCCAAATTCATGGTAGGATACTGCTTGAAGACTAGAATCTGATGTAATATTTACTTTTCAGATGAAACTTCAGACATTCCTTACAGTTGGCTATTCCCAGGTGCTGTGACTGTTGGCAGAGCCAGCGTGTAACCAACCATGCGGGCAGGGAGACAGGAACGACCTACCAGGTGTTTCTTCCGGTTCCTCTGCCTCGTGCTTGTGTTCTGGTTTCTGGTATTCCTGCAGTACATTATAGTTGACGAGTGGTACCCGCACACGGGCACTGACAATCACAGGCATTTTAGTGGCGCTGTCAACATTAATCCACACGGTCTGCCAAATGACCGTCTCCTAAGGGTGGAAGATGTCCGTGACAAACACAAGTTACATAGGAAAGTTCCCCCCGACGGTCACGTGCCAAAGGGAGACAATTCTGACAGTGACCACCATTTTGAAAAGTTACGCAGGCAAGGTTTCCCAAATGACCATCTCCCAAGGGTGGACAAGTCAGACAATGGCCTAAATATCAATAAGGTGGGCGGAGAAGGTCTCCCCAAAGCAAATCACCCAGTAAAGGTTCTTGAGAAAGATCGCAAGAGTGATGCTGTAAAAAATATTGTAGAGTTCATCCAGGAAAAGATGGCAGCGTCAGATTCTCCAAACAAGGCCTACAACAAAACAATAGCGCCTGTGAGAGAAGTTAAAGACAAGAATTTGACGTCAGCTTCCAACATTGACTACCATGCTCGCAGCCGGGATGAAGCTGAAGTGAAGAGGATACTAAATACAATAGCCCCACTGGCCCATGTGAAAGCCCCAGGTGATTCTGCTTTTCCTTTATATCTTTGTCAGTTTGTTAGTGTTCTGTAAAGGCATGCATTTTAGAATAGTCTGCGCTGTAGGTGAAACATATGTCGTTAATGCGTTCTATATCCATATCTTGTATTGTGTTATTAAGGTGAGTTTGGCAGGGCGGTGCAAGTCCATGTGGAGAGTCTGTCCAAAGAGGAGAAAATCAAGATGGAGGAAGGCTTTAACAGAACCGGATTCAACCTGCACGTCAGCGATCTCATCTCCCTCCGTCGCCGAGTCCCAGATCTCAGGCCGGCTGGGTGAGTGTTTGTTGTCCCTCTACCCTAGGATAGTCCAGCTGCCTCAGCTCAAATGGTCATCGACCAGTCAATACGATGAAGCTGGTATGACAGTCTTATGCTGACAAATGCCTTACCCATATCAGATTGTATTCAAATTTGTATGACCCAAGGAAAGTTTCTCTCAGAAGGAGTATCAATAAACGATACACTCCTCTAGCCCCCAATATCTGCCACGACTATGTATCTAGACCCTCTATATCTGCCACGACTATGTATCTAGGCCCTCTATATCTGCCTCTACTATGTATCTAGACCCTCTATATCTGCCTCTAGTATGTACCTAGCCCCTCTATATCTGCCTCTACTATGTATCTAGCCCCTCTATATCTGCCTCTACTATGTATCTAGACCCTCTATGTCTGCCTCTACTATGCATCTTGCCCCTCTATATCTGCCTTTACTATGTATCTAGACCCTCTATGTCTGCCTCTACTATGTATCTAGACCCTCTATATTTGCCTCTACTATGTATCTTGCCCCTCTATATCTGCCTCTACTATGTATCTAGCCCCTCTATATCTGCCTCTACTATGTACCTAGCCCCTCTACATCTGCCTCTACTATGTACCTAGCTCCTCTATATCTGCCTCTAGTATGTATCCAGACCCTCTATATCTGCCTCTACTATGTATCCAGACCCTCTATATCTGCCTCTACTATGTACCTAGCCCCTCTATATCTGCCTCTACTATGTACCTAGCTCCTCTATATCTGCCTCTAGTATGTACCTAGCTCCTCTATATCTGCCTCTAGTATGTATCCAGACCCTCTATATCTGCCTCTAGTATGTATCCAGACCCTCTATATCTGCCTCTAGTATGTATCCAGACCCTCTATATCTGCCTCTACTATGTATCTACCCCTCTATATCTGCCTCTACTATGTATCTAGACCCTCTATATCTGCCTCTACTATGTATGTAGCCCCTCTATATCTGCCTCTACTATGTATCTAGACCCTCTATATCTGCCTCTACTATGTATCTAGACCCTCTATATCTGCCTCTACTATGTATGTAGACCCTCTATATCTGCCTTTACTATGTATTTAAACCCTCTATATCTGCCTCTTCTATGTATCTAGACCCTCTATATCTGGCTCTACTATGTATCTAGACCCTCTATATCTGGCTCTACTATGTATCTAGACTCTCTATATCTGGCTCTACTATGTATCTAGCTCCTCTATATCTGCCTCTACTATGTATCTAGACCCTCTATATCTGCCTCTACTATCTATCTAGCCCCTCTGTATCTGCCTCTACTATCTATCTAGACCCTCTATATATGGCTCTACTATGTATCTAGACCCTCTATGTCTGCCTCTACTATGCATCTTGCCCCTCTATATCTGCCTTTACTATGTATCTAGACCCTCTATGTCTGCCTCTACTATGTATCTAGACCCTCTATATCTGCCTCTACTATGTATCTAGCCCCTCTATATTTGCCTCTACTATGTATCTTGTCCCTCTATATCTGCCTCTACTATGTATCTAGCCCCTCTATATCTGCCTCTACTTTGTATCCAGACCCTCTATGTCTGCCTCTAGTATGTATCTAGACCCTCTATATCTGCCTCTACTATGTATCTAGCCCCTCTATATCTGCCTCTACTATGTATCTAGCCCCTCTATATCTGCCTCTACTATGTATCCAGACCCTCTATGTCTGCCTCTACTATCTATCTTGCCCCTCTATATCTGCCTCTACTATGTATCTAGCCCCTCTTTATCTGCCTCTACTATGTATCCAGACCCTCTATGTCTGCCTCTACTATGTATCTTGCCCCTCTATATCTGCCTCTACTATCTATCTAGCCCCTCTATGTCTGCCTCTACTATGTATCTTGCCCCTCTATATCTGCCTCTACTATCTATCTAGACCCTCTATATATGGCTCTACTATGTATCTAGACCCTCTATGTCTGCCTCTACTATGCATCTTGCCCCTCTATATCTGCCTCTAGTATGTACCTAGCTCCTCTATATCTGCCTCTAGTATGTACCTAGCTCCTCTATATCTGCCTCTACTATGTATCTAGCCCCTCTATATTTGCCTCTACTATGTATCTTGCCCCTCTATATCTGCCTCTACTATGTATCTAGCCCCTCTATATCTGCCTCTACTATGTATCCAGACCCTCTATGTCTGCCTCTACTATGTATCTAGACCCTCTATATCTGCCTCTACTATGTATCTAGCCCCTCTATATCTGCCTCTACTATGTATCTAGACCCTCTATATCTGCCTCTACTATGTATCCAGACCCTCTATATCTGCCTCTACTATGTATCTAGCCCCTCTTTATCTGCCTCTACTATGTATCCAGACCCTCTATGTCTGCCTCTACTATCTATCTAGCCCCTCTATATCTGCCTCTACTATCTATCTAGCCCCTCTATATCTGGCTCTACTATGTATCTTGTCCCTCTATATCTGCCTCTACTATGTATCTTGACCCTCTATATCTGCCTCTACTATGTATCTAGCCCCTCTTTATCTGTCTCTACTATGTATCAAGACCCTCTATATCTGCCTCTACTATGTACCTAGCCCCTCTACATCTGCCTCTACTATGTACCTAGCTCCTCTATATCTGCCTCTAGTATGTATCCAGACCCTCTATATCTGCCTCTACTATGTATCCAGACCCTCTATTTCTGCCTCTACTATGTACCTAGCCCCTCTATATCTGCCTCTAGTATGTACCTAGCTCCTCTATATCTGCCTCTAGTATGTACCTAGCTCCTCTATATCTGCCTCTAGTATGTATCCAGACCCTCTATATCTGCCTCTAGTATGTATCCAGACCCTCTATATCTGCCTCTACTATGTATCTAGCCCCTCTTTATCTGCCTCTACTATGTATCTAGACCCTCTATATCTGGCTCTACTATGTATGTAGCCCCTCTATATCTGCCTCTACTATGTATCTAGACCCTCTATATCTGCCTCTACTATGTATCTAGACCCTCTATATCTGCCTCTACTATGTATCTAGCCCCTCTATATCTGCCTCTACTATGTATGTAGACCCTCTATATCTGCCTTTACTATGTATTTAAACCCTCTATATCTGCCTCTACTATGTATCTAGACCCTCTATATCTGCCTCTACTATGTATCTAGACCCTCTATATCTGGCTCTACTATGTATCTAGACTCTCTATATCTGGCTCTACTATGTATCTAGCTCCTCTATATCTGCCTCTACTATGTATCTAGACCCTCTATATCTGCCTCTACTATCTATCTAGCCCCTCTGTATCTGCCTCTACTATCTATCTAGACCCTCTATATATGGCTCTACTATGTATCTAGCCCCTCTATATCTGGCTCTACTTTGTATCTAGCCCCTCTATATGTGCCTCTTGTATGTATCCCGACCCTCTTTATCTGCCTCTACTATGTATCTTGACCCTCTATATCTGCCGCGACTATGTATCTTGTCCCTCTATATCTGCCTCTACTATGTATCTTGACCCTCTATATCTGCCTCTACTATGTATTTAGACCCTCTATATCTGCCTTTACTAAGTCTTTAGACCCTCTATATCTGCCTCTACTACGTATCTAGACCCTCTATATCTGGCTCTACTATGTATATAGACCCTCTATATCTGGCTCTACTATGTATCTAGCCCCTCTATATCTGCCTCTACTATGTATCTAGACCCTCTATATCTGCCTCTACTATCTATCTAGCCCCTCTATATCTGCCTCTACTATGTATCTAGACCCTCTATATCTGCCTCTACTATGTATCTAGACCCTCTATATCTGCCTCTACTATCTATCTAGCCCCTCTATATCTGCCTCTACTATGCATCTTGCCCCTCTATATCTGCCTCGACTATGTATCTAGACCCTCTATATCTGCCTCTACTATGTATCTTGACCCTCTATATCTGCCTCTACTATGTATCTAGACCCTCTATATCTTCCTACTATGTATCTAGACCATCTATATCTGCCTCTACTATGTATCTAGACCCTCTATATCTGGCTCTACTATGTATCTAGACCCTCTATATCTGGCTCTACTATGTATATAGACCCTCTATATCTGGCTCTACTATGTATTTAAACCCTCTATATCTGCCTCTACTATCTATCTAGCCCCTCTATATCTGCCTCTACTATCTATCTAGACCCTCTATATCTGCCTCTACTATGTATCTAGACCATCTATATCTGCCTCTACTATGTATCTAGCCCCTCTATATCTGCCTCTACTATGTATCTAGACCCTCTATATCTGCCTCTACTATCTATCTAGCCCCTCTATATCTGCCTCTACTATCTATCTAGCCCCTCTATATCTGGCTCTACTATGTATCTAGACCCTCTATATCTGCCTCTACTATGTATCTAGACCATCTATATCTGCCTCTACTATGTATCTAGCCCCTCTATATCTGCCACGACTATGTATCTCGCTCAAGTAGGACTTACACCTTGCCGGAGTTTGGGCCATGTGACTCGACGAACAGCTTGGTGTATCTAAATGTTAAATTAAAGAAAGGGACGATTTATGCCTGTAAAGATATTACATTCATTAATAATGATATTATATTATCATAAATCTGCATCCAATGTACCCAGGTGCCGGCGGATAGTGTACCCAGACGACCTGCCTGCCACCAGCATCGTCATCTGCTTCCACAACGAGGCTTGGTCCACTCTCATCAGGACAGTGTTCAGCGTCCTCGACAATACACCACAACATCTCCTACAAGAAGTCATCCTCGTGGACGATGCCTCTGACCACCGTGAGATCATCACATGCATATACTTCACTTATTTCACTTACTTGACGAACCATTGCTCGACAATAATAGTTCTGAGCATCTTATCCATCACATGATGCTGTCCCTAACAATACATGGAACTCATTCGGAGCCTGCATCCCTGCCCTAATTCACAAACCTCGGTTTTCAGTTGTAAAGATCGTTAGTGGTTGAACATTTACGTGAAACAACTACTATGCTTTAGTTCACATTAAGCGATTACACATTAATTGTTTTAACTGAATCTGGTTCTTCTCCTTACATCGCTATGACCACCCACCCCAAATAGATGCCAATAAATGTCACGTGGTTCATTGAAGGGGTACAATGAAGGACTGTGCCGCCCAAATGAATAGTTGCACACAATTGTATGCTTGAAACTGGCCAATCACAAGATACAGTTGCCAAACACTTTGAAAAATCTCAAGTGTGATATACCGACTGATGGAACGATGTCGGCAAACGGGTAGGGTTAGGATTAGGGTGGAAAGAGGGAGGCCTAGAAAGACTACTCCCAGGCAGGATCGATATGGCCGCACCATTCCTTTGAGGAACGGATTCATTTCTGCAGCAGAACTGAGGGACAACTTCAGTTCTGAAAACTGCGGGCCTGAAATCAAGAGAAATCCTTCAAGAGAAATGCGTCTGACTGTGGCACACGGGCGCCTCAGACAACAGTGAGCACAATAGTTTGGAGGTCACCAACAGCGACATTGGAGATACACCATGTTTCCTGATGAATCGTGTTTGGAGACGGCATGGAGAGAAGTACAATCCGGCAGCAGTACAAGAGCACGATAATTACGGAGGTGACAGCATCATGGTCTCAGCTGGTATCACACACGACAACCGGACGGATGCGAGGGGACATGACCGGCCAACTTTATGTGGACCATTTCTTATGTTCCGTTGTCGTCCCATTTAGCCAGTAGGTCACAACTGTGTTCCAGGATGACAACGCACATCCTCACAGAGCTCGTGATGCAGTCGACTGTCTCAGACAGCAAGGTTATACAACATTGTCTTGGCCAGCCACATCTCCAGACCGATTGGACACTTCTGGGATTTTCTGGGCCGAAGGGTTCGCAAACGACCTCAGGTTGTACAGGCCTTACAAGAAGACTAAGATTACCATGGGAGACAATTTGATACCCAATATTTCCGGAAGATGTCGTGCCTGCATCGATGCTCACGAGGCATGGACCAGAAATTGAATGTGCTTTGCACATTGAATTCCACAACGTCATTTACATAGCATTTCTCAATATATGTGGGGGTTCTCTTTACTATTGTTCCCAGTATACATAGAATATTGTGACTTACTGAAGAATAATGACGTTTGCGTTCAAATAAGTCTAGCTGTTTTTCTCTCCCCAGCGTCACTAGGTTCCTCGCTGGAGGAGTACCTTCGCCCACTGCCCAAGGTGAAGCTAGTGAGGGCCTCCTCTAGAGTGGGCTTGATAGGGGCCCGACTACTGGGCGTGGCTGCCGCTACTGCCCCCGTCCTCACCTTCCTTGACTCACACGTGGAGTGTATGAAAGGTAGGGGCATATAGTCGAGTGTAGGAAGGGTTGGGACAAGAACTAGAGTGTCTGAAAGTTACATGCAGGAAGATCTAGAGTTTGCTTGTATTTGCAAGGTCATTTTCATGTGACGGCACCGCTAGTTTTCCAGGTTGCGTGTAACTGGATTAGGGCCAAAGTATCACAAATTACAAATTCACCTACCGCAGATCAGAACACCCTTCAGCAACTTTTTTATGTAGAGACATTGGATGTTAATACAGTTTGAATTCCTAGTATTAGTCTGTTCGTGGCATATACTAATGTTTGTCATCGCATCGCTTCTAATTGATGACACTTCATGTTATAATGAAGAACTTGTAACTGTTGAAGACTGGCTGCGACCAATGCTGCATCGTATTAAGGACGATGAATTCACTGTTACCTACCCCGTCATCAACGGCATCGACAACAAGGACTTCAACATCTACCAAGTAGAAGTGTACTACCACGGTCTGTTCAACTGGGTGGATCTGACCTACTTCCCCAGTCCACTCACACTAAGTATGATGAGGAAACGGAAGTCAGCTACAGCGCCGATCATGTAAATATATTTGACTGTGCATAGAGGATGCTGCAGTGCAGATAGTTGTCAACATCAATCCTATTTATTCTTCTTGAGCAGCCTTCTCCTCAATTTAAACCTCAACTTCATTCAATCTGTTTGTAAATCTGTCTTCCGCAGTACATTGGTCTGATGGTCCCACAATGCAATACATTGTTTCGGTAGTGTCCCTGTGGACTTCAGGATGTATATACCTTGTTTGATAAGCACCTATATCTCCCCTCTGCCCTCCCAGGTCACCCACAATGCCTGGCGGGATATTCAGCATCAGCAGACGATACTTCCATCTTCTCGGCGGCTACGACCCTGGACTCAAAGTCTGGGGCGGGGAAAACATTGAACTGTCTTTCAAGGTATGTACAAAGCAGACTAGGACATACTTAACATGGACTCATAAATCTGTCAGGAATATTGACCATTCTTTTGGACGTTACTTGTTTATTTCGTAATTACCTCTTAGAACGTTTTATTTTTTCTTAGTAAGACCTAATCTAAAATCGAAGACAATAAATGAAACTTGTTCATTATGTAAGACGGGAATCGAACCTCCTGATCAGTAGTCAGACACTCCAACCATTATACCACAGAACTGATTGAATGCGTGGTTCATTAGAAGGTCCCATGTTTGGCGAATATGTCTTGGCCAGTTATATCTTACAAGCGTTCCTTTAGACTGTTGTAACGCATATTTATACATACTACGTAAGACATATTAATAAATGTTGTTTCAACGGTTCATATGCTATATATATAAAACACCTCCGACAGCAGTCACCTCGCTAGTCCAACTCACGTTCTCAGCCTCACAGGCTCGGCCACTGCACCCCTCAGGGTTAACTATACCAACCCCAAACACCGGAGTCGTGTTTTATCCTGTAATACACTGACTGTATCTGGCCTGGCGTGGCGTCACTCTGTTGCAGACGTGGATGTGTAACGGCACAGTGGAGCTGCTGCCCTGTTCCCACTTGGCGCACATCTTCCGCACGACCAACCCTAATCTGGGTAAAGATGCCTTCAAGACAGTACTGAACAACGCCATGAGAGTGGCGTACGTGTGGATGGATGAGTATAAATACCTGTTCTTCCATAACGTCGTCAGAAATCACGTTACGGTGAGTAGTTTCATACCAATTAGATGATCTAGTGATATACTGCATTTTCTTCACACACATGAACACCAGGGTGATATTCTCGAGATATATAGCATTTTCTTCACACATATAAACACCAGGGTGATATTCTAGAGATATACAGCATTTTCTTCACATATATAAACACCAGGGTGATATTCTAGAGATATATAACATTTTCTTCACACATATAAACACCAGGGTGATATTCTAGAGATATATAACATTTTCTTCACATATATAAACACCAGGGTGATATTCTAGAGATATATAACATTTTCTTCACACATATAAACACCAGGGTGATATTCTAGAGATATATAACATTTTCTTCACATATATAAACACCAGGGTGATATTCTAGAGATATATAACATTTTCTTCACACATATAAACACCAGGGTGATATTCTAGAGATATATAACATTTTCTTCACATATATAAACACCAGGGTGATATTCTAGAGATATATAACATTTTCTTCACACATATAAACACCTGGGTGATATTCTAACGATATATATCAAATGACGTTCATCAAGAAATATTCCAACTTGTGTTGAACTGTTATGTACTGAAAGGTTCTTTGATCAATTTTGTCACATGTGACATTTTGTCAAGGTAAGATACCCTGTGAAGATAAGAAGTGAGAAGTAAGAGGTTGTGTAGAGTTTTTCTCAGATCTTTGAGATATCTTATCTGGTTTTAATGAGATTGCGTATCGGAGTAAGAGACCTGATATTAATGTTTGTTTGCTGTTTAACGCCGCACTATTTCAGCTATATGAGGGCGGTCTGTAAATAATCGAATCTGCACCAGAAAATCAACTGATTGACATCATGAGCATCGAGCTATACGATACGATGGGATACGATGATATAATTTCATCGAACCTGACCACCCGATCCCGTTAGTCGCCTAGTACAACACGCATGAGTTGCTGATGACCAATTCTAATTTTCATGAGATTGCACCACTGGGGAACAACAAAACATGGCGCCCGTGTTAGGCTAGTGTAGCTCCTATACTGTAACATACACGTACAACAGTTGTAGCTCCTGGTGAAAACGTAATTTGTCAGGTGCCAGAAGTATAAACCAACTTACGAGTGTCTTTAACCTCCTTTGCCGAGACAAGACATATGAGCTGATATAGAGACGAGCCTTTCGATCATCCATTCATCATTTGGCATTACCAAGTTCTCGGAAACCACGGGCAATACTCCTCCAACTCGAGCTTGTTGTAACCCTTTTATAAACTACGTCACACCCAGCATTCAATATAACAACTTTTTCTGCCAAACTCCTCGATGAGCGACAGTACACACGGCTCAGGTTGCTAATTTCACACCTGTTGGGGTGTTTTTCTCACATTCATTTCATATTATTTAATAAATTTACTTAAAGCCTCAGTTTGGGGATGTTTCTGGACGGGTTTCGCTCCGGAAGAAGTTGCAGTGTAAATCCTTTCATTGGTATATGAAGGAAGTGGCCACCGACCTGTATGCTCCTATCTCGGCAGTCGCACTCAACAAGGTGAGGTATATAGTAGAATCTCTCCTCTACAACCTGTCCGATACACATGACGTACGGTAGGATCTCTCCTCTACACAAAGGCCTATACACGTGACGTACGGTAGGATCTCTCATCTACACACAGGTCTATACACATAAATATAGTAGGATCTCCTCTACACACAGAGCGATACACATGACATATAGTAGGATCTCCTCTGCACACAGGCCGATACACATGACGTATAGTAGGATCTCCTCTACACACAGGGCGATACACATGAAATATAGTAGGATCTCCTCTACACACAGGGCGATACACATGACATATAGTAGGATCTCCTCTACACACAGGGCGATACACATGACATATAGTAGGATCTCCTCTACACACAGGCCGCTACACATGACGTATAGTAGGATCTCCTCTACACACAGGCCGCTACACATGACGTATAGTAGGATTTCCTCTACACACAGGCCGCTACACATGACGTATAGTAGGATTTCCTCTACACACAGGCCGCTACACATGACGTATAGTAGGATTTCCTCTACACACAGGCCGCTACACATGACGTATAGTAGGATCTCCTCTACACACAGGCCGCTACACATGACATATAGTAGGATCTCCTCTATACACAGGCCGCTACACATGACGTATAGTAGGATCTCCTCTACACACAGGCCGCTACACATGACGTATAGTAGGATCTCCTCTATACACAGGCCGCTACACATGACGTATAGTAGGATCTCCTCTATACACAGGCCGCTACACATGACGTATAGTAGGATCTCCTCTACACACAGGCCGCTACACATGACGTATAGTAGGATCTCCTCTACACACAGGCCGCTACACATGACGTATAGTAGGATCTCCTCTACACACAGGCCGCTACACATGACGTATAGTAGGATCTCCTCTACACACAGGCCGCTACACATGACGTATAGTAGGATCTCCTCTACACACAGGCCGCTACACATGACGTATAGTAGGATCTCCTCTATACACAGGCCGCTACACATGACGTATAGGACTCCTGTAAAACTAGCGCTGTGCTCTAGAACTCACTGTAATTGACAGCATCACCTCACACGTTGCATGACATAACTAATGAGTAATATATGATAATATGTTTGTGTATAGAGAGTAAATATGGCACACTGTGTAAATACATAGGCAAGCTGAATATGATTTCAACAGGACTGTATTTCTCACAACCGCTTAGTTTGTCGGTACGTTTCTTGATTGGACATTGAACACTGTCTGTAATAGGTCATTGAACACTGTGTGTAACAGGTCATTGAATACTGTCTGTAACAGGTCATTGAACACTGTCTGTAACAAGTCATTGAACACTGTCTGTAACAGGTCATTGAACACTGTCTGTAACAGGTCATTGAACACTGTCTGTAACAGGTCATTGAACACTGTCTGTAACAAGTCATTGAACACTGTCTGTAACAGGTCATTGAACACTGTCTGTAACAAGTCATTGAACACTGTCTGTAACAGGTCATTGAACACTGTCTGTAACAAGTCATTGAACACTGTCTGTAACAGGTCCTACACCAGGACGCATTGTCCGTGTAGAGCAATGTATTCCAGGAGCCATTGGTGGACAAGAGGAACTGGAAAACAAGGATTATAGTCGGTACCTTGTTACGAATTAATTTTATTGCCAGTGCGATGAGTGACGGAGACCTTCATTTGCAGATAGTGAACGTGAAGTTCGATAACTACTGCCTGACACATTCCATCTACTACCCAAAGGTGTGGTGTGGGCCCTGCGACAACTTCATCCAGCAGCAGGTTAGTCATATAGATAACAACTGCTCAACAAATTATGCATAGTATTGCCATTTGTCCGTTTGTGATTTTATAAAAGGAAGCAGATTCTGAACCTCACCAAAAGCTTCGCGTCATTATTGATACAAGTAAGGGTCCTGGGGACCTGCAGTGCCGCAGACCTAGGGGCCCTTCATCACGGGTAGCATCAATGTGTAAACTCACTGCTGTGATGCGTCTTTCAGAAAGTCTGGTATTTAGACAACGGTCAGCTATTGGCTGGCGTTCTTTGGAGGGAGAAACCATGGATGTGCCTCGTGGCCAACTCGACAGAACTGGTAATGTCAGAAAGGTGCGACGCCATCAAACAACGCCGACAGTGGACATACACACACGTGCGTACTCAGATGTTCATTTCGGTGATTTTACTCTCATAATTACCACAGCCAACGTTCACATATGGTCGCACTCGGTATCAGCCGTGTTTCAAAGCGTGGACGCCATGCATGGAAAGGGCAATGTTGCACATGCAGAGAGATATATAAGATAACAGCGTTTTGCTGAAAGATGATGTTACTTTCTAGATAAATCTGCCGTTAACAACATTAATTACAACAGAATTGATACTGTGACCCGACTTGCCAATCAGGTGCAGTTATTCTACCAAGGCATAGTATGAGAGAGTATGACCTGTTTGTCCACTTTACCTACGAGACTACATGCCTGTTATACACTAGGATGTAAGAAGTACACGTCATTGCATGATAACTATACGTGGAGAAATTGTATTTAAGGCTCTCAATATTTATTCGATTTTGTACATTTTGTTTGAATGTTTAATTTAATAGTATTTTGAAATGTACTGTGCCCTTATGTAAATGTTTTAGTTAATATCCACGAGAACTGAGGTTATTCAAATCCCTATCATCATACACATATATATTTGTTAGATCTCTCAGTTTAAATGGATGGCCATTAATAAATCCCCATTTCTTACTGTGATAATTGAGAACCATACAATATCTTGATTTTGTCCACTTTTAATTTGCGTAGTAAACCTTGTAACGTATTGACATAACATCTACCTTGAATGTCTGACTTTAGATTTCTACCAGTGTATAGGTTTATGTACAGTACACCACCACCATACTGATGTAGTCTGTAGCGCTTCCCCGAGTCACGGCACTCTCGTGTGTGACAGATCCCTCGTGGCCGCTTTATCATTCGTAAATGTGAAAACTAATGTAAACTTGTTTTGTGATGTCATTGCAGGAGAATACTATTCTGAACACTTTACATAAGAAGTGTATAGAGTTGATCCCCGGGAAGCCCCTGGTCCTGACCGAATGTACCGGAGTCCCGTCCCAGAAGTGGGTGCTCCAACAACCGTCATACAAACTCGCTACACACCCCATAAGGCTCTAGCCGCCTCCATGTTACAATCAGTCAATGTGTTGAATGTAATTCACTTAGGCATTTTACAAATTGACTGAAAATTCTGTCTATTTATTAAAACATCCCAATGGACTAATTATGCTAGTATTTGAAGCAAAAATTCTTTTAATCCTATCATTTTCTATCACTGGCGGATTAAATTAACGATAAAAAATATTTTCATCATAAAATACATGTGCTACAGCATACATGGACAGATTTTTCAGTTAATTTTTATTTATTTTTATGCGCTTTATCAATTATCTAAGTGAAAGTTGAGAGTGGTCCGTCTTATCGGAAGAAAGGCTTGTATACCTTGACACTGGCGGTGCATGTCAGTTATTCATTAAGCAATAGTGATATATGTACACACAAGAGTAAATATGAAGTATATAAGTGCGACGGATCGTGTGTATACGTGTATATGTTAACGTTATGGTTGAATGTCTTGTTTTGTAGTGTAGTGCTACTTTAGTTAAAATAACAATAAAGACGTTTTACTACAATGAAATTTCACATTGTTTTTGTTGTTAAATGAAGGGTATAGCCATCGTCTGCATGGCCATCTTTCAAGGTGGACGATTGTGTGACATAGTCCAGAGCCATACAGGCACAGAGGACTTCGCCATCTCTTGCTAAATTGGAAGTACCAGGCTGAGGCAAGCTTAGATTATATCCTTGATCCTTCTCGCAGGTGTAGTTAATTACACAGGGGGTGGTGGAATGGTTTGCCCACCACATCGTACAGAGATACAGTGGTTGAATGATCCACCGACCACATCGTACCAAGGTACATTGGTTGATTGGTTCAACCACCACATCCTACATAGGTACAGTGGTTGAATGATCCACCCACCACATCGTACATAGGTACAGTGGTTGAATGATCCACCCACCACATCGTACATAGGTACAGTGGTTGAATGATCCACCCACCACATCGTACATAGGTACAGTGGTTGAATGATCCACCCACCACACCGTACATAGGTACAGTGGTTGAATGATCCACCCACCACATCGTACATAGGTACAGTGGTTGACTGGTCCACCCACCACACCGTACATAGGTACAGTGGTTAAATCATGATCCACCCACCACATCGTACATAGGTACAGTGGTTGAATGATCCACCAACCACATCGTACATAGGTACAGTGGTTGACTGGTCCACCCACCACACCGTACATAGGTACAGTGGTTGAATGATCCACCCACCACATCGTACATAGGTACAGTGGTTGACTGGTCCACCCACCACACCGTACATAGGTACAGTGGTTGAATGATACACCCACCACATCGTACATAGGTGCAGTGGTTGAATGGTCCACAAATAAGGTGAATATGCTGTGATCGAATTCAAAACATTCAGATATATAATCTCAGCGGAATTTTAGGGCTTGCGCGAAACTGTAAAAGTATGTTGTGGAAAGGTCTTAAGACAAACAAAACCAAGAACGTAATATTAATAATTCCCATTCGAATTTCACACTAAATGCAATAAATCAAGATGCATTGGTCTAAATTCCACAACAGGACCAAACATCAAAACACGCCCTAAACCATATAATGTGTATGTTATTTCATTCAAAACAAATAATCATACATGCAAATATGGCAAAACGCCCCCTCCCCCTCCAAAATCATCTTTGGCTTTGTTTTTTCAGATCAAGTGTACAATAATCACGACATAAGCTCATTTTAACTTAGTTCAGGTAAACACAACTGGTGGAAAACTGGTGGAGTCTCCTGACGTCTGGGGATGTTTTCAATGGGGTGGCGATGATGCAGGTAAGACACCATGGGCCTAGATGTTATTACAGAGTTGTTGAATGTGTACCTTTGACTGGTTGACGGACAATAGCTAATGTACCACGCTGTAAATATACATTCACTTTTATTATTACATAGCGTAGACGTCATCCTACCGTAACGTTCTTAAGGAACGTTGCAAAAACGCCGTCAAAGTATCCACAAAAACTATGACCATGTTTCTAGCCTCATGGACCCAGTGCCTAGGTACCCCACGCCATGCATTGTGAATGAAGGCGAAAACAAAGGATACATTTAATGATTGAAAATATGCTTGACCAGTCTGCACACTTAACCACGAGTAATGGAATGTAATTATTTTTGCGCAGTTAATACATATGAACACAAACCGGCAATGAAACATCTCTTAAGCCATGAACACATTTAGCAAAAGCGTGTCCCACCATACTGCAGTCAGACCGGGAAATGAGTACATGCTGCGGACATTCTAGTTGCTATCGTCCACTAAATACGAGTGCAGCCATGTTAAAGTGAACACTTATACTTTGGGTAAATGTCCTGGTATCAATCGAATAACCATTTGTACTTTTCTTACTGGTAGATTTCCAACAAACCGTGAACATAACCTCCCGCACTTTGCGGCTAGCGCTGAGCATGCATAGTGCTGACAACTGTGAAACACCTGGGCACAGTCGATGTTGGAGGAGTCTGTGCATCCATCACACATGGGAATAAAGCCTGATCTCACTAGTGGGAAAAAACTGTTTTCTCTTGTAGTCATAACACCTGACCTCCTCACTACAGCAGGGAAGTACTGTATACAATTTCAGAGGGCGTTTAACAGAGGAAGTGTATTATCCCGTTAAAGTCACGTTTCCTTCGCTACCTGGAGATTCACTCGAAGATTACGACATTAAGCCCATGTCAACTCGATGTACTGACAAGCACAGTTTCCGCGTTTCCTAAATGCAATGGCAGGGTTAGCGAAGTTCATTTGACAGGTCATTTGCCGATATCTTTTGTGTATGTAATGGTGGACATGAAAGCGATAGACTGAACGCCTGGACAGTGAAGGGACACACATGTCGTGGAGTGTATGGAAGGTAGGGACGTGTCATGGAGTGTATGAAAGGTAGGGACGTGTCGTGGAGTGTATGAAAGGTAGGGACGTGTCGTGGAGTGTATGGAAGGTAGGGACGTGTCTTGGAGTGTATGAAACGTGGGGACTCGAGAGGTTTGTATGAAAGCCAGGGACATATGTCTTCCTGTTTACGCCGGGGACAATATGTGCTAGACTATGTCAGTAAAATGTAATTGAATATAATATTATATAGTAATAGAACAATAATTATGTCCTTCAACAAATTCAGAATTTATTTACAGTGGTATCCCATGATTTGTTTGTTGTTTAACGCCGCACTTAGCAAGATTCCAGCTATATGACAGCGGTCTGTAAATAATCGAATCTGGACCAGACAATCCAGTGATTGAGATCATGAGCATCGACCCACGCAATTAGGATACGGATACATGCATAAACCAAGTCAGCGAGCCTGACCACCCGAAACCGTTAGTGCTACGACAAGTATAGTTGCCTTTTATGGCAAGCATGAGATGCCGAAGACCTATTCTACCCTGGATCTTCACGGGCGGGCATCCCATGAGGCTAGCACGCGGTAACTCAGTTACCGTTACAGTTCCACCTAGGGTATTCATAGTGCCCTTGTCTTAAATGCTCTAACTCAAATGTCTAAGTGTTTGTTTATATGGTCTAGCTAATGCCAAAATTAAGCATTTATGTTCCCAATAGATACTGAACGAAGACGTGATACAAAACATTTTAATCGAAATAGAGGGAGAAAAGAGTCCGTCCCTGGATGATATAAAGGTGAGACAACACTGATACAGTCAGCGACCAGTCCACGTGGTAGGGGATTTACTGCAGTGCGTGACACGGTCATTGAGTTCTAGGGATCGGGATATCACTGTATGGTGAGTGAGTGAGCGTGTGAGTAAGGTTTTATGCCGCTTTTAGCAATATTCCAGCAATATCACGGCGGGGCCCAGACATGGGCTCACACGTTGTGCCCAGGTGGTGGATCGAACCGGGTCGTCGGTATGACGAGCGAACACTTAACCACCAGGCTACTCCACCGCCCTCGCTGTGTTGAGATGGGTACGCCCAATAATGTAACGCCGCGATTGGTGACGGTGGCAGCGAGCGGACGTTTTCAGCGTCAAATTACACATATTTAGAGGTTGTAACATTCGATATGCACAGATATTCAGCTGAAGTGTGTAGATGTATAATGTGCAAACACCATTTTCCACCTTGATTTTGTCCTCTGTTGAATGTAGGTATGATAACTATGTAAGTATTAACACAGTGACGTTACGGAAACAAACTGTCAGCACTGCCCGGGAACCTGTGATGACACCTGCCGACGTACAGCGGTAAGGTCGCCAATCGGATTGTCGCTGCGAAGAAGATGCCCCAGCGGTGCACCTTCTACTTCAAGGTGTTGTTCTTCATGGCCGCTCTGTGCTTCCTTGTATTGATACAAGTTGTCATCGTCAGTGAACATTATCCAAGTATTGAATCACACAACAATGTACATTACACTGCATCAGATACACTATATACAACTGTATCAGAGCCGAGTGACATTGAAGCAGCACTAGAGGCACTTGTGAGGGAGAAACTGGACGAACTGGAAGCACAACGCCCGTCTGACGCTCCCGGTAAGTGGTGGTCAATGACTTTTATAAAGCGACGCCAGATCTTAACGTACATGGAATTTAATATTTTGATATATTTAAAATTTGAGTTTTTATGAATGTTCGGTGCTACTGCTAGGGATGCGAATGAGAGAAGTACCTAATCCTTCACAGTGAAATCAATATTGGAGTTGAGCTTTAATTATAACTTCAACATTTGCCTCCAGGAGAACTGGGCAATGCGGTAACTATCAACCATTCAATGCTCACTGACGGACAGAGGGCGAAGATGGCGGAAGGATATGAGAAGCATGGTTTTAATGAATATGTCAGCGACATGATTTCCCTCCGCCGTCGAACACCGGACTTCCGGCCGAGCATGTACGTTGTCTCTACACTGCTGGTGAAGTACTGACATGGCGGCCAGGAGTGCCTCCATACAATTAACTCAACAGCGTGTGACTGTGTTCCCCACTGGCATTGTTCGTTTTCACCTGTGTCGGGGTGAAGGGAGAACCCTACTTAGGGACTGGTCATAATAAAGGGGTGGTGTGGGGGCGGGGTGGTGGTGTTGGGGTGAGATTCATCTTTGGACTGTATCATATATGCTGACCCCCCAAGTTTTGTCACATTTCTAACAAATAATGTTCAAATAAACAAATAAACAAATAAACAAATAACAAATAAATACATGTCCCATTCCATATCAAGTCTTATCTCTGTTCCTTACGGTGTCGTGGTCCTCTGAGTTGTCTGAGGAATCGTCATACAGTCTTCAGGGTTGTCTGCCTGCATCGTGCCACGATCCACATGTCGTGGGTTGTAAACTTCTTCCTGATTGTATAATCTTTGGTCAAAACCATATCCGTGCCCATGATTTCCACCAAAGTGACAAAAAGTCAAACATGAGCATCAGCCTGGGCTTCCCTCTCACATTCAGCTGATGCGTCGTCATGACAACTCCAGTACGAAATCTTACTGAAGAACGACGCGTATGTGATGATACTACCGCCATTTCTTCTCCCGACAGGTGCCGGGGGACAGTGTACCCAGACGACCTGCCTGCCACCAGCATCATCATCTGCTTCCACAACGAGGCTTGGTCCACTCTCATCAGGACAGTGTTCAGCGTCCTCGACAATACACCACAACATCTTTTACAAGAAGTCATCCTCGTGGACGATGCCTCTGACCACCGTAAGCCCATGTCAGACTTAGTTCATTGAAGTCAACACATGTTTCAAAAAACGGTGCTCGTTCGTTTAAACGTCTCACCCCAGCAACTTTCCATGCGTCGGGGTATGATGATTCGCAGTCATCCTAGTTACGGAGCCTGACACCGATATTCATGTAGTCGGCTGTTACGTCCAGCATAGCTTGTTGCGGAGCTGTTCCAACTCGGCATCAACATGGGTCCAAACACGGACGTATGCTTTATGTATTCGTGGGCCAATAAAACAGGCAAATATGCTTTAAACTGTTATCGAAAAAAATAATTACTATTCCTTTACTGATTATAGGATGGATTGACTTGTATATATGTATATATGTGTGTGCATTGAATAGGATATTTTTTGGTCACTAATAATCTCCCGTCCCTAGCGTCACTGGGTTCCTCGCTGGAGGAGTACCTTCGCCCGCTGCCCAAGGTGAAGCTAGTGAGGGCCTCCTCTAGAGTGGGCTTGATAGGGGCCCGACTACTGGGCGTGGCTGCCGCTACTGCCCCCGTCCTCACCTTCCTTGACTCACACGTGGAGTGTATGAAAGGTAGGGGCATATAGTCGATTGTATGAAAGGTAGGGGCATATAGTCGAGTGTATGAAAGGTAGGGGCATATAGTCGATTGTATGAAAGGTCGGGACATGTAGTGGAGTGTCTGAAAGGTAGAGACATGTAGGCGAGTGTATGAAAGGTGGGGATATGTAGCGGTGTGTATGAAAGGAGGGGAAATGTAGCGGTGTGTATGAAAGGTGGGGATATGTTGTGGTGTGTATGAAAGGTGGGAATATGTAGTGGTGTGTATGAAAGGTGGGGATATGTAGTGGAGTGTACGAAAGGAGGGGAAATGTAGTGGAGTGTATGAAAGGTAGGGATATGTAGCGGTGCGTATGAAAGGAGGGGATATGTAGCGGTGCGTATGAAAGGTAGGGATATGTGGGCGAGTGTATGTAAGTTGGGGACATGTAGTTGTATGTATGAAAGGTGGAGATATGTAGTGGAGTGTATGAAAGGTGGGATATGTAGTGGTATGTATGAAAGATGGGATATGTAGTGGAGTGTATGAAAGGTGGGATATGTAGTGGTATGTATGAAAGGTAGGGATATGTAGTGGAGTGTATGAAAGGTGGAGATATGTAGTGGTATGTATGAAAGGTAGGGATATGTAGCGGAGTGTATGAAAGGTAGGGATATGTGGGCGAGTGTATGTAAGTTGGGGACATGTAGTTGTATGTATGAAAGATGGGATATGTAGTGGAGTGTATGAAAGGTGGGATATGTAGTGGTATGTATGAAAGATGGGATATGTAGTGGAGTGTATGAAAGGTGGAGATTTGTAGTGGTATGTATGAAAGGTAGGGATATGTAGCGGTGTGTATGAAAGGTAGGGATATGTGGGCGAGTGTATGTAAGTTGGGGACATGTAGTTGTATGTATGAAAGTCGGGATATGTAGTGGAGTGTATGAAAGGTGGAGATATGTAGTGGTATGTATGAAAGGTAGGGATATGTAGCGGTGTGTATGAAAGGTAGGGATATGTGGGCGAGTGTATGAAAGGAGGGGAAATGTGTTTGAGTGTATGAAAGGAGGGGAAATGTAATGGTGTGTATGAAAGGAGGGGAAATGTAGTGGAGTGTATGAAAGGTGGGGATATGTAGTGGTGTGTATGAAAGGTAGGGATATATAGGCGAGTGTATGTCAGTTCGGGACATGTAGTGGTATGTATGAAAGGTGGGATATGTAGTGGAATGTATGAAAGGTGGGGACATATAGTGGTATGTATGAAAGGTGGGGACATGTAGTGGTATGTATGAAAGGTGGAGATATGTAGTTGTGTGTATGAAAGGTAGGGATATGTAGTGGATTGTATGAAAGGAGGGGACAGGTAGTGGTGTGTATGAAAGGAGGGGAAATGTAATGGTGTGTATGAAAGGAGGGGAAATGTAATGGTGTGTATGAAAGGAGGGGTAATGTATTTGTGTTTTTGAAAGGAGGGGAAATGAAGTGGAGTGTATGAAAGGTGGGGATATGTAGTGGTGTGTATGAAAGGTAGGGATATATAGGCGAGTGTATGTCAGTTCGGGACATGTAGTGGTATGTATGAAAGGTGGGATATGTAGTGGAATGTATGAAAGGTGGGGACATATAGTGGTATGTATGAAAGGTGGGGACATGTAGTGGTATGTATGAAAGGTGGAGATATGTAGTTGTGTGTATGAAAGGTAGGGATATGTAGTGGATTGTATGAAAGGAGGGGACAGGTAGTGGTGTGTATGAAAGGAGGGGAAATGTAATGGTGTGTATGAAAGGAGGGGAAATGTAATGGTGTGTATGAAAGGAGGGGTAATGTATTTGTGTTTTTGAAAGGAGGGGAAATGAAGTGGAGTGTATGAAAGGAGGGGATATGTAGTGGTGTGTATGAAAGGTGGGGATATGTAGTGTTGTGTATGAAAGGAGGGGAAATGTAGTGGAGTGTATGAAAGGAGGGGAAATGTGTTTGAGTGTATGAAAGGAGGGGAAATGTAATGGTGTGTATGAAAGGAGGGGAAATGTAGTGGAGTGTATGAAAGGTGGGGATATGTAGTGGTGTGTATGAAAGGTAGGGATATATAGGCGAGTGTATGTCAGTTCGGGACATGTAGTGGAATGTATGAAAGGTGGGATATGTAGTGGAATGTATGAAAGGTGGGGACATATAGTGGTATGTATGAAAGGTGGGGACATGTAGTGGTATGTATGAAAGGTGGGAATATGTAGCGGTATGTATGAAAGGAGGGGAAATGTAATGGTGTGTATGAAAGGAGGGGTAATGTATTTGTGTGTATGAAAGGAGGGGAAATGTAATGGTGTGTATGAAAGGAGGGGAAATGTAATGGTGTGTATGAAAGGAGGGGTAATGTATTTGTGTTTTTGAAAGGAGGGGAAATGAAGTGGAGTGTATGAAAGGAGGGGATATGTAGTGGTGGGGATATGTAGTGTTGTGTATGAAAGGAGGGGAAATGTAGTGGAGTGTATGAAATGAGGGGAAATATAGTGGTGTGTATGAAAGGAGGGGAAATGTAGTGGAGGTTATGAAAGGAGGGGAAATATAGTGGTGTGTATGATAGGAGGGGAAATGTAGTGGAGTATGAAAGGTGGGGAAATGTAGTGGTGTGTATGAAAGGAGGGGAAATGTAGTGGTGTGTATGAAAGGAGGTGGAATGTATTTGTGTGTATGAAAGGAGGGGAAATGTAGTGGTGTGAATGAAAGGAGGGGACAGGTGGTGTGTATGAAAGGAGGGGAAATGTAGTGGTGTGTATGAAAGGAGGGGAAATGTATTGGTGTGTAGGAAAGGAGGGGATATGTAGTGGAGTGTATGAAAGGAGGGGAAATGTAGTGGTGTGTATGAAAGGAGGGGAAATGTAGTGGTGTGTATGAAAGGAGGGGACAGGTAGTGGAGTGTATGAAAGGAGGGGAAATGTAGTGGTGTGTATGAAAGGAGGGGACAGGTAGTGGTGCGTATGAAAGGAGGGGATATGTAGTGGTGTGTATGAAAGGAGGGGATATGTAGTGGATTGTATGAAAGGAGGGGAAATGTGTTTGTGTGTATGAAAGGAGGGGAAATGTATTTGTGTGTATGAGAGGAGGGGAAATGTAGTGGAGTGTATGAAATGAGGGGAAATGTAGTGAATTTATGAAAGGAGGGGTAATGTAGTGGTGTGTATGAAAAGAGGGGAAATGTAGTGGTGTGTATGAAAGGAGGGAAAATGTAGTGGTGTGTATGAAAGGAGGGAAAATGTAGTGGTGTGTATGAAAGGAGGGAAAATGTAGTTTTGTGTATGAAAGGAGGGAAAATGTAGTGGTGTGTATGAAAGGTGGGGATATGTAGTGGTGTGTATGAAAGGAGGGAAAATGTAGTGGAGTGTATGAAAGGAGGGAAAATGTAGTTTTGTGTATGAAAGGAGGGAAAATGTAGTGGTGTGTATGAAAGGAGGGAAAATGTAGTGGAGTGTATGAAAGGAGGGAAAATGTAGTTTTGTGTATGAAAGGAGGGAAAATGTAGTGGTGTGTATGAAAGGTGGGGATATGTAGTGGAGTGTATGAAAGGAGGGGAAATGTAGTGGTGTGTATGAAAGGAGGGGATATGTAGTGGTGTGTATGAAAGGAGGGGATATGTAGTGGAGTGTATGAAAGGAGGGGATATGTAGTGGTGTGTATGAAAGGAGTGGAAATGTAGTGGTGTGTATGAAAGGAGGGGATATGTAGTTTCTTGTTTGAAAGGAAGGGACATTCAGGAAGATATAGGTCTTAGTTCGTCGAATCAAACGTGGCGTGTATGCAAGGAAGAAATAATTGCGTTAAATGGACTTTAACTCTTATCTTAATACAGTGAGATTGAGAAGACATGTCTAACGTCCTGTGTCGATTCATGGTATAATTTCATAAGAAATAAGGTATTGAAAGAATGTTGAAATAAAGGGGCACATGATAATTCCGACACTCATTGGTCGGCCCTTCGTTGGTCGTTGATATGTGATATTGCTATTTGACGGAAAAACCGACATGGTGACTGAGGTATACTATCCAGATTTGACAACTGCTGTTATCGTGATCAGATTGGCTGCAACCGATGTTGAGCCGTCTTCGAGTCAGCGACCACCATGTCACATACCCAATTGTCCACATCATCAACTACGTGGACTTCAGCATCGAGGAGGTACAGATTGGAACAAGAGGTTTGTTTCACTGGATGGATCTGAGTTACTTCCCTTACAGAGCTCCTGGTCACGTCCTGAGCAGCAGACTTAGTGCAGCGGATCCTATCAGGTATGTACAACACAGGGACAGTGGACGTGTTGCAGTTGACCTCAACAGGTATATACAACACAGGGACAGTGGACGTGGTACAGTTGACCTCAACAGGTATATACAACACAGGGACAGTGGACGTAGTACAGCTGACCTCAACAGGTATATACAACACAGGGACAGTGGACGTGGTGCAGTTGACCTCAACAGGTATATACAACACAGGGACAGTGGACGTGGTACAGCTGACCTCAACAGGTATATACAACACAGGGACAGTGGACGTAGTACAGCTGACCTCAACAGGTATATACAACACAGGGACAGTGGACGTGGTACAGTTGACCTCAACAGGTATATACAACACAGGGACAGTGGACGTGGTGCAGTTGACCTCAACAGGTATATACAACACAGGGACAGTGGACGTAGTACAGCTGACCTCAACAGGTATATACAACACAGGGACAGTGGACGTGGTACAGCTGACCTCAACAGGTATATACAACACAGGGACAGTGGACGTGGTACAGTTGACCTCAACAGGTATATACAACACAGGGAAAGTGGACGTGGTGCAGTTGACCTCAACAGGTATATACAACACAGGGACAGTGGACGTGGTGCAGCTGACCTCAACAGGTATTTACAACACAGGGACAGTGGACGTGGTGCAGTTGACCTCAACAGGTATATACAACACAGGGACAGTGGACGTGGTGCAGTTGACCTCAACAGGTATATACAACACAGGGACAGTGGACGTGGTACAGTTGACCTCAACAGGTATTTACAACACAGGGACAGTGGACGTGGTGCAGTTGACCTCAACAGGTATATACAACACAGGGACAGTGGACGTGGTACAGCTGACCTCAACAGGTATTTACAACACAGGGACAGTGGACGTAGTACAGCTGACCTCAACAGGTATATACAACACAGGGACAGTGGACATGGTACAGTTGACCTCAACAGGTATTTACAACACAGGGACAGTGGACGTGGTACAGTTGACCTCAACAGGTATATACAACACAGGGACAGTGGACGTAGTACAGCTGACCTCAACAGGTATATACAACACAGGGACAGTGGACGTGGTGCAGTTGACCTCAACAGGTATATACAACACAGGGACAGTGGACGTGGTACAGCTGACCTCAACAGGTATATACAACACAGGGACAGTGGACGTAGTACAGCTGACCTCAACAGGTATATACAACACAGGGACAGTGGACGTGGTACAGTTGACCTCAACAGGTATATACAACACAGGGACAGTGGACGTGGTGCAGTTGACCTCTACAGGTATATACAACACAGGGACAGTGGACGTAGTACAGCTGACCTCAACAGGTATATACAACACAGGGACAGTGGACGTGGTACAGCTGACCTCAACAGGTATATACAACACAGGGACAGTGGACGTGGTGCAGCTGACCTCAACAGGTATTTACAACACAGGGACAGTGGACGTGGTGCAGTTGACCTCAACAGGTATGTACAACACAGGGACAGTGGACGTGGTGCAGTTGACCTCAACAGGTATATACAACACAGGGACAGTGGACGTGGTACAGTTGACCTCAACAGGTATTTACAACACAGGGACAGTGGACGTGGTGCAGTTGACCTCAACAGGTATATACAACACAGGGACAGTGGACGTGGTACAGCTGACCTCAACAGGTATTTACAACACAGGGACAGTGGACGTAGTACAGCTGACCTCAACAGGTATATACAACACAGGGACAGTGGACATGGTACAGTTGACCTCAACAGGTATTTACAACACAGGGACAGTGGACGTGGTACAGTTGACCTCAACAGGTATATACAACACAGGGACAGTGGACGTAGTACAGCTGACCTCAACAGGTATATACAACACAGGGACAGTGGACGTGGTGCAGTTGACCTCAACAGGTATATACAACACAGGGACAGTGGACGTGGTACAGCTGACCTCAACAGGTATATACAACACAGGGACAGTGGACGTAGTACAGCTGACCTCAACAGGTATATACAACACAGGGACAGTGGACGTGGTACAGTTGACCTCAACAGGTATATACAACACAGGGACAGTGGACGTGGTGCAGTTGACCTCAACAGGTATATACAACACAGGGACAGTGGACGTAGTACAGCTGACCTCAACAGGTATATACAACACAGGGACAGTGGACGTGGTACAGCTGACCTCAACAGGTATATACAACACAGGGACAGTGGACGTGGTACAGTTGACCTCAACAGGTATATACAACACAGGGAAAGTGGACGTGGTGCAGTTGACCTCAACAGGTATATACAACACAGGGACAGTGGACGTGGTGCAGCTGACCTCAACAGGTATTTACAACACAGGGACAGTGGACGTGGTACAGTTGACCTCAACAGGTATATACAACACAGGGACAGTGGACGTGGTGCAGTTGACCTCAACAGGTATATACAACACAGGGACAGTGGACGTGGTACAGCTGACCTTAACAGGTATTTACAACACAGGGACAGTGGACGTAGTACAGCTGACCTCAACAGGTATATACAACACAGGGACAGTGGACATGGTACAGTTGACCTCAACAGGTATTTACAACACAGGGACAGTGGACGTGGTACAGTTGACCTCAACAGGTATATACAACACAGGGACAGTGGACGTGGTACAGCTGACCTCAACAGGTATTTACAACACAGGGACAGTGGACGTGGTACAGCTGACCTCAACAGGTATATACAACACAGGGACAGTGGACGTGGTACAGCTGACATCAACAGGTATATACAACACAGGGACAGTGGACGTGGTACAGCTGACCTCAACAGGTATATACAACACAGGGACAGTGGACGTAGTACAGCTGACCTCAACAGGTATATACAACACAGGGACAGTGGACGTGGTACAGCTGACCTCAACAGGTATTTACAACACAGGGACAGTGGACGTGGTACAGCTGACCTCAACAGGTATTTACAACACAGGGACAGTGGACGTGGTACAGCTGACCTCAACAGGTATTTACAACACAGGGACAGTGGACGTAGTACAGCTGACCTCAACAGGTATATACAACACAGGGACAGTGGACGTAGTACAGCTGACCTCAACAGGTATGTACAACACAGGGACAGTGGACGTAGTACAGTTGTCCTCACCAGATATATACAACGCGAAAAGCGGATGTGGTGCAAATTACTCCATGAGATATACACATAGATACACTCCATAGATGAATAATTCCATCTCGGCTCAATAATCATCATACATATGAAGACAACTTAGAAAAAAATTTCTAATGGATCTGAGTTACTTCCCTTTCAGGTAAAATAGTCAAATCGACCTCCTGTCAGAAAAAAACACGTGGCAAAATGTTGCCTGCATTTAGAGTCTTGAGTGAAGACAATTAAAATTATTGCCGTCAGTACGCGATGATTATTAATGATTCCTCATGTCTTCTCTCGATCTCAGCCTCATGACCCTGACATATTTGATGTTGAATTTCCAGATCCGCCACAATGCCTGGTGGAATCTTCTCCATGAGCAGACGATACTTCGATCAGCTAGGAGGCTACGACTCGGGCCTCAAGACCTGGGGCAGCGAAAACACAGAACTTTCGTTTAAGGTACATAGATGTTTCATGTTCGAAACATGAATAGTAATATGTTTTGATTGAACTTCTTATTGGGCAGGTTTATGTTCAGCTGGAATTTGTTCGCCATGTTTGGTTTTGAAACCATCAAGTGTTTAGGCGCCTGAGAGATGTATTACAGCAAGGAAAGTATCAGCCCTTGTTTGATGCTGGCTAGAAATGAAACAAACACGATGTTTTTCGGTTATTCGGCTGCTATGTATTTGGTACGGGTATTTTAGGTGCTGTTTGCTAACGTTATGGCGACTTATGTATTATATCAAGGTCATGTCAGAAGGTAACCCGTCATAAGGTTTGTTGAAGCATTTTCTGTAAGTCAATGACCCTTTGCACACATGTCCCTTAGGCCGGGCCGTATTCTGATGGTACACTGAACGGCAAAAGAAACGTCATGTGGATGTATCATATAAATATCTTTATTTTCAAATGCTTATATATGTAAGTAAAGACATCGGAGAAAGTCTGGAGGTAAACTGGTGCCTTTTGATAGTTTGGGATTTTGAAAAAAATATGTTTCGAGTTTCCTTGCCAACAACTTTGACTTAGACTGAAAAATTGCGGTGGTGCTCGTTTCCGGAGCAGATCATGAAAACCGTACAATATTTCTTCACCAAACTTGGCACATAAATAGGTCTGGAGGTAAACTGCTGCCTTTTGATAGTTTGGGATTTTGAAAAAAAATGTATACTTCAAGTTTCCCTGGCAACGACTTTGACTTGGTACAGATCTTGAAAACCGTACCATATTTCTTCACCAAACTTGGCATATAATTAGGTCTAGTGGTAAACTGGTGTCTGTTAAGTTTTTTTAGTATTTTCAGAAGTGACGTTTCTTTTGCCTTTCAGTGTAGTTGTGCGGCAGCATGTCCCGTATCTCTCCAGCAGCCATTTGCATGCCGTGGTTATTATCCCTCGATACGAAGTTTGGGAGTTTTTGCGAATGTTTCCTTAGCAAGAGCATAACTCGGAAACCGTTTAAACATTCTACAAAAATATATACGCAGGGTTGTCCGAGAACGGTTCCCATAAATACCTAATTGAGATGTATACCACTTGACAAAGGAACTTGGACAAGGTATATGGTTAATTATTGTGAAAACACAATTTACAAGTGGAACCCGAACCAGCATACTTCATCACAGTGCATGGTGGTAACATGCAATACAACTGAAACTTGAAGATTTCTTTAATGTGCGGACAATGACTCAATTCATTCACTCTCAAACTCACTGTCTTGGAGCTACACTAGAGTTGTTGTTTACTGATCATGCCAGTGCTGTAGCATTCCGGACTCCAGTCGTCTACTCAGATCATCAGATGATAAATGCTGTACTTCTCAGTATATCTCATGGTGACCCTTGCTCTCAATGATCTCTAAGTAAAGTAAGTAAACTCCCTTACTTCTCTGATTTTTGTTTAAGTAATAACACAACTCATTACAAATACAGTTACGTATTCAATCATAAACTGCAGATGGCAAAACAACACCAGTAATAACTTTTTTAGTGCTGCAATTAGGCCATTTACAAAAAAGGTCCAGTGAAAATAGTTCACAGGAGCTAATGCATTCCACACAACCGGACATGGCGGGGGATATGAGTATTTCATGCTTGTTGAGTTTAGTTTATCTTATGGATGACAAATGATGACAAACTCATCAAAGCAATTCCTGATATTTTTTTCAATAATTAACATGTACCATACACTTTGTATTTTAGATTTAATCTTTCTCATCTACCGAACGTCAGATTCACTCCCAGAGCCATACTCTGGAGAAATTATAGAAACTAAACAATACCATAGATTGTGTTTGATGTGGACTATACTTTGGTACTATTGAAACTGTTTGCAGTAGGTGTGGATGTGTAACAGTACTATTGCGCGTGTTTGTTGCAGATGTAGATGCGATACAATACTATTGCGTGTGTTGTAGGTGTGGATATGTAACGGTACTGTTGTACTACTGCGTGCGTTGTAGGTGTTGATATTTAACTGTACTATTGCGTGTGTTTGTTGTAGGTGTGGATATGTAACAGTACTATTGAGTGTGTTTGCTGTAGGTGTGGATATGTAACAGTACTATTGGGTGTGTTTGTTGTAGGTGTGGATGTGTAACAGTACTATTGAGTGTGTTTGTTGGAGGTGTGGATGTGTAACAGTACTATTGAGTGTGTTTGTTGTAGGTGTGGATGTGTAACAGTACTATTGAGTGTGTTTGCTGTAGGTGTGGATGTGTAACAGTACTATTGAGTGTGTTTGCTGTAAGTGTGGATGTGTAACAGTACTTTTGGGTGTGTATGTGTAGGTGTGGATGTGTAACAGTACTATTGAGTGTGTTTGTTGAAGGTGTGGGTGTGTAACAGTACTATTGAGTGTGTTTGCTGTAGGTGTGGATGTGTAACAGTACTATTGGGTGTGTTTGTTGTAAGTGTGGATGTGTAACAGTACTATTGAGTGTGTTTGCTGTAGGTGTGGATGTGTAACAGTACTATTGAGTGTGTTTGCTGTATGTGTGGATGTGTAACAGTACTATTGAGTGTGTTTGCTGTAGGTGTGGATATGTAACAGTACTATTGTGTGTGTTTGTTGTAGGTGTGGATATGTAACAGTACTATTGAGTGTGTTTGCTGTAGGTGTGGATGTGTAACAGTACTATTGAGTGTGTTTGTTGTAGGTATGGATGTGAAACAGTACTATTGAGTGTGTTTGCTGTAGGTGTGGATGTGTAACAGTACTATTGTGTGTGTTTGTTGTAGGTGTGGATGTGTAACAGTACTATTGATTGTGTTTGTTGTAGGTGTGGATGTGTAACAGTACTATTGGGTGTGTTTGTTGTAGGTGTGGATGTGTAACCTTACTATTGAGTGTGTTTGCTGTAGGTGTGGATGTGTAACCTTACTATTGCGTGTGTTTGTTGTAGGTGTGGATGTGTAACGGTTCCATCGAGGTTTTGCCATGCTCAGGCATTGCGCATGTCTTCAGACACATCAATCCAAACCTGGACCACAACTTCTATGACACCATCACGAGGAACGCAATGAGGGTAGCCCACGTTTGGATGGACCAGTATAAATACTTTTTTTTCAACAATTTCATCGAAGATAATCAAATGGTGAGCGTCTTAGGATGTCCATGTATATTAGCATATGTCTCACTATAACGGCTATATTTTATGTTAACGCCGTGATATAACTGGAAAACTGTTAAAAGCGGCGTGAATGCTAACTCACTCAGTCACCCACTCACTATTTTATGTTAACCTGAAGCATGCAGGAGGTAAGGCTGTTACCAGGGTATATGTTCCTGGTCAAATACGTGAAGAGTCGTAAAATAATTGAAATCCTTCAACCTTTAAAAGTACGTTGGCCGCTTCCCTTTGTTCTGTAGCATAAAAAATCTATACCAATCGGAAATCCTATTGACCATCATGTATCAGCGTTAGTAATTACCTGACGTTAACTGAATTAACAATGCCTAGGATCCTGATCATACCTCACATTGTGCCTACAGCCACACTTTGGAGATGTTTCTGACAGAGTATCGCTACGTGAAAGTTTGAAGTGTCACGACTTTGACTGGTACATGCACAACGTGGCCACAGATCTGCATGCTCCCACTGATGCTCTCCATGTGCAGGAGGTACTGTATAGAGTGCGTGTACTGTACCGTCCTATTTCCATAATAATACATAGGCTTACCTCTTTGTGTTCTAAAGGTGCTCGGGTCAGTTGAGCAGGCTAGTGGTTAAAACGTTCGCTCGTCACGCTGAAGGCCTGGGTTCGATTCACCACTTGCGTACAATGTATGAAGGGCAAATCCTGGCGTAAAACAATACTCACTCACTCACATCATGATAGGCCACGACAGGTCCTAGTCACAGCATAGTCTCTAACGGCGCATGTAACAATGCATGTAACAATCTCACTGCCTATGTTACCCGTGAGATGTGTGATACATGTGTAGAAATACAATTTGTCTTTCAGATACGCCATAAACGAAAAAGTAATGTTTGCCTTGCACATTCCTTTACCAAGCCGGAAATCCTGGTCGGGGTCTGCGAGGGATTCATGAGACACCAGGTATTATTCACTTCAGAAGGTGTAGTAATGTGCGTTGCCCTTCAGAAGGTGTAGCAATTAGCGTAAGTGCGTTGCCCTTCAGAAGGTGTAGCAATTAGGGTATGTACCTTGCTCTTTAGAAGGTGTAGTAATTAACGTATGTACCTTGCTCTTCAGAAGGTGTAGTAATTAGCGTAAGTGCATTTCCCTTCAGAAGGTGTAGTAATAAGCGTAAGTGCGTTTCCCTTCAGAAGGTGTAGTAATTAGCGTATGTACCTTGCCCTTTTAGAAGGTGTAGTAATTAGGGTATGTACCTTGCTCATTAGAAGGTGTAGTAATTAGCGTAAGTGCATTTTCCTTCAGAAGGTGTAGTAATTATCGTATGTACATTGCTCTTCAGAAGGTGTAGTGATTAGCGTAAGTGCCTTGCCCTTTCAGAAGGTGTAGTAATTAGCGTATGTACCTTGCTCTTCAGAAGATGTAGTAATTAGCGTAAGTGCGTTTTCCTTCAGAAGGTGTAGTAATTAGCGTATGTACCTTGCTCTTTAGAAGATGTAGTAATTAGCGTAAGTGCATTTCCCTTCAGAAGATGTAGCAATTAGGGTATATACCTTGCTCTAAAGAAGGTGTAGTAATTAGGGTAAGTGTGTTTCCCTTCAGAAGGTGTAGTAATTATCGTATGTACCTTGCTCTCCAGAAGGTGTAGTAATTAGGGTATGTACCTGGCTCTTTAGAAGGTGTAGTAATTAGGGTATGTATCTTGCTCTTCAGAAGGGGTAGTAATTAGGGTATGTACCTTGATCTTTAGAAGGTGTAGTAATTAGTGTAAGTGCGTTTTCCTTCAGAAGGTGTAGTTATTATCGTATGTACCTTGCTGTTCAGAAGGTGTAGTAATTAGGGTATGTACCTTGCCCTTTTAGAAGGTGTAGTAATTAGGGTATGTACCTTGCTCTTTAGAAGGTGTTGTAGTAATTAGCGTAAGTGCGTTTCCCTTCAGAAGTTGCAGTAATTAGCGTATGTGCGTTGTCGTTCAGAAAGTGTAGTAATTAGAGTATGTGCGTATGTGCGTATGTGCGTATGTGCGTATGTGCGTTTCCCTTCAAAATGTGTGATGCATGACGTACGTGTGTTGTCGTGTAGAAGAGGGTGCGCATTTGGCGTATGTGCGTTGCTTTTCAGGGGAAGTGGTAATTGGCGAATGTGCGTTGTCCTTCACTAGTTGTTGATACAAAACGTTGTCCTTCAGAAAGTATGGTACATGGAGGATGCTGGTCGACTGCTTGGCGAAGTCTTGAACGGCAATCAGACGTGGTCCTGTCTGACATTGAAAGACGACATGGTGACGTCAGAGGCGTGTTTGAAAGGACTGAAGCGACAACAGTGGCAATACACCCCGGTATGTAATGTGACCATTGTAACTACATCAAAATAATAAGCTGAATTCTCACAGATATAGGATGTTTTCCATCAGTGGGGAGGTATGGTGTAACACAGCTCTGAGCAAAATATTGCCACTGTATCTCGTCTGGAGACACGAATAATTACCTTCACACAGCGTTACAATTATTTCATGCGTAGCCATTGATACTACTTCACTGTACTTGTGTGACGTCTATGGTTAGAGGAGGAAGTATAGGAGTATGCTTTCCATCCGCAGCTTTCTCTAACTTATGTTTTTTTTCTGAATGGCTCTAGGAATAATAACACGTTGCCTCTTTGTTTTGTGAAGGCGATGACAATACGCCACGTTGAGGTGGACAAGTGTGTCACCTTGGAGGACAGAGATACACTCTCCTTGCATACATGCACACAAGGAAGTTCTCAAGTCTGGGAAATGAAGACGTTTGTCCATCAAGCATTCGGAAAATAATACTGTTTAATTATCTCGAAGAACTATACCGGCAACAAGACACTCACACACAAGTCAATCAGATACTGAACATGGCAAGTGCTGAAGCTGGCCTGTACACAGAATTGGATACATTACTCAAATCCGATTCTACCCATGCATTATTGGTGAATTGTCGATACATATACCTCGCATATGCACAGACGATTGTATGCAAATAGTTACACCATCACCCCGGGATAGCACAAGGTACTGCATAAGAAAGTACACTTCCCCAATCGAAGGGTCCTCTGTGGGAATTCATCTGAGCGTGAAAATCTGCATAAGACGTCACTATATTTTTCTCCATCTCATTAGGCAGTCTGACAAATGGCTTTGACAGTTCACCCCAGTTTTATGCAATCGTAGAGCTACTACATCTTCTTTAACAAAGGTAGCCCTACCATGGCTCCTGCTACTGATTGACGAGATACTGGGCTGAGACTACTGCAATCAGAAATGTCACTGAACAACGAGTAAGTCAATCATCAACTCCACTTAGTGTAATAAGTTCAGCCATACTCAACATCAAATGTTACTGTGATCATATCAGTTAACTGATAACTGTGTATATGTTATAACTATGATGATATTGACATTCTGTCTTTACCAAGTGATCAATATTCCAATTATGTAACAATAAACTGTTTATCATGACATTGTAACTTGAGGTATAAGTTCCCTTTCAAATTCCAGCATTCAAACTGCTGTAATCGCTTAAAAATTAAAATTTCAAACATATTTTGAAAGCATATTGGGTTCATCTTAAACCCAACTAAACACCACAACAGTTGAAATCTTCAAAGTAAAGCAGAATACGTTTGCATGATCTGTCTCCAACAGAATCCCTCAATGATGACTAACACCACTGTCATAGTGACGACTACACAGATCTTGTCATTTGTTTCAGTTGATTCAGGTGGTGGCATTTGGAGGCTGTGGTACAATAACAAAACTCTTTAAAAGGACATTATAATAGCCTCATTTGGCCAACTGGAAATGGGAAATGATCAAGTTACTGAAAACTGAAAAAAAAGTTGGTTTTAAAATTAACAGACATTTTCAAAGGTCTGACAACTAACCTGTTTTCTATCTTACACTTACAAATGTTGGACTGGTATCACTAGCATATTAAAGTACGGAATTATAAGTAAAATGAACGGAAAACGTAAATTCTTCAAACTTGAAGAGAAAATATGTCTATGAGCAAGTATGTGACCCACGGTGAACGTTCAAACTTGCATGCGTCAGTCAAAGACTTTATCATGTTCAAACATTACTAAAGATTTCATGAAAACTTCTCAAATACAGCCTTATCGACACATTGTAGACCAGAGGAATACATTCAGTGTTCAATTCCCAACCATGTCAGTGTTGAAATGAATAAACACAACGGAGAGCTTCAAGTTAACATTTTCTGAAAGATTTCTTAAATTATGCATATAACATGGTCTCCTACCATGTCATGACCTTTGGAGGTGACTGTGAAAACATTGCGGATGAGGTACCAGGAATAATAAAAATATTTCCATGAACCATTGCTGCTGTCCTAGGTTTGTGTGTTCTGTATTTGGATGTCTATTGCCGAAAGCGAGCCAGCTGAACTTCGTCTAAACAGACAGTGCTACAAGCGAGACATCTACAGGAGGAAGGCAAGGGGTTCACAAACATTCTTGACAAAAAATGATACTTTTGATGTTAACAGATTATCATTAAGTAAATCCTGTCCCAACTATGCCCCAAGGTATGGCACATCGCGGTGCACGCCGGATCCCACTTTGTGGAAGGCTGACTCTAGTGGCTACGTGCGTAATCCTGTACTTGACGTTCACCAGGAACAAGTTAGTTCTGAACAATGATGGCTCCACGTGCAGACATATATCCTTAAGGTATGGGACACAGAAGCTCATGAAATACTGGCATGTTCTTAAAAAACACTCACTTTATTGTCTTTCACAATGGTTCTGTTGGGGCAGAGAAACAGCAATATCCTGTCCGCCGTTTTAGTTTGTCCACGCCTCTAAACATCGATGTTCGTATCGGCCCGGGGTTCAGTGACTTTATAGATCCTGCGTACACGTTGAGGTATTGTTCGTAAATTGAATATAACGCTATTCGGAAAATGTATATATAATACAGGGACGGGTGTCACTAAGGAAATAGCCCACTATCAAAGCCAAATAGCATTGTGTTTAAGAATTATTGTTGTGTTCATTGGGAAAAAGATACATTAACATAATATAACAATGAATGAATGAGTATGCACAAATACATTGTAACAGAGCCGTTCTAATGTCACATCACTCGGGGTGTTACATAGAGATTGTGACCAATAAGTGAAAAATTGGACAATGCTACCCGTGTTGTATCTCTGGTAATCACATGAACAAACACGTTTGTGATTCTTACCCTTGATGACCCTGAAAGTACAGAGTACATCTCGGTCATTGCATGCATACAATCACATGACTGAGAACTTCATCACACACCACAGTACACGCGGGACCGAGTCGATTCAAAAACAGAGTAAATTGTTGAAGTGTTTTAACTGTGAAAACCAACTTTTTTGACGGCCAAACCTCGTAAACGTTATCCCAAGCCTGTCTGAAAATGAACGATCACGTGCAACTTGTATGCTGTGAAACCGGAATTGCACTAAACGGTGTGGCTAGGCGTTTTGGTGTTCATCGTAACACCATGCAGGCATTCTGGGGTCAGTACCAACCGACTGAAAAAGCAGGAGCCAACCACGAGAAACGTCACTGCACGTCCAATTTTGGTGCCATATCATCGAACTGCACGCCTGGCATGGTCAAGACAACATCTGAGGTTCAGGGTTACAGGACTGGAGGTTAGTCATCTTAACGGATGAATCCAGGTGTCATCTTGAGGGACAGGACGTTACGGTAACGTGTGTGTTAAACGGTCTGCACTCGGTGGTGGGAGCGTGATGGTGTGGGGAGGCATTACTATACATCAAAGGACGTCATCCCGTTTCTTCAGACCAATGGACGTCACGACCCTTGCATACGACAACATGAACCACATCTCCACATTCCCTGCTGTTTTGCCAGATCTGTCGCCCATCGAACATGTATGGGATGAAATGAAACATCGTTTTACGCCAACTTCCAATCCAACCGGTGACGTTGGTTAAACTGCGACCGACCATGGTCCAGATCTGGAATGATATCCTTCAAGCAATCCCTAAACCATCTTGTATCGCCAATAAGACGGGGCTATCAAGCTTGTGTCACTGTTAATGGTGGTTATAGTGAGTGAGTGAGTTGAGTTTAACGGCGCTTTTAACAGTATTCCAGTTATATCACGGCGTGTCAGCTTAATGTGGGAGGTAAGCCTGAAGTGATGCAGGTCTCAGACCTTTACTACTTCGTTGAAACCCACGAGCACGGGTATGGTGCAGTGAGCGAGTTAAATTTTACATCGCATCGGCAATATTTCAGCCATATAGCGATGGATATGGTGCAGACAAACCTAGAAACATAATCGGTGCGAACCGGGATTCGAAACGACAATCATAGGTTTCTGGCGTGCCCAAAGGACGCAACTGAGGCCTGAGACAACTGGGCCAGTGCCCCCTAATGTTGGTTATACCCCACACTGAACTGAAAATCGACCCCACGCCATTCTCAGCCTGATGAATTCAAGTACATGGACATCAATATATTGTTCTGTCGCAAAATCGTTCTTTGTGTGCGTTTATTTATTATTTCCCATGATAGTCATTAATGCAAATGAACTGTTTTCCGCCAGTATATCTTGTTTGGGTACACGAACATATGACAAGCTTTCAGAAAAAACTTGAGACCTGACATACACATGTGTGCTATATTATGGTTCTCATATTTATGAACCTTCGAAGCTATAATGTAACTTTCATACTATACAGCATTACTTTCAAAGCTGATAACTAACGATGATACATTTTACAAGATATCTGATACACAGGAAACAACACTTGGCTCTGTATTTGTTTAGATACTTCACCATACTTTCCCAAGCTGTCAATTATAGATTTTTCTGTACATTATAAATATTACGCAGGAATGCACGCTCTACATGAATTATCATTAATTCGGTGTATGTAGAAACTATGCAAAAGATACAATAATATGTAAGTATAAAAAAAACCAAACGACTTATAAATCAATGAAAAACAACCATGTCCCTTACATGAAAAGTCTAACAAGATTAATGTAAATTGGTTTGAGCTTTACATGTCCCAAACGTTATATATATGTCATTCATGTGATGTAAACACTGCGGGGACCTACCCTCTATGTGGTGAAAACACCTTCAACGGCTGTAAACACCTTCACCAGCTGCTGGGACCGACCTCTCTATGTGGTGTAAACACCTTCACTGACTGCTGGGACCGACCTCTCTATGTGGTGTAAACACCTTCACCGACTACTGGGACCGACCCTCTATGTGATGTAAACACCTTCACTGACTGCTGGGACCGACCCTCTATGTGGTGTAAACACCTTCACTGACTACTGGGACCGACCCTCTATGTTATGTAAACACCTTCACTGACTGCTGGGATCGACCCTCTATGTAATGTAAACACCTTCACTGACTGCTGGGATCGACCCTCTATGTGATGTAAACACCTTCACTGACTACTGGGACCGACCCTCTATGTAATGTAAACACCTTCACTGACTGCTGGGATCGACCCTCTATGTGATGTAAACACCTTTACTGACTGCTGGGACCGACCTCTCTATGTGGTGTAAACACCTCCACTGACTACTGGGGCCGACCCTCTATGTAATGTAAACACCTTCACTGACTACTGGGACCGACCCTCTATGTGATGTAAACACCTTCACTGACTGCTGGGATCGACCCTCTATGTGATGTAAACACCTTCACTGACTACTGGGGCCGACCCTCTATGTGATGTAAACACCTTCACTGACTGCTGGGACCGACCCTCTATGTGATGTAATCACCTTCACTGACTACTGGGGCCGACCCTCTATGTGATGTAAACACCTTCACGAGTGCTGGGACCGACCCTCTATGTAATGTAAACACCTTCACTGACTACTGGGGCCGACCCTCTATGTAATGTAAACACCTTCACTGACTACTGGGGCCGACCCTCTATGTGATGTAAACACCTTCACTGACTACTGGGGCCGACCCTCTATGTAATGTAAACACCTTCACTGACTACTGGGGCCGACCCTCTATGTGATGTAAACACCTTCACTGACAGCTGGGATCGACCCTCTATGTGATGTAAACACCTTCACTGACTACTGGGACCGACCCTCTATGTGATGTAAACACCTTCACTGACTGCTGGGATCGACCCTCTATGTGATGTAAACACCTTCACTGACTGCTGGGACCGACCCTCTATGTAATGTAAACACCTTCACTGACTGCTGGGACCGACCCCCTATGTGATGTAAACACCTTCACTGACTGCTGGGACCGACCCTCTATGTAATGTAAACACCTTCACTGACTGCCGGGACCGACCCCCTATGTGATGTAAACACCTTTACTGACTGCTAGGACCGACCCTCTATGTGATGTAAACACCTCCACTGACAGCTGGAACCGACCCTCTATGTTATGTAAACACCTTCACTGACTACTGGGGCCGACCTTCTATGTGATGTAAACACCTTCACCGACTACTGGGGCCGACCCTCTATGTGATGTAAACACCATCACTGACTGCTGGGACCGACCCTCTATGTGATGTAAACACCTTCTCCGACTGCTGGGACCGACCCTCTATGTGATGTAAACACCTTCACTGACTGCTGGGACCGACCCTCTATGTGATGTATACACCTTCTCCGACTGCTGGGATCGACCCTCTATGTGATGTATACACCTTCTCCGACTGCTGGGATCGACCCTCTATGTGATGTAAACACCTTCACTGACTGCTGGGACCGACCCTCTATGTGATGTAAACACCTTCACTGACTACTGGGACCGACCCTCTATGTGATGTAAACACCTTCACTGACTGATGGGACCGACCCTCTATGTGATGCAAACACCTCCACTGACTGCTGGGATCGACCCTCTTTGTGGTGTAAACACCTTCACTGACTGCTGGGACCGACCCTCTTTGTGGTGTAAACACCTTCACTGACTGCTGGGACCGACCCTCTATGTGATGTAAACACCTTCACTGACTGCTGGGATCGACCCTCTTTGTGGTGTAAACACCTTCACTGACTGCTGGGACCGACCCTCTATGTGATGGCAACACCTTCACTGACTGCTGGGACCGACCCTCTATGTGATGTAAACACCTTCACCGACTACTGGGATCGACCCTCTATGTGATGTAAACACCTTCACTGACTACTGGGATCGACCCTCTATGTGATGTAAACACCTTCACTGACTACTGGGATCGACCCTCTATGTGATGTAAACACCTTCACTGACTAATGGGATCGACCCTCTATGTGGTGTAAATATAGAATACTAAACGAGCTCCTGTGTAATACCAATTTTATGAAA